TGATGGAGTTCGTGAGGGTGTTCTTGCTGTAGTTGCTGCCGTTGCTGCTCTGAAGAAGGCTGTCGTCTGGCTGTGTTCGGGAGCCAGAGGAACTGCGGCGTGCAAAGGGAGAGGCTGGCTGGTATTGCGGCAGCTGAAGAAGCAAGCTCTGTCGCTGCTGCAGAGAAGACGATGTCTGCAGCAGCTGGGGAGACAGCGTGGTGGAGGAAGAAGGCCTAGAGATAAGTGTGCTTGAAGAACGAGGGGCAGTCCAAAACTTCACGCCGTCGGGGAGGCTGGGGGTAGGGGTGGGGGTGAGACTAGCCGTCGTGGTTGTGGTCGTGATGGTGCTGCTGCTGCTGCTGCTGCTGCTACTGCTGCTGCTGTGGGTAGCAAGGCTTGCTGCAAGACCTAGTGCACCCTCCATTTGCATTAGACTCTGAGGCTCGCGCTGTAAGGCCCTCGGCTTCGCGCTTTCACGAACGACAATTAGAGGCTGCGGTTGTTGGATCCAAGCGTTCTGCCGCAGCTGTCCACTCAGTGCAGAGTCGGCGCGCGGCTTCTCACACGACGGCGCCTTTGCTGCATGCCCTTCAGGTGGCTGTAGTGGCATTCCTTCTGCTTCAGGGTCCAGCAGCCGAGGCAACGCCGACTGCTGCTGCTGCTGACGGGAGGCTGGAGGGGGCTGCTGCCCTTCGCGCGCCGAATAAATGCCTCCAAGCCGCAATACAGAGTCCACCAAACACTGTCGTGAGCCTGACTGCTGGCTGTGAACCAGCGCTTGTTCTTGCTGTGGGTTGTTGCCGTGAGGGGGCAGCATGCTGGGTGTCGTTCTTATGAGGTTTCTTGAGGGAGTGCGAAACACAGAGGAGCTGATAGCTCCTCACTCTTGCGGTCGTGCATGCGTTGCTATGCTACCGTTGCTGCCACTGGGGATGCTGTGGGTGGGCAGCCGATGGAGGAGCGATGGTGGGATGCTGCTACTTTGTGGCGTGGTGTCTCTCTGCGTTGATGACTCTCGCTGTGCAAAAAATCTGTGCTCCTTAGAAGGGTACTCCGAGGGAGAGGCTCGCTCCTGCAGACTTCAGCGAGGCGACTGCTGCTGTTGGCCGCTGAGGGGGCTTAAGGCTACCGCTGCAACGAGGGGCTTTTAGCGCAGCTAAGGACAGGGGGTCTGACAGAGCTGAGAGAGGGCTAGATATGGAGGCTGTTGGTGACTTAAGGCTCTCCTCCCCCCACCTAGATCTGCAGAGGTGCCCTCAACGTTTGGCTGAAGGCGCGTTGCTGCGGCGGTTTCTCTGCGCGCGCTCACAAGTCCTCCATGCAAAGCCTTCTGAGGACCTAATAAGATCGAAAGCCATCTAAAAGGAAAGACATCGACAGGAGGATGTACACTCTGTGTTCGAAACAAACCACCCTCCAGCATTGGGGGGCCGCGACCACTGCCGACTCTTGGGTTCCTGCTGTGGCTCTTCCAGTGCTTCTCCTTCCTTGTCCTGGTTGGCTCTAAATTTACTTCTGGAGTGTTTTATAATTTTAGTTAGCAGGCCATTATTATTCTTTCTGGCTGAATCCTCCGTATCCTCTCCTTTCAGAAGGGGCTCAGCAGCAGCTGCCGCTGGGGTGGTCGTGCCTTCATGCCCGTGTGTCTGCTGCATGCCAAACCCGTAAAGAAGCATTGTTTTTGGACTGATCGAAGCCAGTATCTTTTAAAGCCTGCCGTAGGTGCTCCTGCTTACCCTTCCAGGGCCCGAAAGCCGGGACTAGCCACTGCTTGGGATGGTTTGTAGGGTGCCTGTTCTCACTTTTTGAGGGCACACAAGCGAGTCGCAGAAGGGCTCGTCAGTAGCATAGTGCAGGCGAAAAGGCTTCAAATGGCATTTTGATATGTCTTGTTGCGGCCCGTGCCACATGAGCCCCGTGTACGTGCTGTAGTGGTTACGCAAAACTGCTAAATGTACCAGTTCACAGTCGGCCCGTTTCAGGGCCAACCGCTGTTTCCTCCTGAAATTATTGACGCGCATGCATCATATATTTGCCTTACGGGTGATAGCCGCTCTAGTAGAGAGGGAAAAGGACGGAGAGGGCAAAGGAACCGTTGGGTTGTTGCTGGAAAGGGTGTGTTCGTAGGAACGGTATGCGGTGAGGTGTTTCGCTTACCGCGCTCATTCTGGTAAAATGGCTCTTCGGACGGCTGCTGCTCTGATAACGCGCTTTCCTCTGCAAGCGCCACTCCGCTCCCCATCAGTACTCAGTACCTGCCGTGTTGCACTCCATAGAAGGATTCTTGCGGATAGACTTCACTCCAGAATCAGCGCAAACTTAATACACTAACATTGAAGGTTTTCAAAAAGCTTCCTGCCTTCCTCTATCTGAGCCCCTATGGGCTCCGGTGTGAGAGGACAGGGACAGCTATATGCGCGTTGCTGTACTATTTCAGCAATCTGAGAATTCACAGCTGGCTGCGCGTTTCCTTTAACACACACGCATATAAGATTCCGCCATCTTGTATCGTTCAGAAAGTACTCTGCATGAAGTGTACTAAAAGAACAGGCAAGCCTATCAGTCAGTTTGTTATCACGCGTTGATTCAATTGATGCAGTAGAAGGTGCTGAGGTCTAGCTTTGCCCCCTACACAGCTGCTTTAGGATATTGTGTCGTCGAGAGGCCCCTGTAGCAGACTGGAATATTTACACCAAACCAGGCAAGGTAGCAAATTCAGCAATGATGTAGAAAAGCCAGGCTAGGCAAGTTCCTTCCCCAAGGCCAGGCCGGAAGAAGCTGGGTGCATTAGATTCGAAGAACGCCTTTAAACCTCCGATGGAGATGGATTTTTAAAATTCGAGCTGCACCGGCATGGGGTCGCCGTCTGTCTTCTGTCTCCTGATAGACGCAACAGTGCCTTTTAGACAGGTTTTTCTTTTTTGCTTTGCCTTAAACAAGCCTCCAAAAGTGTATGATCTAAGACAGGGAGGCCGAGGCCCTTTAAGCAATTCTAACGCAAAGCAGACCACCACATTGAGTGACACATTCAAACGGTGGGAGGTTGCTGGCACCAAAAGCATTTGCACGGTGGAAAAAACGCGCATTTCCGGTTCTTAGTATACGGAACTTAACAGTATCAAGATCCAGAAGGGTAATGTGGCATTGCTGCTCTAAAAGGCGTTGTGTATGGCTTACCACAAAAGAGCGTTAGCGAACTTCTTGAGAGCCCAAATGAGTGTTCGGTTTTGGCTTCTATACGTGAAGTAGCTACAATGGCAGCGAGGGCTTTTGGGTATATCAGCCACTGAGGGGAGGTAGATACTCATGCGTTAGAAGAACTTCATCTGGGCTCCTCTGCGACTTGAACCTATCGTGAAGGATTCAGAGTACATACTACTACTACACCCTAGAACCAACGACGTCCCTACGGATACCACAATTGTAACTTTCTTGGTGCTGAAGCTCCGGACTGGCCTCAGTTTTAATACACAGCGGGGCAGGAAGGGCTTTGATAGAAAGAGTCTACCATATGATGAGATGCAGCTGGGCATCGTCATGGTGAATGCAAGAGATAGCCATGGTTTCACTCAAGATAAGGGTCTTCCTTCCGTAGGAGCGTCTCATCTAAAACAGAAATGCGTGCAGCGCTTGCGTGTACTCATTGCGTATTAACATGCTGCCCAAGTTTACTGCTCCCCGCTGACGGTTCTATGGTGTAGTGGTTAGCACTGCGGACTCTGAATCCGCCGACCTGGGTTCAAATCCCAGTAGGACCTTTTGCAGACCTGCTACCGGCTATATTTTGGAGAGGCATTTGCTGATAGGAGGCTTACTTAGCTCACTCTTTAACGACAATTGTTTGTTCACCGAAGGGGTTATGCAGTTGATATATGGGGTGTTCAGGGCTCATCTGCAAATGAAGTGGCAAAGATAACATAAAATGTTCTGTTTAAATGGGTTCTCTGGCCAATGCACTCCGTTCGTAATTAAAGTGTCCAAAGATAATACATAGTGGAAGACGCTTTTGAAATACCTGCGAGTTTAGTGAAGAAACACGCAATTTGTTTCGCCCCACACTTTGCTGAAGTGGACGGCCAGAGCCGATGTGCCTTCCATACAGTCTCTACTCGAGAAAGCGAACTTCTGGAAGACACTTTTGCACTCGTCTAGCTTAACAAGAAAACTTCATGGATTTTAGCAGATGCTGCACGAACACGGTTGTTCCGCCCACCTACAACACATGCCACACGTGACGCAATACAGAAGACATGAACGGAGGGCCCTAACCCGAATTGTTGACATAATGCACACTACGGCATAGATACCTGGTGGTAAATGATTAGATGCATTTAGAGGCATGTGAGTATTAAAGGGCATTGTTGGAGGTGTACCATATGGATCAGGTGGTTCTTCCGCGTTGTGGTCCTTTGGTGGTCAAGGCTGCGGCTGTAAGCAGTACGGCGCCGAACTGCAGGCGAGGAACTTCCTTAGCTCCCGGGGAATTACTAGTACTTCCCCTATTCATTGGCATTTAAAGTTTCTCCGACTTGCGAAGGTCCGTGTCTTCGTGTGTTTGCGTGCGTGCTTGGGCTTTTGTGCATACGCACAACAGCCGATTTCTCCATACTTGGCGTTCGGTGTCGAACTGGGAATGGTTTGCGCTCCTTCTTTCCATTTTTATTTTGTTTAAATTTTGAAATACGGTAGACAGGTGTCGGCACTTGGCCGAATTCAGCGTCGTTTTTGCCCTGACGCTCCCAGGAACAGGCTCTCACTCGTAGCGCGTAGTGGACGCAAGGAGTCGAAGTCTCTGCAAAACTTATCCCTCTTACCGTATTCAGTAAATCGGTGGCCACGGGAGGGGCCCCTTAGCTACCGAAGGCCACCAAACTCTCTTTGGATCTACTGACAACGGCTGTTGGTACGCCTGGCGCATTGCAGCACAAGGCGTTCTCTAGCGGCGACCGTGACCACCAGCCCGTCAGTGCGCACCGGAAAGCCACAAGCGCAACGCGCTTGCAAATACAGCCTCTAAAATGGAAAGCAGTCGTGATTCTGCCGTAAAACATGGCTGGGGAACTAGGCTTTACACCACCCTGAGCGCTGATCGGAGTTGCACTCCGAAGCACCCAGAGGGGGATGAGGAGCAGCCACCCCAACAAGAAAGCCGGCAAGGCTCTAGGGGTAGGTCTCCCAGCTTGCGCCGCGTCGGCGATATCTTCAGGAAAATCATGGGCCCCTCAAGTAGCCCTCAAAAGGCGGCTTCTGTTTCCGCGTGCCCTCATGAGAGCCATCCCTCTACAGCGGCTGCAACAGTCCCCTCATTCCCTCTAGCCCATGCGTCGGAACACGCTGGAGAAGAGAGGGCTGCACGTCCACAAGGTAGATCTCGCTCTGTCGAGCAGTTTCTCCGCCGGCTGCTCTCCTCTTCGGCAGCAGTGAAGGCGCACCGTCGGCAAGAGTCCGCCAACGCTTCTTCCGCTGCTTTTGAGAGCTCGAATATGAACCGGGGAGATCGGCAGAGGGAGCAGTGCCAGAAAGTAAAACAAGCGACACCTCGTGGAAGAAGCCAGCAGCGGTGGGGACTCGGGGGAAAGCCAACGGGCTGCGTCGATTCCGGAGTTCAAGCGCGTCCAACAACGAAGAACGCTGCTGTGCCTGAGAATCGGGGGGGTGCATGCAACGACAGAGCTGGTAGAGGGCAGTTGAGTGCTTCTGCGCTGCCACACCAGTCGTTGGGACCGAAGCCAACGAGCAACCACTCGAACAGGCACCAGGAGTGTACTGGCGATGAGGCTCCTGTATTTCAGCAACACAGCGCCCGTCGCAAAGGCAGCACCTGCATGCCGGTGGCTCTTGAGAGTGAGTCCTTTGCTTTCGCTGGTGCGAGCGGCAAACCAGAAGACAAAGCGTGCGGCAGGAGCAGTAGCAACAGGAGGAAAGGCAGAAGTGGGAGAATAAGTAGGGCTAGGCGTCACAGCAGCGTGGAGACACCACGGCAGTCTGCAATTTCTGAGGAGGAGCCGTCTTTTGGTGGGGGCAGCAGTGACGGGCTAAGAGCTGATGAAAACAAAGATTTTGGACTCGGAGCTGCGGCATCAACAGACGCAAGCGCCAGCAACACTGGCAGTTCCCCAAAGAGGGGTCCTTCTACGGAGGAAGTGATGGTTGTGGAGAGGATAACCACCCAGATAACCACCATCACCACTATCACTGCGCAGCCCGAAGCGGGGGTCAACAGGGTTGTGCGCAGTAGCGCTGAGTGCACAGTAGACGAGTTGCAGCAACACTGGAGTTTTGGAAGCAGCAGCAGCAGCAAGGCATGCACTACAACCTGCCCGGAGTCCGTTGACATCAGCGAGCAAATCGTGCCCAAAGTGGAAGAATTAGACTACACAGAAGCTGAGACAGATAAGCTAGAGCAGCAGCACGATAAGCAGCCAGAGGTATCCCTTCCAGAGAGTCCAACAATCAGCACGATTGCACACGAGACGTCAACCTTGGCGTCCCCTCAAGTGGACAAGCGCGAGATCGAACAGCCCCCGCAAGTCTCTCACGAGCAGCAAGACCAGCAGAAAGAATCCTCCCCGACAACGGATTACGTGGGAGACTTCTCTGCATTGCAACAGAAGAATGCTGACAGTGCATCCATACCAATTCCTCTGGATGCTCCCGACCAGCGGCCGATGCCGCCAACGCTGCAGCAGCTCATGCAGCCTCCCCATCCGAACGTACCCTGCATGCAGCAGCACATGCTGCAGGGGGACGCGCCTGCACAGTGCGTTGGACCTTGCGTGGAGGGAAATAGCGTATATAGTTTTGTTGCCCCTTCGCTACTCCCCTCGTTCTTGCCAGTCACACAACCACCTCAGGTGGACGGATCCTCGCAGCCCTTTCTGTTCCCTACCGAGTTTCTTATACAGCAGCAACATGCGAGCCAGTTTCCATTTGGGATCGAGGAAGAGATGCGGCACCAGCAAGAGACCCAACAGCTACTCATGTCCACTGAGGTGCTGCAACAGCAGCTGCAGCACCAGCAGCAGTTGCTGCTGTACCAGCAGCAACTACTTGAGACGCAGAAGCACCAGCTTTGGCAGCAGCAGCAGCAGCTCAAGGCTCCACGTGTGAAGCCCTTTTCTTATAATGTCTCCGCAGTTCCCGCGGGTGTGTTTGCTGGCCCTCCGGACCCGCTTCTTAGAACTATGCGGCCTACAGTTTCCCGCATTGCTGCCTCTGCTGCTCCCCAGGATGACACGGCACCAGAGGGAGAGACTCCCCTCGCTTCAGGAGCTGCAGCCACACGAGACCAGCTGCAACAACCTTCGGGGTCGCAACAGATGGCGCCTCGTGTTGCCGGCCGTAATGGGAACTCTCGGCCTCCAAAGCGCGTGAGCTGGGCAGGAAGTGAGTCGGCAGCAGAACCTCGAGACTTATTAAGTGGCTTTGCACATCGTCTCCCGCTTCGTCATGAGGAGGAACAACAAGACAAGGCAGAAGAGGCTTGGCTGTCTCCCGCCACAGAAAGCACCACAGGAACACCACGGACCGAGGCGGGGTTCAGTCCGTGCATGTCCCAGCCATCCCTATATCCTACTCTTGGTAATGACTATGTGTAAAAAGAAGCGCAGTAGAGCGCCTGCTGCTGCAGAACGTCACACCCCCCCTCTAGCTGCAGTACCTGCGTGACCGCGCAGCACTGGTTGGAAGGCCAGGGGCCGGTGCTTCCAGGTGTAGAATGCCACGTCTCGAGGCGCGCACACACACACGGCAGCTTCTGCCATCGCTGCCCACCGTAAGACAGCGAAATACGCGTAGTAGATAGAACACGGGACGCTGCAAACCAGAAGTGCCCTGCGCCCAGCAAACTTGAGCTGTGGACGCCGCCCATGGGGCACGTAAAGATGCGCTTATTAGTTTCAGAGGTATGGGATCGCTCTGTCCCCCAATTCCGTTGTAGGGGCAGTCTGTTACAAGTGTGGTGTTGTCCGGTGGCACTTCGCTGAGACAGCGGAAAGGGCAGATGCCCGTCCTGCCACCTGCTTTCGCAAGAACAACAGAGCTACAGCTCCCGCTTGGTTCGGGGACCTCTGCTCCGTATAAATGGAGCTTGCTTGTGAAGGCACTATCAAGCACTACCTTCTGATTCTTTAGGTTCTCGACTAGTACAACGGAGAACCCGCCTTTTACGCTGATCGCCTCTCATAAGCACCTGGTTGGGGCCCTACACTATTTTGAAATGCTTTCCTACGATACAAATTGGTCGCTGAAACTTGTCTTGGCTTCACAGGAGAGAATCATTTTTCTGAGCAACGCGGAAGCCAAAAGAGAGCATCCCAGAAACCAAGGCGGAGTCCTAACGAGGCCAAACTTCGTCGATGTCGGCCACAATAACTCACTTTAGAGCATTTAAAAAGGCAGTAGTGGGGAGAACCATCGTGATTCCATTCATGATGGTAGGTATGTAGCAGGTCAGTGGTGAGGGGCCCTGCGATTCCTGTTACGTTGGCTGCGAGATGGGACCCTGAGTGCCCAATTTTCTATACTCTAGTCGCCTGGCATGACAAAACTTAATGTTGGTAAAATGTAACTTTATGGCTTTGAGTAATAGAGTGCCGCCGGGCTAGGGAGGCCTACCTCACCCTCCGCATCATCGTTTGGGTCGGGCCCTTCCAGAATTGGAGACTACGAGGAAAGACTGACTGTTTAACGTAATATTCTTTCTGTATCCGTACGGAAAAGGGGATATAAGAGATGACTTCATTACTGGCGAAGATCCACGATGGACCAATACCAATGCCCTGTCTGCTATGAGAACTGCTGCTACAATCCAGAGAAGAAGTTGTACTACTCTGACGTGTGTTCGCACCGGCTCTGTGACTCCTGCATTCAGTTGCAGTTTGCTGATGCGCCTGTTGGGGTGGCTGCAAGCGCCAAAGGTTCCTGTCCCGTATGCCGTCGGGCACTCACTCGGGGGAATTACGTGCTAACCGAGCCAGAAGTGGATCTCTTTAGTGTAGAGAAGGAAGTCAGAAAGCGTGTCAACAACGCGTAAGTCATGCACTCTTGTGCATTATTCCTAGCATCTCTTTAACTGGGCTACCCTTCTCTGTCGAGTGCTAAATCATACTCCGCGCACTGCATTTCGGAGAAACGTACTGCGATTGGCATACTTATAACACCAGTTTATGCCGTTTGCGTGTGAGCTGTATCAGCTTGAACGCCCTTCGGGACAACTTCGACAGCACCCCCGCCTACAATGATTATTTAGAAGACAAAGAAGAGACCAGTACGTGTTTTAGCCGGAAGTTTTCCATGACCGTTTTACCCTATCGAGGCACTGGTGCCCCTATCGGCGCCTAGTCTTGGCACATTGAAACGTGTCACTTTTTCTCCTGGTACATGGACTGTGTGTACGGCTTGGGTTCACTGAGCTCTCTGGCCATCATCGCAGCGGGCAACACAAAATGGCCTGTGTGGGCATTTTGCCGATTGCAGTTTACGAGTTGGTCTATGGCACGGACGATCAGCTGAAGCGAAGGCTCGAGAACCGATTGCGAGACATTGAGGGCCATGGACGTACTCAGTCGCAGCACCACCAGCAGAAGCAGCAGCAGCAGCAGCAGCAGAATTCCGACGCACGGGCCGCCCTGAGAGTCAGGAAGATAAAGGAGATAGTGAAGAAGGAAGGCAACTTTTACGAAATCGTCAAATACAAGCCTTTGGGCAAAAACCTGAAATTTAACGACGAACCGTACCTACATGTGGGCTTTCCCCTTTGCGGATGCCCTCCATGCACGGTGCAACAGCTGCTTACTTGCCATGAGCAGCACTTTATGCTGAATCAGTAGCAGTAGCATCAGTTGATGTGACGTACCGTCTTTATATTCGTGCGGCGAGTGTCCACCGGATTGTGTGTTTCGTGTTGTTGCGTGGAATGCACAGGTGCTAGAGCGGCAGTACTCCTCGCTATTCCATGGAGACTCCGCCGGGGTTAGCCACTTGACGGCCGCAGCAGGAACTGCAGACTGCGCGCGTCCCATCGACGCGTCAATAAGAGAGGACCAACATATCCCAAGGAGGCGCTACACCAGTGTGGCTGACTTCGATGCGGCAGGGGTGGCAGCCGGATATGTTCCCGAGCTCGTCAGGGGTCGCGGTAGGCAAGAGCTGTGCGGGATGTTGCTGGTGCTACAGTGAGCACTGACAATAAGAATTAGCAGCTTGCTTCGTTTTGCCGTGAAAGCTGCTTGCTGACCCATCCACAATGATGCAATGCAGTGTTGCCTTTGTGAACCACAAATGATAAGCTTTTTGGCCACATATAGCTTTCCAGCCCCATCAACTGTAGTGCACGTGCTGCCTTAGGCGTTCTGTGTAGTAGCTTCGGTATTTTCGTTCCATTGCGAAAGCATGAGCTAGAACGTGAAGCAGACGGTGATTCTCCTAAGGTGGGTGCCGCTACGTTAGCATACGGGTGCCTCCCACCGGCGGGACCCTAGAAACGCTGGGGTTCGCTCAACCAGCCCGTGTTTGAGTCTGATGCTTCAGCTAAGTACCTGCAAACGACGAGCTGTGTTCGTGTATGCTGGTGAGCTTGGTGCTAGGGGTAGCGTGTCACGTTATCTGTTCGAATATCGTGGAAGGCGAAATTCCTTTAGCTACGGTGTATTTGTTTTTGGTGCGTAGCTGAGCACTATAATCGAACAAAGTCATGCATATGTAGCGATGCAGAGGAGCACAGCTAGGCAAAAATAATCAGCGAAAGTCAGAAGCATTTTCTAATGGACGCCTGACAAAAGGCCGACTTGGGCCTGCAACACTTGGTCATCTGCCACTGCAGGCCTGCAGTTCCAGGCACAGTAAGTCACGTGCTTTGGTTTGTAGCGAGGGGAAACATACGCACATAATTAAGCTTGTGCTCGTAAAGTTGGCAACTCTATAAAGAACATTGGAACATCCATAAATGACGAATCTTCTTGCTTTGGCACCAATTCAAGGTACACGGGTCTGCAAAGGAGAAAGGAGATGGTCAGAGGCAGGGTAGTTTAATGGGCAGTTTAGGCAAATAATTCATAACAGGCTCAGGTTGTTTATAGAAGCCTTTGATTTGTATGCGTCTGATTTAAAACGCACGCTCGAGACGAGTGCAAAGGAATATTCCTGTAGGCTGTGTGCCGGCGCATAGTTTGTTAGTCCTATGCTGCCACTCGGACTTTTAAGGGTTGTCCGAATAAAAATTAACATGAGTCAAAGGGCAAAATCTTTGGCCTTCATTGGTATTTGTTTTACATTGGTGGTAACCAAGGGACGCATTCGCTCAGAATGCCAGTGAGGTAGATCAGCCAGAGGCATTATCTAATCTTTCTACCGTCCAGACCTGCGCGTGCATGCCTACCTGTCTTGCAGAATGCTACACGGCACTAGGCATGGCTAGACATTCGCGCTACCCGAAAGTGCTTGCGGTGCCCATAGAGCAGATCAAAATGTAAGCAATGTGTCCCTTACTTCAGCTCTATCGTGCCGTGCCAAACAGAAGGAAAAAGTGAGACCTCTGCTCGACACGAGAAGAAAACCAAAATATTGCCCAGATGAGCTAGAGGTACTGCTTATCCACTATTGCGATGTCCACTTGAACAAGTTGAATGAAACTTTGCAGAACAAGTGTAGCACTGACGGGACCCCCGTTCTCAACCAAACATGTACGCTGCTAGTTTGTAAAATGCGTCGGATTCTGATAGTTCAATGGAGCCAAGCAGACAAAACCGCTGAAGTAAGTGGACGTCACTTCAGTCATTTAGGCGCCTGCAGTCCTTTGATTTGCTAGAGTCCTGTGCTGACAGTGTCTATTGTACCTTGCACATTGCCGACTTAGCCCTGTCGAGCCGCTTACGAGACCCCATCAGCAAATTGGTCTCGGCAGTAATACGCGCAAAGAGGTGCACGCCTTCTTTCCAGACTCAAAGGAGTACCAGACCAATATCGTTATGCTGCACCTGTCAAGCACATATGAAACGACAACCAGCCTCGATTGCAGAGTTCACAGTATCCCCACTACATGTCAGTGCATTAGAACGCTCTTGAAGGACAGGAAGCGGCCAAAACACTGCTCTACCTACCCAAGCACCAAATACTTACCTGAGGGCACCTCCAGTTGTACAAATAGTAGCGTAGGAAGCCATCACCAACTCCAAATTTCAGGTCCTGATGCGGACGCAGAAAACAAATTGAAAATTCATGCTATGGAACTCATCGTTTCGTCCAAAAAGTGGGTACTTCGGAGCAGTTCGCACCCATCCTGATGAGCCATGCAACTCACCTCTACAAATGTCTTATTATCCATGACATCTAATGCATTAAAAACATCGAAGTCCCTGAGAACAACGAGAGCCGAAGAAGCAGTCTGACATGGATGTGCATGCAAGCGTGGCCTGGTGCTGAAGGGTTTCATAGGCTACGGCTCTTACTTCTGCTTGGCCAAGCAAAGAGCATCTTGCATAAGGTCCTTAAGCGGAACGGTGGTGGCAACGTTGTAAAAAGAGTACGCTGCCTGCGAAGAGTCACCTATACACCAAAAGTACTGCATCTGAGAGGGCGGCAGAGCAAACTGACTTACTGGTCCGCCTCCTCTATCAATGCTGAGAGAACAGAAAAAGCCCAATCCTGGAATACAGGTACGACGAGCTGATGTGGTATGCCTAGTCCTCGGTATTGGATCTCACCTTTACTTCCTTGTGTTTCGGATGCCCAATGACAGAAGATGGCAGCTGGTAGAAAGAAGTAAGATCCGTTATTTTTCCTGAGCACCAAGGAGACGAGGAGATACGTGATGGACCCTGGGCCATTAGGCAGTTTGCAGCTCCCTTCAAAATAACGTTATGTAAGGACCGAACTGTGCTACTGGCGCCAAACAAAGTATGGCGTTTGCTGTGAATCTCTTGAACGAGCCACGTGCAGTAGACGGGCCATAAAACTTGGAGCCTGTGAGCCAAATGGCGAGGACGCTTCAGTTATTCGCCAGCCATGACAAGGAATGCTCCCCTGCCATTCTTAGGCACCTCTTGAGGTGCCTAAGAATGGCACATCTAGTGGCACCAACTCACCTTCGTGCTGTCGAACGTATACATACACCACATTTTCTCGTGGGGTTAACCAGTGTCGTACTTCCTCCTCCGTGAAGTCCGGATGTAGTTTGAAATTCCTGACGCGTCATAGTCACCAGCAAGTCTTTGTGCGCCAGTCGAAATCCTGCTTGAAACAGCATTATATATGCTTTAATGGTCTCTAGCCACATGGAAGCAATGAAACCCCAGACCCAGCCCAAAGAAAACGCACCGCAGGTAAGCCATCAGCAGTTTGTGCACCTGAGGTGTATCTGACTCCTTCATCGGGCGCAGACCCTCAGTTGCGGGCTCTTCGCGCACCTACGAACACCGACCCCCATCACACTTTTAATGACAAGTCCGTCAAAGCCTCGTCAACAGCTCTCCAGGAAGCGGCAACAAGCTGTCGGGTGCACAATGAGTCTAAGGCGGTGTGACTGGGGCCTGATACTTCGTCTTGCCTTGTACAGTTTTATACTCCGGCTAATTGTCATCCGCTGTCCAAGGCCGCTGAATCCTACTTCCACGAGCTTCTTTGGATTTAACAACCGATGCCAGTAGCGGCATTCGGCAACTGGGGTCGGCAATACAACGCCTAACAAACGGCAGCAAACGCAAAAAGATCCCACAGAGTCACTATAGGCACGTCAGTGCAACGCAGGGTTGCTTCCAGGACGCAAAACAGCAGTCACCAGAAGAAGAAAAAAAGATGCCGCTCCGTGCTACCGGCGAGAGTCGCCATTGAGAGGCCAACGAAAGGGGGGATGTGTTCCTTTTTACCTGCTGTATACACCGCCTGCCAGATCCCCTTCAGGTTAACCCGCCGAGTAATTTCCTTGATCAGCACCTGTTTCAGTAAAACCAGCGGAGGCACATAGAGCGCAATAAAGATTCCCTCGACGGATCCCATTGAAAAGCACTCTCAAACGTGTCAAGGTGAACATGACAGAAAAGCGCAGCACCTACCCCCTATCAGGCTTATCCCTTGTTTGAACATAGCACAAAAGAACTTCCTTGGCTATCATAATAAAAGGCTACCGCTATAATTATCGGGCTCGATCCCATTGTACATACGTCGAAAAGATGCAACCGTATCAAATGACTTTGATTATTCACGCAGCATCCCTCGCGATGGATTATGGCTGCCCCCAAACTGACCCCTTAGGCCCATCAATAATACGAAATTGTGAAACGAGCCACAGAAGCACTTCTCCTTTCGGCTAGCGTTGCTCAAACTGTATACTTTACAGGTATTTACACATTATGTAGCCAAATATATTCATACATACACGTTGGTGGCGATATGCACATTTAATAGCAAGAGCACTGCTATTTTCCCACACTCATGCACAAAACTTGAGCACAGTCTTTATCAGTATGCATAATAGTAGGTGTGCAAGATGCGACACAACTACCCAGCAGACATGCACACAACACTTGTACATTTGTCAAACTGTACAAAGCAGATAAAGCTAGCGCGTTGCGTGAGTTGTAATGCTCTGCAGTACGTTCCTCTAAATGGAGGGACTCACGGGGGCGAGGCGTTTGCTGCGAAGTTTCTTATGAACGCACAGAAAGTTCACCTCGGCCACCTGGACTCTCTTGCCGTTGCACTGTAATGCTGTTGGGATCGCCGTAATAAAACCAACCAGCTGAACGAAAAGAATTAATGGAGGGTCCGAAGGCAATAAACAATCGAAGGAAGCTTATTGACGAAGCCGCACACCAAATGACACCACGAAAAAGAAAGATCTTATGCCTTGCAGTGCAGAAAGAAGTCCATTCAACAGACGTGTGCATTACCTTGTCATGGGATATATACATATACATGTCCAGAGTTCCTCCAAATTTACGTGCATTCGTGCATACATTTGTGATATGAAATCTCTTTTGCGTTTGAATTACAGCGCGGAACCGATCGGGATGGCAGTCAGTGTTTTGTCCTTCCGCTTATACACAAGTAAGAGGTGCGAAGTGGAAAAAGATCGCTGGTGAAAATGTTTTCTGCAGGTTCCGAAAGGGAGATAAGTGAATGGCGTGAAATGCGAATTTTACCTTTTTAGTGGACTCGACTCTCACGCCGATTATCCACTCCTTAATGGCTCCGGGGGGATCCAGAGCCCATGGAAGAAACTCCCGACCGTAATTAAAGCGAAACAGATTGTCGTCATCTTCCACGTAGTGCAGCGCCAGCAGGTGATACAGCTAAAACATACACAAGCACATTGCGAAGAAAGTACTTTCCGCTTTAAATCATGAGTACTGGACTGTACGTCACGACTGGCAGACCCTATGCCTTTTAGAGAAAACCGAATACTCCCGCGGAATGCACGATGGAGTGATTTCTCTTCGCGACTTGCCTCATCTACGACCGCCGGATCATTAACTGGACATTCGGACCATATAAATCCACTGGGTAGGTTGTAAGGCTCCTAAAGGGACATCAGTTGAAAGAAAAGCAAAAAAGATGGAACAAATGGGGGAACCGCAATTCGGTGTGCTTAGGTCTCTTGACGTGCAAAAAGGTGCGAAAAGGGCTAAGAGGGCAACAGTGATAAACTCACCTTGCGCACGTCGTCAATGGTCTTGGCTGCATCAATGGGACCTTCGTCCTGAGGCGAACGAACGCAGCAGCGACGGCACACGGTAGCATGCAGTCATATCAGTGATCCTTCCCTATGCTGCACGGAAGGGGGCGAGCGCGCCACCATCTAAGTGTGATTTATCATCTAAATAACTTTAATCCGTGGCCCACGGCCTGTGCCTTACAGCTGGCGTAAGGCTGTTAAGCTCTGATGCCTTCAGTACAGGTTGGGTGTCCCAGAACAAATGCGCACTGTTCGCCTTGCGGTCCGAAACCCGCATGTCTACAAACAGGAAAAAAGCTACTTAGATAACCCGTAGTGAGAATAGCTAGCTTGATCATATGCATAGGGAATATTCTCGATCTACGTCATGAAGGCGTGTCCTGAAAAGACACTAATGGCCGACCCGCCCAACCACTTGACCACTTGTGTCATCAAAAATCGTCTTAACGTGCGGGTGCTGTACCCGGTGAATAACACTGCTATGAAGGGTAAGGAATTCTATCAGCTTGCCTCGTAGCATCTTCGCCAGCTCAGCTGCCGATGGCGCAGTTGGTCCTATCGAGGCTACAGGGGCGGCGGGTTGGGCTGGAACGGCCTGCCGGCCAGCAGGTGAAGCCGATGCAGCGGTGGTCGGGGTATCTGCCTCCTTAGATTCCAGCCCATCTTTATGGGCCATGCCCCTCTCCCCTGTATTTGAATTAGCAGGCATCTTGCTTTCCTACAGAGTAAAACCCTCTCCCTCAGTAGTGTAATCCTAGCATATCTTCACTCAACGACCCCGGGAAGCCCTCCACAAAAGCGGCCACTCCTTCAGCGAAACGCGTAGGCAGATATTTTGAGCTCAACCGAGGGCGCGGGCAATCAAACTGCAATAGACTATAGCGGTTGCTTGAGGTATGTCGTTCAAGAGCCACCACCACCACGACATCAAAATGGAAATGCCGCTGTCTGCTCAACTAGCATGAGCCAGACAGGGCATTAGGCAAAACAGATAACACCAAAACAAGAATGCGACGATAGAAAAGGTTTTAGTCCGATTACGAACACTTTTTCCAGCACAAGGATTGCATGCTCTCGGTTCGGTCTGGGGCTGGCGCGAGTAGGCTGTCGTCGGCGCCGCAGACAACGAGAAGCAACCCTCCTGACAAAGGGTGGAAATTCTTTCCCTGATGCTCTCCTGTAAAGCCAGCAGCAACAACTGTGCATTCCTGTTGAGCGGTGAGGTCTTGAATAAAGTTTGGGCGCAGCCCGGCTAAATGCGCTGCGGGCTTCCCTCGGCCCAGCTGATGTACCATAGCAGTACATACAACAATCAGGTAAGAGAGCGCGCAAGACTGGTAGTATAGCTTACTTTGAGGTATGAAGTACATAATTTGGAAATCAGCGGGTCTCTTCAGCGTCTTCCTGCACGGTCATTCAACTTTAGAGCTCCCTGCCGTGTATAAGGTGGACAGAAAGCACTGCTAGAAAACTTTTATCAACTTGCGTGAGCTCTGTAGCAAAGTGAGGATTATCAGCCGCCGATGCTCACTTATGCACACTGTTCCAGTTGGGTGAAGAACAGCCAACTAAGTGTAGAAAGCATCTTGTAGCGCTCTGTCTGCTTCGGTAGCGGGCTAGTACGCATCCATGCACGTTCTAGTACACGTCATATTTAGCAAACAGTTGACCATTTGGTTTTTGTCTGTATGTAATATCTGTTCCACAGTGGTCTCGGCTCGATACACAAAAACGCAATGTTCTGTACGCATGCGCTGGATGCGCTGGGTAACTAGCTGTGAATGTTCGGAGTGCCTGGAGGGTGCAGCAAGGCAGGCCCTACCCGAACCGCTCTCTTCATCACGGGAACCGTGAAAAGTGCGGGCAGGGGAAGAAGAGAACTTTTCTGAGAACATTCGATAGCTTTGGACTACTGTGTTGAGTTTGGAATCACGTGTCGCCCTAGGAAAACCTTAGATGAAGGCTTACAGTTGGCAGCGCCGCATGGCTCAATGCAGGGTGTCCCCCTCTCACTCATTGGCTGTGTACGCATGGGGTTGCCAAGTTTCCCCACATCATTTTTCTGGTTTCGATCACGTTCTCTAGGAGTTCAATAATTTGATTTCGTTTTACGACAGCCCTTGAGACACGCTATAGCGATGGGAACTAGCGGTAGTGCAAGCTCGCTGGTGCGGCAGAGGCTAATGTGTATATCGCTCCATCTAAGGACCCCGCAGGGATACACTCATCCCCAGATTCAAACAAAATCTATAGAAAGTTACAGCGCTTTCAAAAGAGCCTTATCCTTCCCCTCCACACACCCCAGAGTTCCAGACATGAAGAGATAGGGACATCTAAATGCATGTTGTTGCATGCTCTATACACTACGAGCATCCACAGCTAGCTTCAGATAGTATCTAGTGTATAGGGATAGTTCATTTTTGTCTTCTATAATCGAGCAAATTGTAACCTGCAATAAGTGACGTAATCGATACACGAAGAAACAAGCCAATCACTATATTCTGTAGCTTTTCTTAGCGAAACGTGATTAATATACTGGAAAGTGAATGTGTATAGCTCAGCCCGCTACGTTTTCCCCTGCAACCTTGAAACACGCACGTCCTCAAGTTCCGTACTTGTCCTTCAGAGACTATCTGCATGCAAGAGAGCGGATGAATTACCGCCCTGTCGCCACTCTCCAGGCTGACAAAAACACGAGAACCATGCCAGCGAAAATGGCAAAGTGAGCATCGACCGCTGGAGAAAAGTCGACGGAAAGAAAGGCACAAGCACTAGCCAACCACGGATGACTGAAGAAACCCGAACGACTGCGGGGGCTCGATGGCTGATTGCCGTTGGAACATTGATATGCGTGAGCCCTCTGCTACGGCGAAGCAGAAATTAAATATAGTGTGGGAAGAGGAAAAACCCACATTCCATAAAAAGGATCTTTCAGCCTCATTTCAATGTCTGCATGTTAGTACAGCCGGCGCATGCAGCATGCTCGGATTTCAAGTCTCAAAAGCGACAAAAAGATTAATGTAAAGAAAACGTACCTGGGAGTACCTCCGCATAGATCTGAGCTGAGAGGGCACCTTAATACTGATAATCGGCAACAAAAGAATCATCGACCGTAGGTGAGGCCAGCTATTTCAGGCAGAACATATGCTGAGGTGGCACAAGCAGTGAGGCATGCGAGGAATACCGTCCATGGTGACTAGTGTTATGAGCCACAGAGTTCCGCCACCCGCAGGTAACGAAGCTTGCACCTGTTTCCTTGTCAACTACAGAAGTTGGCTTTTCCTACTCCATATCACTAGAAAGTCCCGCTTGCTTTTGTCAGCGCTCAAAAGTCCTAGAATCCAGCACTTCTCCTGCTCCCTATGGTATCCCCGCATCTATCTGCCTCAATTTTTTGCACGGCAAAGTCGGCTAATAGGTCAGAATGTCTCAAAATTTTTGAGAGCAGCCACCATTTATTGTCCTGTGAAATCATCAACTCTCACTCTCAGAGAAATCAGTAGAGTAAGAAGGAAAACATTGTCGCACAAGAGGATAGCAAATGCTCCTAGAGACCTGGATGCAAACGCCTTTGTCGGCTTACCTCCAGATGCAACTTGTAAAATATGCTATCCTCCAGGCTCAACTATACAGGCTCGAAACACACAAGTGAACGCCACTCATAATGGCTCCGTTTTTGCCCCTTTTGAAATTCACATTTACATTCGCGTGCACTAGCCAGCTGCTTTCTCAATGCCTCCACCGCTACGGGTGGCTGCTGACCTCTCAGCACCAGGTTCAGGCTTGGATAGGAACAAGGGCTTCTCACCGAATGGGCATCCTCATCGTAGACTAGGGATGCGGGAGAGCCAAGGACAGATGAGGGTACTTTTGCACTGTAAAGTTACTCGGCACACGAAAGAAAGCAAGCTAAGAAATCATTTGTTTGTGAGCAAGGAGGTGAAACACTGCAGAAGCGTGCAGCCGGTGCGCTCTACATGTCGGACTGCCTCAGGGTGTTTCGTGGTAGTCATGTCCAGGTCAATGTGTAAGAGGGTCATCAAGGCAAGCCAGAATGCGAGAAAACAAACTTTGGATTCCTATTTGCAGTGTTATTCCTGAGGAACTGGTGAAACCTCCACACATGAGCTGCGAATAATTGAGCCTATTCCTGATCCGCGATAGGGCCGGATCAAGTGATAAAATGGGCAAGTTTGCTAATTCTGTAGAGAAAGTAGATGCTATCCTGACCCTTGACCTCCGACAACCCACAATAATGTCCATAGTCAGATCAGACTAAGTCCTTTGAGAGGCCGAAAGGCTTTTAAAAAGTGGGGGCTAGAAGAAATATGCAGCTCTAGCTCCTCACAATCTGGTCATAACCTACACTCCTGCGGCAGTACACATTCATGGCCACCAGAAAGACTGTGAGTGCGTGTCCACTGTCGCTTGAATTCCACCATGATCCGCAAGAAGATGATAGTCTGAGCTCCGCAAGTAATATCGCGAAGACAAGTCAGGATATACAAATGATAGAGTCCCCATCTTGTTTTATGTTAGAACATGTCATTCTTGACGTGATGGTGCTGGAGCGTTGTGCCATTCTGGGTATTGGCAATACTAGCAGATCCATGGGTGCCAAAAGCATTGGGCGTACAAGCGTTCAACCGTGAACCATCGCAGAAAAGAGCGGCTACGCTGCTCAATAGTGAGTTGCTCCAGTACGTACAAGCTCACAGTGAAGTTTATGAAGGGCACTACCCTCTTGAGAGAGACTAGCAGCCATCGCTTCATCAGCAGAGCTTGTTCTTTGGAAGAAGTAGGGCTCATAGTTTGGCAGAGTAAGTATCGGAGGGGTCAAAGATGGGAAATAAGCACCCTTGCTGAGGTATCGGCAACCTCTGACTGTTTGAATAACAGATGAAAAACAGAATTAGCATAGATCCGGGCATATCCCGGAAAGAAATTTTGGTAATGTGATAAAGACCCCTAAGAAATTCTCAACGCTCTTGCGAGTGCGTGAAGGCCACACGCTAATTGTTTTATTTTTTGCCAAATCTGACTAAGCTCCTAAAGCTAAGATATCCGGAAACGCAACTATCCTTTACAAAAACAAACACATGCGCGAACTCGCGTCTCGTTCTTATTTCCCAGCAGCTCTAGCGCACCCCATGGGTGCTGGAGATGCTCTTGAACATTTTGGCTAAATACTACGATGTCCCCATGTAAGCAACAACCCAGTCTTCCTTGACAAATCCATAAAGATACAAATAAACTCGCCGTTTCTGGTTAGTTGTGGCATCAACCAGTCTAAACGGCACACCGGCGTACTTAAGTTGCGAGCGCGAGTGTGAGACGCATTTTCGTGCATGTTATGTGCTAGAGTGAGAGTAGGGGTATGTGATAAAGCGTCTGTGAAATCGAATTTTGAGTGCTGCTGATCTGTGTAGCATGTCTGTAAGCTGCTAAATCTGGTGAGCTGGACGACAAGTCGGTGGCCAGTCTACTGGCAGCTCATCCCTTCTTAGCACATAAGCAAACTCCTCGAGATTTGCCTGTTCCTCCTTTTCCTTCGGCTAAATGTTCAACCTAATTTCTAGTAAAGAGCTAGTTCTAAAGCCAGGAAGACAGGATACATGCTCCGAACCATCTTATCGTCTCATCTTACTGCTCCGCCCCGCCACCCATACGAAGTCAGTGCCTCAGCTTGTTAGGGCACCGACTCCACCCCGTTCACCATTAATGAAATGAACGCTGTTGAGGTGCTCAGGAGCTGCTGCTTCCTGATGCTTTCAGGAGCTCTAAACTCCACAAACACAGCTGTGCAGCATGAGCGCCTTCTATTGGGGCAACTGTGGCATATCTAGCCATGGTACACGAGTCTAGAGAAGTCCTGGACTCTGCTGATAGGATCCGTCTCCGATTTGAAGTGACGTGAAAGAGCCTTGGCAATCCTTGCTTCCTGTTTCCTGCCAGCAAAGCAAAGTATTAAAGACTGCGCCAACACTGAACAGGCAGATTACACTTCTGTGCCACTTCCTTGGAGACAAGGTCCGCTTTACATCCTCCGGTGTAAAGAAACGCTAACAATTCTTGACCGTTAATGTGAACTTGTACGTGCATAGAATGGTATCACGATAGGTCTTTGAATGCGGCTGTATTTTTCCGTTGCTCGCTTCACTGTACCGCAGCCTACATGGCGGCTTACTGTTTCCCTGCTGCGCCATACTTGCTTGTCAAGCAACCTGCTTCTGCTCAGCTTAGTCCCTTCGCTCAAGTTCTATGCTTTTCTGTATGCACTTGATCTTCTGAAATCTACATCCGGACACCCAATTATCGAAGCAAGTGAGTTGTTGGGAGCTGGCTGGAGCTGCCAAGGAGCGTGGGTTCCCTCTGGCTTTCATTTATTGTGTATTTCACATAGGCTGCAGGCTTGGGCGACTTGACACAGCCCCAACATCCTTGATGTCTAAGTTCTGATCTTGACTTGGTTATTCCCAATCAAAGACGCAGATTATGCGTGCAGATGCCGCTGAATATTCAGTTAATCCATCGCGTGTGGAAGCCCCCCGGGTAGGTTGTTAAATCCACCTATCCATCCTGTGACTACCTGATGGGGCAAGTTGGGTAGCCTAATGTAAGCTACTGGGAAGCAGACATTTGTCTGTCTTGCAGCTTTTCAAACCAGAATTTAATATATTGCGAAACACCGATCTGTACATTGCTTGCCTTGGCTCAACTTTCTCCCTCCCCCGAGCCCGCGTGAGGTGCCCCTACCTATCAAAAATACCATTCTTTGTGCCTTTACCAAACGTTGCACGGTTCTTAGTGGGCTCAAACTGTCGAAGGTCCTGTACAACTAAATTCGCCTAACAAGCAACGGCAGGTCCTAGGCTCCGAAGCAGATCCTTTGTACAGCTGCTATAGACTCCATAGTCACCGGGATCAACTATTAGCCAAATCCAACTGCAAAGGGATTAATCAGTAGCCTTGTGCCAGTAATGCCATCAATTTCCCGCGCCCCGAAGTTGTTCGCCAACAGCGTAGTGGCGTTCGAGCTACCGGGTACACCTTTTATTACAAGCAGCAGTCTACAAAGTCTCGAACATTATACGACAGCAGCAGCTTCTGGGATTGCTACATGGAGAACATATTACGAGCAGCTGTCGCTCACAGTCAAGTCAGTTGTCCTCATAGTCACCAATGCCACCTTCCCCAATGGCAAAGACAGCCTCTCCCTCTGGAAGGCTGGGACTGTCGTATATTTTACAGATTCTGCTTTCGCCTCTGCCCTTTCTGAGGTACAGACGTGTCTGACTAGCATGCGCCATTATATTGCCCCCGATAGGGAGCTTCTCGTTGGCGTTGAACATGGAGGGGCCTGCGTCTACTTTAGCAACGACTTGGTTGCTTACTACCACCGCCACTCCGTACGTGTCGGCAACTCGCTGCAGGCACCGCATGAAGCGGCATAGGTGCATTTGTCTGTTTGCCAGCTCCCCACGACCAGCAAACTCGGACCGATACAATGCCGTCGCACTGTCCACAATCAGCAAGGCGAAGCGAGACTCCGCCATCATGGCGCCTGCCTGGGTCAACAACTCCAGCTGATGATCTGATTGCACAAAACAGAGACGATATACACCACGTTTTATCATTTTCTAGTTAACACGTACTGGTGCACATCCTATTCACGTCAGCGTAGATAAAACCGGGGAGGGCGGGGCAATTAGTGTTGTTCGTTGAGCCTTCAAGGCACTTTGCTGCCTGCTATTCCTGTTTTAAATCTTTTTTGTTAGAAGTGTAACCTGCTTTACCACAATTGTAAGCTCGAGCATAAGCGATGTTATCAAGACAGTCGCTAGGGTCCAGCCCGAAACGCTTGGCAATGGCCACGATGCGCTCGGGTCTGAAAGTTCCTTCCGTATCTATCCATAGACATTTACCTTCTCCACCGCTTTGCTCTACCGGCAACTGGCAAGACACCTGAGAGTAAACCAAACATCCTGAGAGATTCCACTGAGCAGAGTAACCCGAAAGGATTTGAGCAGGAAGCAACTCGAGACCCCAAATCAGGAAGTGTCATTATCAGTGTATGAAGAGCTTTAGACCTCAGCAAATCTGGACATTGAAATTTGTGGAAGGGCGCTGGATGCCTTTGATGCGGCGCAAGGGTAATGGCCTCTTGGCAGAAGCATCGAGCTGTTCAGAAAAAAAACATGAACTAGAGCTAAGGACACTAGAGACTATGAACATTTCCGTGGGCAAGACCGCCAAGTTACCGCTAATGTGTGGCATAGCTGAGTCTTTCCAGTCCTGAATTCGCCGAACAGCTCCGTCAGGTTTCCAGTCTCAACGCCACCTTTCAAAAGGGCATCAAGCTGCACGCTGCCAGTCGTGAAGCGAATCAGGTTAGATCGTGCTTCCAGGTACTCCTGTGCCGAGCAAAATCCAAGGCTGCAAAGCTCCTTGCTTGCCTGCTTTAACTTTGCCGCCTTTTGCTCGCTAATGCCCTTAATGCCCAGAAGCACCTTCACAGGAGCAAAGGCGACACATTCCACTGTGTGCAGACCTCCTGAGCCGCATTATCCCACCCATCCAAATACCTGCATGTGCGAACACCAAACGGATGCAATGCATGAATTCATTTATCATACATTCCCCCTCTACAACTGCACACCTTCCTTCAAGAGTTCTAAGTCCTTTTTTGTAAGTCCCTTGGCCAGCAAGTGCTCAAGCTTGAGCGGGCCCGACTGAAGATCTTCGCCCTGAGAGCAATTCGCAGCAAAAAGGATATCCGAAGTTTCCATATCTTTCACTCCTCAGACATGAAGGTTTGAAGTTTCCCGCCACCGAAATGACCTGGCAACACCCGAAAAGATACCGCATTGATCAGTCGAAGTACTGTCTCAAATTTCTGCTCTTACCGCATCTTGAAGCTGCTGCTCTTGGACTGGTCTGGACTGCTGTATAGTAGAGCTCATTGCTCGGATTGAACAGTGACGCAGCCAGAAACCTGGCTGCTGGGAACCCTAACTGACGCGAAAGCGGCTGCCCAGAACCACTAGAACTCGGCTCAATGCGGGGGTCCAGGAACCCCCAGTGCGGCGCTGTCACGGAAGATTTACCACCGTGGGCAAGCTTCTTTCTCATGCCTCTAGGGCGTGGGGCCGGTGCGTCGAGAACAGAATGTATTTTGAGAGAATGATATAAGCATGTTTCCACTGTAAGCCGCGTGCCTCTTTCACCGTTTGAGAAGACTCAATTATATTTTTTTAACAGTGAAGGGGACTGCATCACGAAATATGGCCTGGATCGTATCACGAAACAACAGGACCGTTTGATAACTCTACAGCCTGTCCGCCCGTCGGCAGTGAAAAGCTCATGACACCCCTGCTCATGGCGATTCATCCGCAAAATAGCATTCCCCTCATTCGTGCGGGGTGCACCCTTATAGCTATAAAAAATCTGCAAAGAATCGGTACAGTAGTGTAAGCCCTCCTCAGGAGGGCGCTTGCACGTTGTAACACCAACCCCACCGGGAGGAAACACCAAGACAAGCTTGGAGCCTTCTATGGCAGTGGTCCTCTTGACACACTGGTTCTTCCTTCATGAACTATTTTTACTTTAAAAATCGCTACTTCAACTAGTAGATATGCATGTGAGGGGTGCAGTGCAGCGTTCCTTTGCCTGCTGGGCACAATACTGCTTTGATGGAAGACTTTAAGCCACCAAAGCTCGGTTAATATGCCATATACTTGTTTTATGGTTGCCTTCTGTAGAGAAAGCATCTGGAGTAAAGGTGAATCCAAAGCTAACAAAGTCCGATTTGGTAATCTCGTGCCAGGTTCCCCCCCGATGAGCAAGGCTTCCCTACACTGGAATGTGAATTGTAAAGGACTGTTGTACCTTTGGACGATTAAGTCTTTGATTATTCTGCATATTGTTGTATTTTCTTAGGATGTAGGCGAATAAAACAACAATTTGCGTGATGAAACGCTTCATTTTACCACGCAAGGTGTAGGTTTTTGTGTGTGTCTAACTAGAACCAGCTGTTTGCCAATGCATGAACTAATATGAGAGTCCACGTAATAGCACTTGATCTATCTCTGTTAAGCGAACGCTCACAACCTTGTGATCTCGGGGCAAATCGCGTCCGATTTCTCCCTCGGAAAAGCAAAAGAAACATTCAAAAAAATATTTAGCCACATTTCAGGCTCCAACTCTTTTCATAGAAGAGTGAGCATCCTTTGAAGCCACGCTACTATGTACTCGTTTTTACTGGTTTGCTGCGCTTCCCACTCCGTCAACTCGAGTGGTGTTGGAGAGAATACAACCTCTGGAAGAACTGACTGACGCCGCAGAAGATATCAGGACATGCCAAACGAAAAGCGGCTTTCAAATTCATTCGCGGAACTATCACCAGTGTCAAAACAGCTAACGCTCGCTACAAGCAGCCTTCTTTGAGGAGTGGCCTGCTTCACCACGCTCCGCGATTGCCTCCAGAGTCAATACAGAAATCGCGATCTGTTGAGCGTATTCAAAATAGCTCTCTTCTGCCCCTGTCCACGCCCCTAAGAGTCTCTAGAAAAAAGAGGGAGAGATAGGATGCGCGTTGCTTCACCCACGAAGCACCCCGGGCATCCACAGCTAGATGCACATGGCGCCTAGCGCACACGCACAAGACGTTGACATTTTCATCTAGCTTATAGGACTCTGCAATACATAAGATACATGAACACAAATTCCAAGTAATCAACGCTCGACTAAATCTTGATTAAGTTTAACCAGTACGGTAGAAAATGGTTATGTGTAGCTTGGCCCGTTACATCTTGAAAACAAAATGTGTAATGGACAGTTAAGTACACACTAGCTAATTACTAGCCAGTGCATTCAACATTCGTAGAGCAACGCCCGCATATCGATACAGCCGGCGCATGCAGCATATTCGATTTCTTTGCCTTATAGGCGCAGAAGCCATGTGTAAGGACAACATACCTGAGGTTGCCTCTGCACCAATCGACGTTTACAGCGCCTGAAGCCTGTCTGTTTCGTGCGGCTGCATGAAGTGAGGGGACACACAAAGCAGTACACCGCCAGCAAGTTCCTCTTTTCTGAGGTTCTTGCTGGCTCAGGTCTTTTGTGCTGCGTGAACTTTCAGGATACAAAGTGCTGCGCCCTCAATCAGTTGGCAAAAAGTTTGCTTCATGAAGGTAGCTCCATTTGTAGTTTAGAGCTGCAATGCTGCCGTAGTACTATCTAGACTTCCAGGGCAAATGATGCATGCAATTTTGTTAGATAGCGTGACTCATCACAGAGAGGGCGGCTGCGAAGCACAACACTCAAACGCTGAATCGTCGCGGGATCGGGTCGGACACCACCTTGGCTATATCGTTAACACGCTTCACTCTGAAGGCGCGCTGCACAAAGGGGCCCAATGGAGCGAGCATGTCTAGGATTATCTAAGTCATGGAAACTCTTGATAAGGTGCAATAACAACTGTTAGTCAGTCTTGACAGTAAAACGGCGTCCATTTAAATAGTGTGGAAGACTTTTCCTCTGTCTATCACACCCTATAGAGTTTCCTTTTCCACATTGGACACCTCTGCTGGGCTTTTGTAAAGCGATGGGACCGTCAGGCAATATTGTGTTCAGAAGAAACCCTTAAGCTGTTAATAGAGATAAGCACCAGCCATTACGCCCAAAGTTGCTTGAAAGGAAGAAGTGACGCGCATTAACGGGCAGCGCTAGTATATCAGGAGTTCAAAGGCGGGTGGCCAGCTTCCTTTGCTGGGGCATCAGCCTTCCCTCTCCAAGTCACTCATTATAGCTGTACTTTTAGGCGGATCAGTCAAGTGTGCCATGCTACGAGCGAATAAAGGAATAGCAGATTTGGTAATAGGATGAAGCCCCACAAAAACCTCGCAACGTCCTTGCAGGTGCAGAATAGTCGAGGTCACATCTTGATCACCGTGTGAATCTGGGTCAATTCCTGCAGCTGAGAGGCATGGAACAATTGAGGGTCTTCCATAAAGCAAATACTTGCGTGTACATGCCACTGCCTGTTCCAAAAGAGATGAGGCATCCACCGCTGCTGTTGGAGGTGCTCTTGGGGGCTTTGGCTAAATATCTAGACGTCTTCATGCATACGACCATCCAGTCCACCTTAAAATACCTATGTAGGTCCTTATTCACTTGGCCTTGCAGTGTGACCGGGGTCTCAACGGTCTCAACGGCACAGAAGCATACTAGATTTGCGAGTGCGAGTGTAGAGCTCAGTTTTGTATATAGCATCTGGGTGAATGGGGATCTGTCAAGATGGCTTCTGTGAAGTCGAATGACGAGTAGACTGTTGATCTGTGTAGTGTGACAAGTAGTTCGCTTAGCATCGTAAGCTCCTCGCTTCAGAGCGATCTTGTTTAGGAATTGGAAGACAGCTCACATGCCGCACCGCCCATTCTTTTTCGACACCAACACTGGGTGATACTCTAGGACACTGGTCGATTCCTGCCACTGACCATTCCAACATATCATCTGCCTGCAGCTCAATCGGGTATTGATGCTGTGGATGCCTTTTGATACCGCGAAACATATTTTGGGGCTGATCCAGGGATGAGCTCGATATGATGCGCTGGACGCCCGACATGTGACAAGCTAACTGGCAGCTTGTCATCATTTAGCACAACCACGAATTCCTCGTTTACCCATTTTTGCTGCTCCTCATATGTATATTCACTCAAAGTTTCTGTTACAAAAGAGGTTGCTCATGATTAGTCAGTCGCAGAGGCACTAGGACAACTGGACGAGGCAGCCCTGGTGAGCACTCTGGCACTGACTTCACCCTGCTAACCATAGGTGGAGTCAGCGCTGCGGACGGGACCATGAATTGCCTCCTCCTAGCATTTATTGACACACGTACCTCTACAAGGCGCAGCAACAGTAACCCGCGCCCCCCCCACTGGGTCAGCCCTAACACGCCTAGGATTACATCAATGTGCATGGATCCAACAACGTAGTCCTGGAAGCTTATAGGACTTTGAATTCGATATGAAAAGCATTTAACTGCAGCGGGCTTTCGAATGCTCGCATTACATTGTCCTTCTGCAAGCCTGAGCTTTACGCACTGGGCTAAAGAGTGAGTAGGCGAATTGCAGCTTTGTGCCGTTTCCTTGGATAACAGGCACTTTACATAGAAGCCTACAGTAAAGCCAGAAATTTCTTGACGAATCCTGTGAGCTTTTACCTGCGCAGAATTCACTCGTGGTGGCCCGCCAACTGTGACTATCACTTACAGCTTCCTTCACTGTGCCGCAACCTGCGTCGGGGCTTTCCATTTTCTTTTCTCACCTTGCTTCCTGCCCAGACAAACCACTTCCGCCGGACCTAGTCCTTTATTCACGTTTATTCCATTTAACACGCGCTTGCAGCTTCGGATCATGTATCCAATATACCATACCAGAAGCAGGCACGTTGATGGGGTCTCTGAGGCTGTCAGAGAGCACAGCTTCCCTTTGGCTTTCTTCTTCGGGTCACGGCTACTTGACACAACTCGGACATCGGTGAGTTCTAAGTACCGATTCCACTGTTCGTTTTCAGCCAGAGAGACAGGGGCTAGGCTCATTTGCTTTTGAAGCCTCGAATTTCTTACAGCTTTAGGAAGCCACGTTGGTCGGACATCCTGCAGCCATCTGATTTGACATTTCAGGTGAACCTGAGATAATGCATTTGAAAAAGCAGCTAAGTTTTTGCGCTATGGCATTTATAAGCCAAAGTTTTGTGCTTCCCGATCTACCGCTATATTGATGGAGCTCCCTGCTTTGATATTCTCAATTCGCCCAAAGTTTGCTGCTGAGCTTATCGAAATAAATGGATGGGTCAATGTGTGTATGAGGGCTTGAACTGTAGTGATGATCGCAGGCAGGTGAATTCTTTTCAGATGAATAGAGCCCTTTTCAAATCGTTTCCTTCTCTAGTAACATGCCACGAAAAGCACGCGTTGCCCTTCATCTTGGTGTACAAAGTGAGGCGCATCCCCACTGGATACTTAAGCCTTCGATTTCTCATCCATTCTAGCCACCGTCGTACATTTTGGGTCAGCGCTGTATCAATGTCACAGTTAGTGACAATATTCGGCCGATACCAATGATGATACGCCGGCTGGTAACTTTCTGCTTTCTCCTCAGCTTGCACGTGCCTGTGCCGCCCCAAGATGTGTCGTGTCATCGTTTGCTTCCATCGACAAGAGGAGCTTTTCCAGACTTTCGCCAGATATATCAGACCGTTGAATTGCCGAAAAGCTTTCTCGATGCCAGACAACTATGGTAGGGAAAGCTGAAATTTTACTGCATCCACATCCAGGTGAATGAGCGGGGAAGAGCTGCATCGAAAAATGTGGTGCTGCAAGCTCTAACGCTTTACAGTCTTACTATGGACACACTGAGCACTTGACTAAATGAAAACATAGTATAAAAATAATTATTGCTTTAAAAAGAACTCCCTGCATCCCCTTCTCGCGCCCCTCGGATTTCCCAACACGACTGGAGAGGGCCAACTAGGGTGCGCGTAGGTGCACCCTCTGAGCACTCCCAGTATTCAGAGCTAGATACGCATAGCGTTTAGCTGTGCAGGCTAAGATACGTGCAAACAGTCAATCATACATTAGTTATACTTACCTAGGAATTAGTAGGGTATTGACTAATGGATGGTTTCTATCAGTTACTGCAGAGTACTGCTAGATAAATACAAAGAGGCGCATTGTTGCTGTGCGGTAGAAACTATGTGCAGCTAGCCCTGAATACATAGAGTGCTTAAAGGATGCACTTGCGCACATCTTAACTAGCCTTTTACGTTCGTGAGAGGGACTCTGAGGGGTGCGGGTACGGGAAGGAGGGAACGTTTTTGGTAAGTACTGAATAAATTCTAACGGAGTTCGTGTTGAGTCGGAACTTATGTGTATTTCTAAGCAGACCTTACATGGGGCGCTATATCTACCGCACCCAACGTGGAGCCTTTTTGTATCCAGCTAACACTACCCTGCACTAAATCAGGTTAAGTAACACACACATAAATCAGTCAGCTCCTCACCAATTCGTTGTTCGATACACTTAGTGCAGTATAAAGTCCCTAAGCCTAGCTGACCCCGCAGCATCACCCATTCGTGATACCGCCAGTTTTGCGTCATTGTCATCATTCATCGCATCGTATGCACCTCTTACAGTAGCTTGCAGCTAGTGTAGTTCTGTCCAAGTCCAGTGGGTTTCATCGAGCCACGTAATTCGCAGTATACTTGATGATTGTTACAAGCTTACTTACGAGGAGCATCGAGCAAATTTTGGAGGGACACGAGCATGCATATAACGAAGTCGAAAACTTGATGACCACACTCAAATACGTGAGCTAAACAGTATATTAACTAGAAAGAAATGGACTCATGAGACGAATGCACAAAGGGATTGCGTGTTGATCTGTTGCCATGCAGGTCTGTCCAGAGCCAGCCCCAGCTTCAGCACCCAATCTCAGCAAGGCCTCGTTAATACTTCCGTTTGTTCTTTAATCACGAATTTGATTCAATTGCTAAGTTATTGACGTTCCCCTTATTGCATAAAAGGGCTCGGCTTATGTGGCCGCACATTTCTAGTTGGCCCTCCTCCGGAAAGAAAGCAAGGTATCTCTGCCGGATTCTTTTCCAGATTCCAAGCGTACTGCCCTCTAGAAGTGCTGTGGCTGTGGTGTTTGTATAATTTGGTGGCGTGCTATGTACCCTTCTGTCATCCAGTCGTCAAGTGGAGTGGGGGCTCCTGGCGCCGCCGGCGGTTCACTCGCAGTCATTTTCCCAGTATTCTCTAGTTTTTAGGTACTTCTTCTGATTGCTGATTTAAAGAGGGGAACGTCTGATAAGGATGGTGGTCGCCATTAAGGGTGTCGTCGTGCAATGGTAAGTTGGAGATCCGATGTAGCATGTAAACTGAGCGCCTCTGCTTTTCTTAGCCAAATAGTGCTTCTGTGCTGGAAGTATCCATATTGCGTACCTATACGGCGTGAACTCATTACTTTGTGCTGTCTTTGACAACTGGAAACATGCTGGCGGTTCGCCCTTAGGCAATTTGCTGAAGAAACATTATGAGCTACACTCAGACTACGGCTTGCACTGCATCTAGCCTTGCTAGTTTGTGATATGCGTAGTGATATCTAGCCGTGAATCAGGTCGTTCTGGAAAGCTGCAGGCACCGCATGGAATGGCGCGCAGCTTCAGGAATAGCTATTACGCCAGATGCAGAGGCAGGCCGTAAAGCAAGAGCTGGTAAAGTAAGGCTGTGTCATTCTGACCCTATCGATTTTGACTTTTTTTCTGCACAGCGACCCACCAACGATGGAAATTTTGCTACAACTGAATGAGACACGCGGATTTGTCATTGAAGTTCTCAGTGGCGAATTCGTTCTCTGTTCAGAAAACGTTTGTGAATTTCTCGAGGTACGTACAATGAATGCTATGGACCTAGCCAGCAATTTGAGTGCCTGCAGTACACAGGGCAAAAGAACTGCTGCCTTTCTATGAGCATGAAAACAGTGCGTTTTCTGGTACCTCTGCGGAGAGCCGTGACTTCAACGTATCCTTGAAGCTTCTATTCTTGATGCCATATGCTCTTCAGATTAGCTGCAAGGGGTCAAACGACAGAATTCGGCTATCGGTAGAACTTGACCTCTGACTTTCCAATGGTGAAATACCACCGGGAATAGGCCCTTTGCAGACGGTTTGCTGCGGCATTGTATCCCTTGTGGGGTTGCGCAGGAAGAAGTAACTCGCCGTCTTGAGCTTGCAGAACGGCCCTTGGTGGATATGGTGAAGGAAAAGCAGAGGCAGGGCACAACTGAGGAGGTTGCGGAGTCATAGGGTTGTTAGCGGATATTGAACATACATCACATTGGATAACTGAGCCCGGTGTAGCAAGCGGGTCCCATCCATTTATCCATTGCCTTTGTTAACTCCTTCGGCGCTTCGATATTTTCGTGTATTTGTCGGATTCCCGCTATTGCGACATAAGATTCGACAGGCACATTATCCCAGACTGTGCAGGCCAGAAGAAGCTGTTCAGGTTCGCAATATTCGAAAGAGTTTTGTGTGTGGCTACCGGTTGCAATTTTGCATTCCCCTGCTGACGGCATGACGGTCGATGGAAGGGGCTGTTCTATAGCATTTCAATAAGCGTCTGCATTACAATTCAAGCGGCTGCCTGAAAGCCTTTCTGAAGGGGGTGTCGTTGGGGATGGTCAAGTGTAATTTAGAAGAATACAGTGAGGCAGCGGCGTAGCACGGATGCCCGAGTGGTTAAGGGGGTGGACTTAAGTTCCCCTGGTCGTGAAGACCGCGTGGGTTCGAACCCCACTCCGTGCATTACTGGTGCTTCGGCGTTTTTTGGCCCTTTTGTCACCAGTTTTTCATGAAGCTGCGCTGAGGAACAGTTCCAATTACCGCTAGGGACTTAAAGAGGTTACCCTTGCACGTGCACACAAGAATTCTGGGGCTGGCTTATTCGGGCGCCCTCCGAAGTCTTCAGAAAGCGGAGAATATAAAAGGACAACTAAGATATCCTTTAAAGTGACTATATTTTATTCAAGATACTTTGCGATGATGCAAAACCCTCTCCGGCGAACATTTGGGAAACATGGTGTCAGGCTCTCTATGTCGCGTGGGTGGAGTCGCTGTGAAGGTGGGAGACGCAGTTGCCTCGTCCGCTTGGTAACGCATACATCACACCTAAATGGGAATTATGAACTCCATGGCAAACCAAAAAGCAACTTTCCTAGCCTCTGTGCTGGACTTCTGGGCGCATTTAATCCCGAAAGCCGGCAATGTCGGCACCCGACAACTCCCTAGGTCACTTTTTCCGCTACTCCAAGGATTGGACGCCTAGAACAAGCGCGTAATATTCCCAGTTAATACGTGTCATGAATTGTACAGTATGAACCTAGCAATGAGACTACCACTCCTAGCGTTCATTATGTACGCGCATCCAGATGCCGTAATGTTGGCAGTTTGAAAAGCTCGATTTACACATTGACGCCAAAGTTGTACAGATCACCTATGGCCCCTTAGAAAATCTGTACACTGTGTAATTCCATACATGCGAGTTTCCTCTGCAGTACTGACTTGGAATGATTTAGGTATAAAGGCGATAAATGAGTCGGTTCACAGTAGTGGCCCATTACCACGAGCTGTGATACCTGTGCTTGCACCAACAGCTGGTCACGGATAAAGCATACACTTCCTCTACCCCAAATGGCCTGATTGAGATCATTCGGTCTCAGAATTGCATATAATGACCGTGTCGCTTGCTGTGTATTCGGATCAACTTTGCACTGCCAATCTGATTAAATGTTCCATAAATTCCTTGAGACTCACGTCGTCTGTGTTGATGAACCAATCGCCACCTCCATCAGTTAATCCCAGTGGCTGGGCACCCCCAGACTGTGTATAAGAGGTTGAGGGGTTCACCTTGGCCAGAAGGAAACGAGCCTGAGAGCCCCCGCTGTTGCATTGTACATATTTCGGCGCCGGGAAGCGATCACTTAACACAACACTTGCATCATCAACCGGTGCCTGAAGGGACCGAAAGTGCACGCAAGCAAAAGAAATAATTGCCTATAGGCACCAACTACACAATATTGCTCGTCCCAAGTCAACACGTCTACCCTACGCCTCCCTACAAGGCGCACCTCCACTGAAGTCGGGTTCTCAAGAATCCGATGTTCAGCTGACCAATGAATATCCTCAGCAAAAATAAACGATAAAATTACAGTAACAGCAGCACCGCCCCCTGTTCCCCCTAACTGCCATTTTACCTGCAGAAGTTGCCGCAGGTTTCCATACTGCGGCAGATTGTGGTATCCCTGTTCCCTCCATTGGTGAATGAGTTCGCCATGCCACACGACAACGTGAAAGAATGAATCCATCAGCAGAATGACGTCTGGCTGAAACGAAGTGAATCAGACAGATTGCAAGACGCAGACACATTCGTATCTGTACAGCACACGTCTCTCCCTCAGTAGATCCTTGCACGCGTGTATGTACAAGTAGAATTGGATGCATCAACATGCGCGTGAAGACATAAAATGTGATACACATAACATTCTTATACAAATACGCAAATATACGATGTTTGGAAAGAGCTACATAACAAAAATGAAAATGCATCCCCAACGTTAATTAGATCCATGACGGTAGACATATGCCCTCGAGAGGCTGTTACGCTTCTACAGTACACACGGATGCATTTCGCTTCAATGCATCATAACAACCCTACAAACGAAGTAATTATGAGAAAAACAGAATTCCATCTGCACTCTCCTCTCACCTTGAGAGCTTGGGCATCTAGCAGCACAGGCTGAGGAGGCCCCTGCTGGTTGATGGAGTAGGAGAGCAGAGCTGGCTGAATCATAACCAGAGCATTTATTACGCTAGCTCGCAGAAGGACGGAACTGCAAAAATGCATGGAGGAACAGAGAAACGCAGAAGACGGGGTTCAGAACAGGCCAGCCTACGAAAGCCTACGTGTTCATATTCTACTCTGTAAAATGGTCTGAAGGCGGTACAAACCAACCCGGTGAAGGGCACAAACTTTCAAGGAACGATGCAGTACCGCTGCTGCTCTGGTACAAAGCAAAGCCTCTTGAGGCTAATTTACACTCTCACCAAAGTCTTTCATATTTCGCGCAGTCTACAACAAGAATTCTGTTCACCTACAGGGTTTTGAGCTACGGCGTATGCTAGGATCCCATGTAAACTTTGCATCCAAAATTATACCTTCCTCAGCCAGTAAGAGTAGGCTAAACAAACTTTTATAGCTTCAGGCAACGAAACAGATTGACTAGTACGCTCGGTTTTGCAGTATTTAGGGTTTTTTCAATTGGGCGTTTACTTAGCTGGAACTCACCGGTAATATGCTGTTTCGTCTGGACTGGCATTGAAAGTCTGGAGGAAGTGGCTACGCCTTAAGTGGTACATGAACTGGGGGTAGATTGCGAAGTCGGTGGACAGATGGAACGAGTTAGGGTCGTCCTTCTGGTAGTCTGCAGTTTTCCAGTCAAGAAACAACATGCTCGGGTCACAATACACACATGGCTTTTCCATGGAAGAGTTGCGGCGGATTATTAATAATAAGCAGGCAAAATAACCGGTGACCACATGGGAAGCTTTCTCGATCCACTGTCAAAGCACGAAGGAAATTTAGGAGGGCAACCGTTTAGTCTGGTAAACGCATGCAACAAATATCTAATTTCTCTAATATTCCATGTGCTTGAATATTTAATCTAGTGCATACTCAGAACTAAGTTTATAGAGCACAAGATGCAGCGTTTGGTCTTAAATATGTTCGCACATGGAGGAGAACACATAACATGCTAATGTTTCACATGTAATTACAGAGCGTATCCCATACATCCACGTAACAAGACATACGGGAAGATGAACTGTACGAATCTTTTGCACGGTGAATGCGTCCCTTACGCAAGCATGAATTTGAACACCTCTTGAAGAAACGGACCTGCAAATCTAGCGACAAGTCTGATGAGCTTTGTGTCCAGCCATCGCAAAACGTCCAAAGTATCCTCCGTCTCCGTCTTGAAGACCGCCAAGCGTGCCATTAAAACGGCTGCTGCCTCTTGGTCAAACCCTAAGGCACACAAACAGGTAGGGGGAAGCCAATGACCGAGGACCACATGGGAAGATGCTGCATTAGGAAAAAGAAGACCATTTCAAGGATATTGCCACTGGGCGGGTACGATAGTAAAAAATTTCGCAGGTGAGTGAAAAAGGATTGTGGTTTTACCAGTAAACATTGGTGATGCCATTCGAATCATACGTATGCTAGAGTAATACAAGTTAAGATATGGGTAGCCCCACATACTTCAGATGGATACTACAATTATTAGGTCAAAAATGAGCCATAGAGACCAAGACAAATGCCTACACACAGATAAATGAAAACTTATTGAACGTAAACCTAGGTATTAAATATTATGTTCGAGGGAGCACATATAATAATGTAGCAGCTGAACCAAGATAAGCAATGTATATCATGCACGAATCGATTATAACAGGACACTGTGCAATGCACTAAATTAGAGCAAGTCAAATAATACCAAAAAAATACACATATCATGCAAACTATGGTCAAGGGCAGAAAGACAAAATCTTTACCAGGTGCTATATCCAAAGGACTCTGGTCAGCGAATTCGTAGGAAAGCGTGGTGACGCGCAGGCGGCGACGGCCACTAGGATGCATGTACGAAGTCTGGAACTGCAAGAAAGATTGTTTACCTGCATCAAAATAGTTTAAATTTGCATTTACACCAGGCCTAGCAACTAGTCTAGGACTACTCACACAACGTGAAGCAAGGTTTGTGCACAAGGATATAGAATTAACAAATCCTAATTTATTGCAAAGACTACCCATGATGCAAGCGCACTTTAAAACTTATTCTAATAAGTGCAGCTGCGAAAAGCTGCTGTGTATAATAACAGTGACCAGCATACTATATGTGGAAACATATGGCCAGAAACAGCACCTCATGATTCTAGTTATTGCACTCTATCATGGATACCAATCAGCAACTATTAATCAAAATAAAACGAACCAGGCGGTAGATTAGAGATGTGCTGATTGGTCACTTCAAAATAAAATGCAATTGTGGTTTCCTTGTCCATTGCCGCTGCCTGCCATTCGCAGGTGGCGCCCTCTCCAACGGTCATGTCTGAAACCTGAGCTCCTTTTTTCCCCGTGCCTAAACACAATAAAGAAGCTTAAATACGAGAAGAGCATGCAGGAGCAATGTTGGGGTGAGGTAAAAAACTGCACTCCCTTTAGCTTAGTAGGCCCCCTTCAATGTCAATTTATCCTTGTTCGGACTACGATGCACCTCACTAGCGCACTGCTTACGATTAGAGACCTTTTCTCTGAATTTACGAGTGAATTGCCTTTAACTTATGGCTTAGGTCTGCTTGATCGGGGGATCACTGTCACCCTTACTGGTGCACGGTCCGATGGCGCCGCAGACTTTGAACTCCTTGCTGCATAAAACCTCGATTCGGGCGTTGAAACCCATTTTGAGGAAACCTACGAGAAGCAATGAGAAAGATGGTAAATAAAAGCTGACACGATAGGAATGTGCACAAAATTCGCACTAGACACAAAATTTGAATGCACACCAAAGTAACAAAGGCGAAAAGTCAACCGAAAGGCCATTTGAGGGAGCGAATGAGCTCGTTGAATGGTTGAGACCTGCCTCTAGAAAAACAAAACGCGCGTACTTGGTGCACTTTTCAATAACATCCACATGCACTAAATGCATTATCTACTCAACAGACAACAGATTTACGCAGACCATCTTTTTGCTGTGCATAGCACATGTGCTTGAGCGCCTGCGCTTTGCAAGCGACAATGAAAAACAGAGGTAGTGAAAAGGAGCGGAGGAGTAAAGGGAATATACAGAAATGGCAGTGTAAACATATTACCTGTAGAATCTGTTTCCAAAAACTTTTTGAGGCTGTCTTTGTAAACATTTAGAGAAAAGGAGTCACTCATCACTACGCAGCCCCCAGTCTTTTCTGGCATTACCTTCATCTCGTACAGCCCCACCTAAACATTCGCACACGGTGCCCTCATTTCCACATCTTGAGCATCTGGACAAAAATTTCCTACGAAAGTTCATCCTTCCTCTACCATAATCCACACTGACTCCCCAGCTTACGAGTCCGTCAACCTTCCAGCTCCAAAGCTAAACCTAAGTCTTCTAAGCCCCTTGCCCTGTTGTAAAATGCACTCCCTCTCTGCTAAATTTCCACCAGAAAACAGTGTGGGGACCATGGGCAGAAGGGAAGAGCAGGATAAAGTCGGAATATAGGTCAAAGTCTGCAATCAGTGAGCACGATGAGAAGAAAAATTAGCTAGAAGTTGCAGAGGAGTTCTGACCTGATCGAGCGAGCAGGCAAAGATGTCAACAGCACAACCAGCCCGGACTGCTCTGTTTGCTAGTGAAGTGTACAGCTTCAGAGCCTTTTGCACGAAACGCGCATTCTGATTGCCTTTCTGTAGATCCAAATGATGGCGAATTGATTCAGCCAGAGGCAAATCAACAATCTGAAACAAAATAACACACCACAGGCCTGGGTTCCAGAGCTGCAAACCGTGAACTAGAGCACACAACACGTGCCGCCCATCTAGACGGCATGCGCAAACGATGAAAACAAATCGAGGCTCCATAAGTCAGAAAGAGGGCGAACGAAGGTGGCGTGGGAGGTAGGCGTGAACAGAGGAGGCGACTGATTCGAGGCGAGCATAGCTGACTGCCAACTGTTCTATCAAAATGGAAACACTAGGCTGATGATGCTGTGACACTAGTGCTTAATACATCAAGAAAGGCGGTTTTTATGCGCAAGTACCTCAGAACTCCTTCTACTGGGGAGTTCGCAGGCGGCGCACATAAAGTCTAGGAGCTACCCCTTTCAGCCTTCGATGCCCCCAATACACGAATAGAAAGTGGAACTAAAACCTCACCTGTCCAGGGCCGGTGGTGCAAACGCCTCCCGTGAAGAGGAGAATGCGGCAAGGCAAGTTAAGCCAGCAGCTTTCAATCAAAGCGATGGCGACCGACAATGCGAGGCCGGTGCAGCGCTTAGGCCTGCAGCAGAAACACCAGCAGCAACTTTATCTCCTCTGCACCAAAGTACGGGGTAGACTACACGCGGGGTGAAAAAAACTGACAACCGCTGCAAAGTCTCCGACACCTGGATATCTTTCAGGACAATCCGCAGAAGGAAAGCCGAAAAATGCACAGTGTCGACAAGACAGGGAGGTGCAGATGAGACGAATACACAAAGGGAGACGAGACGAAATACACTCGGCAAACACTACGAAGCCAGACAGTTCCCAGAAACACTCTCAGCTGAACAGAGCAAGTGCAAGCAGGAGGGGCAAATTAACACGAGGGTATCCCACCGAGAATCTGCAGGAACCGGCCAGTATTCCTTTGTGAGGGACTCGAGAATGAAAGAAACCTTCGCTTCGCACTCTCCTACAGGCTGAATAAAACGGGCAGCTGCTGGCTGCAGCAATGGGTGGCGCGTCCCGGTGCTACCATGGCGCGGCACAGCAAACGAAGAACCAGGTAACAGGCCGAGCTGCTGCTGGATCTGTTGGGCAGACAAGGGACAGAAACGCAGACCTAGCGGAACTGATACGAGTGGCCGCGGCGAGTGGATGGAAGGGATACAGATACAGGATGAACAACACACGCAATAAAAGGCATGTGGCACGAGAACCCCCAAAAGGAATGATCCGAAGAGTGAAAGGGCTCCTCCAGGCAACACGCTTGAATTGGAGCGCGCATTGCTAAAAAAAGGCAAAAGTAGGGTTCGTGTGAGCACAAATGAAGCGGACAGAGAGCAAGGAGAAAAACAACCAAATGAGAGGACACTGAAGGATAAAAGTAAGCTCGGAAAGGAGAAAGACGACAAACTGCAGAGAGAGGAGGGAGTAGCATGTGAAAGCAGCAGCCAGACAGGAAGGTAATACAGATACGACACAGCACAGATCGGCAAGTGAAGACAGCGCAGCTGGACGCAGGGAACATAACACAGTTGAACACGTAAAACAGAAGCATGTGGAGAGGTTATAGATGGAGCACTGATAAAGCAGAAGCTCTAGAATGAGTGGTTCAATAGTGCAGAGTGCCTCTCTGACTCGCCCCGCCGTAGATATTGGGGGTCATACAAAACAGAGGACTCTTACACTTGAAGAAGAGGGCTCCCTTGATCCATGAAAAACGTGAACTTTGTTATACTCGCTGGCATCCGCGATCTCGTGGAGCATACACATTGCCCCGAACGTTATTAGACAGACCATGGCGTCTGAGGGCAACAGTGCCAAAGCCTGAGGCATGCCACGGAAACGCACGAGACACAACTGGCTCGCGACCCTCGCCTTATACTTCTCCACCTCTACTACTGTAAATTTCCCACTCTCTGCCTCTTTTCCTGCTGTATGCCTCTCTTCCCATCCGTTTATCTCTAGCGCAGTTCTTCCGCCAATGCTCCACCCATGCTTTGCTGAATCTCCGTCTGTTTCCTTTTCCTTTTGTGCAGCTCCCTCGCTCCTCTTCGGCATTTCTAATTAAAGTACTGTCGTTGTCCCACAGGACCCCAAGCCCAGCAGAAAAACAACCTGTACAATCTTACAGCATTGACTGCAGTAGCAGGAACACCACCATCAAATCAGCGGCTGCACTCTTAATTGCAGCTTCAGTGCCTACCTGCAATAGGGAGTCTTTAAGCTGCTCGATTTCTTCCTCGATAACGCATGTATCAAGCACCAGCACAAACAGGGGAGGTGGCAGCACTTGGCCCCCCGCAGCTGCAGCGGCGGCGTTGCCGGGCAGAGACAAATTTGCAGGCAGGATGTACTCTATGGTCGGGTAAAACAACTCAGCAGGCAGGTTCTGAAACAGCATACAAGCAGCAGGACACAGCAGAAACTTGAGGAAGGGCAGCAATACTGGCGGAAGTGCATGCCAGCGTGTCGTTCATCCCATTTTCGAATTGAGAGCCCCCGTCCGTCTCTTCATCCCTGCCCACAAAGTCGTTTCGTTCCCGGGATCTGCCACCACAGCTTTTACATACGCGCCTCCTTTCAGCAAGGCTGACACTTAATGTACTTTTCCCGTGCTATTCGCTGGCGTCTTTGCCCGTTTGTCTGGCTGTCTCATGCCCTCGTCCCTCCTTTCCCTCACCAAATTTCCCCTCTAGTCCACCGCCATCACTATAAACGTCGCTAGCTATTCCCCAACGGCTGGCTCAAGCGCGGCCCTGCCGAGGAGCCTACAGCTACAGGCATTGAGTGGTTGCATACAAAGCTTGATATACACAGCTTTTAACTGGCAAAACTAGATATGCGCGCAGACATACGTTTGCATCTAGAATTAATGCATACATGTTCATTATAGGAGAAAACGTGGATATTACCTGTTCGGAGATGTGAGCTGCGTAATGGCTTGGAAAAGAGTTCCGCTGCAGCGAGAATGGGCACGTCCAGCTTTTGTTTCTGCAGTTTGCATTACATCACACATCAGCAACAAACCTCTTAGCGACCAACTGCAGCAGCTGTAATATCTACGTACCCCAATACGTAGTATACGAAAGTATACCAATTCAAAGCATCAAATTCAAGAAATGATATGCACCGAAAACTGCGAAGGGCCATAACGTAACCTCTTGGATTACCGTAAACAACGCCAGAGAGCAGACAAAAGGGAGAGACATGCCACCTAGATTACTGGCAATGCAAATTAGGGAATAGGGAGTAGGGCCTTGGGTATTTACCTAAAGTCAACAGAGCAGAAGGGGTTCAGGACGCAACCGCTGACTCTGCATCTTACAGGCTCGTACTCTACGAGCTGCAATTTGGTGCAGTCGCGCAGAGGAGTGTACATGCAACCCAACGGTAGTTCAATCTGTTGTGCTTCAGCCCGCGTAGGTGGCCACATGTTCCATGAGAAGCGGCAGCCAGTGGCAGCCTCGCACTCGTGCACATCCATGGCTGATGCAAGCTTTAAAATATACAGTTGGGATTGACGACTTGTGGCCTGTTGGTTGCGGCCCCACGAATGCAGCACGAGCCTACGCCGCAGGAGAAAGGTGAGACAAAATCCCTGTGAGCCTTTTCCTCTTTTTCCTGCTGAAGGAACCGGATTTCAAATGCTGCTGCTTGTAGGCGGATGGACGAGCGAGCCGCTGCAGCTACCGTGCCTGTTGCACCAGAGTGCGGTATTTTCTGCTGCTGTTGTGGTGCCGAAGCCCTGCCAGTCCACAAACACGGAGAGATATTAATTTTAGAGGAGAATTGCCCAGTGTAACCTTGGGCGTCCTCTCTTTCGTTGAGATTCTTCGGAGTCTTTTGGGTGGGGCCTGGCGCTTGCGCTATGGAGATATTAGGCTTGCTCTCTTGGAAGAAGCGGGAGAAGAAACAACTCAGACACTGGAAAATCACACGGAGAGAAGTTTGTTAGAAGAAATAAACAACAAGGAAGGAGAGTAATCAGGGGCCGCAATGAACAAGGAGCTGCTTATGCGCTACGGTTGCCAGTGTCTTTCATGTGCTAGGCCTGTCTGAAGAATTGGGCAGCAAGGGTAAAGACGGAAATGACATTTAATGACCCTTCCCCACTACATAGCCATAATGGTGTCAAGTGCACATGCAGCTTCCCTATCGTTCAGCGGCACTGTGCCGGCCTTGCTGCAGCGACAGGTTGTTACTTCCTCTTGCATTATTCAATTCTAAGATATGCTATCAAAACGCAGAGTCCCATCATTCCCTCAAATATCTTTATTTCTTCCTTCCTCTTCCAGAGAGAAGACATGGCATTCCTGCCTTGCATAGTATCTTATGGCGCACTGTAGAAAAGAATTACTCTCTTCAAACCGTTGAAGTATGTAGATGCTTCTGTGCTGTATACATTGTGAACGATTATTAGTCAGTTACTTCATATGGTACAGTAGCTATTTAGGGGAGATTGTCGTTTTACATCTTGTGCGGAGCCATGTGATGCACTTGGACGCAAAAAGCGCGGAGAAACAGCCAGTGTGGGGTTTAGAGCCCCCAATACACCCAAGCGGAACCATGAGAAACCAAATCTAGGGTTTGTAGAAGGCAGCTTTATTTATGGCTGTAAAGCAACGTCCATGTATGAGTCAGCACGCATGCAATTAGTGCTTGGGGATTGCCCCTGTTACGAGTTAAGTTACACGTACACACTTTCTACTATTTGAGTTGTATTCACAAGGAATTTGTGAAGAACTGTTTGATGGATTTTCCGTTTGTACGTCTTTTTCGTTAAAGGGTTTTGTCGGTTTGCTTCAAGAAGACACATTGTTGTGTGCGTGTGCGCTAAATGCCACGCGCAACTAGCTGTGCATGCTTGGTGCCGAAAGGGTGCAGCCAAGCGCACCCTAGCAGTCACTCACCCCCAATGTCGAAGTCTCAGACAGGCTTAAAGGCAATCAAGTGAATTCTAAAAGGGCATAGGCTGGGGAAGGAGGGATTTTTTTCTTGAAAGAACGATACCTTTCTACTACGTTGTATTGAGTCAGGAGCTAAGTGTCACCCTATTCAGAACTTGTATAAAGCATTGCAGTCAATAACACTGCGCGGTCCATTGCAGTTGTTTCCGGCCTATCCACTGGCTGTGGATACAGTAAAGTCTCAGCTATCATTATAACGGTCTTACGGTCGCGATCAAGTTGTTTGGCATTTGACTAAGCTGATTTTTGTTGGCAACATACTAAAACTAGCTCCTCTCGGCGATAGAAGCAGAACATGGCATGACGCCTTTTGGGGTGGCAGAGGCTGGCCTGCACCGCCTCCTCTTCCAGCTCTCTGCGTAGTCACCCGCATGAAGACTGTGCTACACCCTGTTACAGTACCGATTGTACCCCACTCAATATAGGCGATATGAGCATTGCTAGAGAGGCCACGAGATGCTTTGTAGAGCATGCCATGGCACACCAACCTCCACAGCGCGCGGCTGTAGATGCATGCATCCATTCCGTTGAGTCACCCATGCCATACCCGCGACTTCGTTGTGGTGAGTGGTGCCGGGTCCAACATGAAAGCCATGGACTACACTGACGCAACCTGTTCCTAGCTTCTTGAAACTGCCGTAACCTTGTCGTTTTCCCTGCTCTGCTGTCCGTGAGAAAAATGGAGTCTCAGGGACTGCGCTAGCGAGTTAACAGGAAGACTGCACTTCCGCACCGTCCCCGGTAGCAGATTTACTCCACATCCAGGTTCATGTGAAACTAGCATTTCTTAACCAGTAGTGCATGCCTGTAACACCGCAAAACTGACCAGCGATGGGTCTCCAACTGCGGCTATACTCTCTGTAGCTAACTTCAATTCGCCGCAGCCTGTGCGCGGCTCTTTCTGTTTCCCTGATGATCCCTGTTTGCCCGACAAACAGCTTGCTTCCGCTGGGACCAGTCTGCTTGTTCAAGTTCTTTGGCCCCTTTGCATACGCTTGCAATTCCGGAGTACATGACCCAGTCCCCTATCCAAAAGCAGGATAGGCTGCTGGGGGGCCCTCTGGGGCCACGACGAGTTGCGGGTTCCCTCTGGCACACTTTTTTCTTTCCTTGGATAGATTTTAGGCTGCTGTCGGTTGAGAGAGCCCCAATATTCATAGGTTCTAAGTCCCGACATGGCTTTTCATCTTCAATGAAAGACATAGAAATTGCGTCCATGTGCTCTTGAGACCTCAAACAGTCCGTCTTTTGTGGAAGAGCAACCAGAAGGCTGTTTAACAGCTAAGCTGCTTTTATTCCTGGTACCCCATGACATGGCACTGCAAGTAAAGCTTTGATAAGCAGCTGTGCATTCCCGTTGTGGTGCTTGCGAGCCAAAGTTTCGTATGTTCCCGTGTACCAATCCAGTGATGAATCCCCCATTATGCCTTCCCAGTTCTTCCAAAGCTTGTTGCCTAGCTGATTTCAGCATAAGCCGATGAGTCAGGACTTGTATGAAGTCTTGGGCTGTAGTAATCTCTGCACAATCAGCGACTTTCTCTGTGTACATGCATGAAGCCGCAAGTGAAGTGCTTCTCCTTCCAGTTACCTTGCCGAAGGAGCGTTCCTTTCTCTCATATGGAATTTACATAGCGAGGCACATCTTCAACCGCCAGAGAATATTTTCAAGTACTTGTCCATCCTCGTGGTTGTCATACTTTTCTGGTCCCAGTAACCTCACCAACTCGTTTAGTGAGACTCTGTCGAAAAACAACTAGTGGCTCGGTACCAGCTGTGGAGCTCCTGTGCTCACATTAGACGAAGCCGTTTGGGACGGCAGAGAATGGCCTTCAAGCTGCTTCCATCGCCAAAAAGAGATATTTGCAGACAGTTGCCAAAAAGTCAGACTATTTTAGAGCCAAATAACTTGATCGGGATCAGGTAGCCGTTGTAAGGAAAACTGAGACCCTACTGCATCCACAGCTAGTGGATTAGTGGGAAACATCTGCATCGAATCATGCAGTAATAGCAGCCCTAGCACTCGATCCAACATCTCAGTAGGGCGGCGCTTAAATCCCGAGTGGACTCACGCAAGAGAAAACGATTGAGGGGTTACGAAAAGTGCTCCCTCCTTCCCATATCCGCACCCTTCTAAGATCTACTTGACTCCCTTCGAGCGCATCTCAGAATTCCCGATATCAGAGGTGAGCTACAGCTACGCTAGCCCTAGTTGCACATCCGGCTATCATTCTAGGCATGCACTGTTGCAGAGAGGTCTTGCGTCTATGCATGCGACGCTGTGACGTCTTGTACCGAGCTTAACATGACTCTGCGATAAATACAGAGCACGAACAACCAAATCAGCAAGTCAATCCCTTGTTCTCAAAGATGACCAACAGCTAAAGTGCTTGAGTGTAGCTTAGCTGCTATTCTAGGGGTTGAATAACTCTACAGTTGATACCCGACCAAACTGCGTGCTGTTGCCGTTCGTAACTAAAATCTGATAATACGGTAACGGCAGAACAGTAGTAGCTGTACACTCCACAACTAAAATCGTGATCTAAATGGAGAAATCGTTGTGATCGACTAAAGACAGAGCAGTGCACTGGGCTTTAAAGCAATTGTGCAAATGAGGCGAGCGTTGCTGCTTCACCAGACTGGATAATACCTAAAAGTCTACACCATCTGCAAGCTCAAATCATAAGGAGCTATTCTAAACTATCAGGGGAAAGGATGTTGTTCTACGGGGTACCACCGAGATGTTCGGTTGGGTACGGGTGCAGCGAGCGAGCTGGGTTTGGTTTACTGGAATTGGAACGTGATTCAAGGCGCGTGATTTAATGGACAAAACCAGCTTTGTTTGATCATATGGCCTAATGGTTGAGGCTTTTCTTGGAGAAATCTTTGTGTTTAACCATATTTTGATTTAATCCGCACGCCGCGTCACGCTCGACGCCAGCAGAATTTTTCACGTCATTGCCTTCGTTCCCATTGTCGTTTTAGCTTCCAATAATGGCTACACACATAAATATTTATGGGGATATGCATGCTGTGCTTTTAAAAAATTCCATAATTACTCTTACTCGGCATAGAGAGTCCTGAGGAAGCCTTCGAGGAAATTGTGGTTTTACTTGAGGGGCGCCGAGCCGACCTAAGCACTGCACAAAAGCACCGGCACGGAAAGTATCTTGCTTTTGCAGCCGCTGGCTTTCTTCTAGCACCATTTATGCTGATCCTTCATCTTTCGCGCTTCGAGCGGACAGCAGCCATGAGATCAGTCCTAAGCAGGATATTCCCTTACCATACCAGAACTGCTACTGACTTTCATCCAAAGACACATCCATATGGAGCATTAGATGGCTCCCAGGACTACATGCTCCGGATCATCCAGGGGCTTCAGGAGATACGGAGGCTGCTGAGGGCATGGGCGAGGCGCAGGCTTCTGAGGGTTTTGATGGAACGGAGGCTGCTGGGGAAACAGGCGAGAGGCAGACTTCTGAGGGTTTTGATGGAACGGAGGCTGCTGGGGAAACAGGCGAGAGGCAGACTTCTGAGGGTTCAGATGATACGGAGGCTCGGGGGGAACAGGCGTGATGCAGATATCTGAGGGTTCAGCTGATACAAAGGCTGCTGAGGGCACAGGGGATACGCAGACACCAGAAGGTGCAAGCGGTACCGAGACTGCTGAGGGCACTGGGGACACAGGGATTACTGAGGGAACTGTCAATAGAGATGGCGGTATGCGGACTGCTGAGGGCACTGGGGACACAGGGATTGCTGAGGGCAGGGGCAATACGCAGACTGAGGGTTCAGGCAAGGGGGATCCATTTGCGGACGGAGAAACTCCTGAAAGTCCCTAGGGTGTACGAGACACAGGTGCTCCCGGGGACTCTGAGGAAACAAGGACTCCTAAAGACTCCGCAGCTGCAGAGCTTCCACGAGTCCCTGACGATAAAGGGGTTGCGCAAGTATGGCTGATAGATACTCCAGTACCTTCATGTTTTTACATACATCTGTAGTTTCCCCCCAATTCCCCTTGCGTCCCTCCCTCCCAGCTGTCGCATCCGTCTTATTATTTTGTATAGTACATGCATATTTGGTTTATAGAGTTCCTACCTTGAGTAGCTTTGCCAGTTGTAGTGGTATTGCACAGCCATGACTGCTGCAGGTGGAGGTATGATCTACTGCCATGCGTGTGTGTGTGCCCTTGTGCGTGTGCGCTCTGGGTATGCAGCAGCGGCCAATAGAGTAAGATCTTGATAGCTTTTAAAGCGTCCAAAGCATAGAAGAAGACAACAATGCTAACAGTAAGCAGTGGGAAGCGTATATCGAGCGCGCCAGAAAGATTAAGGAAGGAGTGAGTGGTAAGGCGCGTGTGAGACCGTTGACAGATGTAGGTCAGAGCAATAAAGGCAAGGCAGCCAAGGAGGTCCTTGTCGCTGTTCTGCAGCAGGCCGAGAGATCTCCCGGCCCCCTTATTTTGAGAATCAGAAGGCAATGATAGACGAGGCAAAAGCGCTGTTGGGGCTCGTCGCAGAGGCAGATGGCACGCAGCGCTTCACCGTGAACAACTTTCACGAGTGCATCGCTGATAGCGCACAGGGTGGTCAGAGCACGTTCGTTTTCCACAGAGTGTTAATGGTAAGTTCCATGGGACTCTATGTGAAGTAAAACGTGTGGATAAAACTATCAAGGCCCAGATGCAAGGTACACTTAGCTATGATGCTGCAATTGAAGTTGGTACCAGACGACGCCGATAACAAGGAAAGAGAGAAGATTTACGATTTTCTAGCGCAGAATGTCGAAGCAGAACAAGCCGTCGCACAAATATTGCAGCATCCCACAGATTCAGCGCATCAGATTTTAAGGCGTCGCGGTATTGCGGTTGCTTCTCACGCTGCAAATTTGGTGACGGAGGTCGGCAGTGTGTCAGATCCGACCAAAGTTCAGCATCACCAGAAGGTGATGCTTTGCCCGCTCATGTCAAGTGACTCTTTTACTCTCACAAGAAAAGCCCCGCTTCCAAAAATCGAATCTCCATGTCTGCAAAGCTGCTGGTGCTGAAGCGGCTTTTAGTGTCTTTAGGTCATCTTCACGAAGTGGGCATGCTGCATAAGGATGTCAAGCTGGATAACGTTCTAATCTCGAGTGAAGGAGAGTCTTTCGTCTTAGACTTCGGGGCCAGCGCATGCACAGGAGATCAAAGGTTTCTGTGGAGTCAGGCCAACATGGCTCCCGTACAGTCTAAGAAGATCTGTGGGGACTTACCCATGACCGGGACAGAGTAAGAGGAGGCGTGGGGAGCAGGAATGGCTGCGTTTCTGTGCCTACCAGGCGATGCCCGCTTTTCGTGGAGTGCCGAGAAATCCTTTTCCCGGATGCTATTTGCAGAGGACCCTCCGATACTGAAGGAAGATTTCAAACCCACGAACTCCCCATCCCCTGCATTCGACTTCCACTCTAGAAATGTTCCTGATCCGTGGATTTGCATCATTTGCCCCCTGCTGCAACCAGACCCACAAAACCGTCCCACGATTTGTCAACTCATTGAAGCCTTCCCTGATATCTTCCAGTAATGCTTCTTCCCGATGGAGAAATGGATTCAGGGCGGCCCAGAACATCTCGGGCATCGCAGCGAAAGCTACAGTGCAATGCCTCCTCGTTTTATAAAAAACTCTTTGGGTGTGAAACGGGTCCATTTGGTATCAAGGAAAGAAATATATACAGTGTTGCGCTGGGCATCAAAGGGCGAAATTATAAGCTGATAAAGAGCAAATGTTTGTAACAGGAAAGCAAGGTAGTCGCGAAAGATCATGTTACATCTATACAGGGCGTCCCTTTCCTGTCCGGCACAATTTCTAAACACGTCAGATCTTAATTCGGCAGCATTTAGTGATAATTTTGTCAGTGAGTAATAGAATGCTTATTGCAATGTGGTGATCCTGGGGCCCTTTCGCATCATGCTTGAAAAGAGCACGGAAGTCGCTTTGGGCCCCTAGGGGCACCACCACCATGAGACAGCTTCGGCGTCACAAGAACTGCGGGAGTCTAGCAGTGAAGAGATAGAGGGGCATCCCAACTAGGACATCAAGAGTCAGGAGGCAGCAGAGACCTCTATAAGCAAAAATAGAGAAGAGGCAGCCAGTCGCCGGGCTGCCTCTGCAGCGGCACCTGGTGCACAGCAGCAGCTGCTTTCACTTTCAGGTACCTGACTGGCTCCGGCTGTCAATGCTGCTGCTGCACGGGAGCACGGTGGGTCAGTAAGTGCTGTCTCCTCCAGCGCTCTCTTCGCAAAAGTACCTTTCGGAGATTGTGTGAATGTATACGTATGAGTTTTACATCCTGCAGTCCACCCTAGCCATGCATTTCCTGTGCTGTCCTTCCAATTTTGAAGGCAGTTGAGAAGCTCCAGTAGGTCCTTTGCAATAGCAGCGAGTTGTGGCTGGGGAGTTTGACGTCCGTCAACCACATTCCCCAATTCCAAGCAAAGAGCGAAGGCTGCACCATAAAGGGAATCCCCAGAAGTGTCTTCCAGCGACCTCCCTAGGGATAACTCATACAACAGCAAAACCCAGCTGCACAGCAGTGCTCTGTGGGATCTGATGAACAGGCGCTGCTGCGTGGGGTGTATCATCAGTGGAATACCTTCACGCAGGTCAGCATCGACAGGGATGCTAACCGCACAAGCACCGACTTCCTGCAGCAAAAACCATTATGGGCATAAATACACGCAACAGAGGGCTCTTTTGCGGATCTTCAAAGTAGCATTGATTACTTTCCCATTAAATCGAATGAATTTCCACGCACAAAACAAGGATATCGCATAGTCAGGAGCAACACGCCACTTCGTTATGGAAAACAACATTAATTGCACTAAGAAACAGAAATTACAGGTGAACCTGCCGATGACAGCAGTACACGAGGCACAAGTGACCCACGCCTCCGCCAAAGCTGCCTCTCCTCTCACTTAACAAGCTTGTGTAGCAGGAACTACGCCAGATCTTATTGCTGCCGGACAGTCACTTGTCCCGCAGGAATAGCTGTCTATTCTGCAACAATAGCTGTCTACATACCAGCATCACCAGCCAATCTCCGCTTACCTTTGGAGATGCAGCTGCTGTTGAGGTCCTTAAATCCCTTAGTATGCAGTGGAGTTCAGCGACAGCGGCTTCACTGGCCTTCCTTAACCAGGCCTTCGGCACCTCTGCTTCGCTGCTAGTGCTGGAAATGGTATTGCACCTGGCTTTTACAGCATCTCTTGAACTGCAGGATGTGCTTGTTCGCCCGGAACTCCAACACCCATCTGTGCTTATGGCACCCCTGAGGTCCTCTAAGACAACAGCAGAGGCTCCCCTGGTTTTAAATGATTCAAGCGTGGCCTTAACCACAGCATCCCGGACACCTTCACTCCTCTGTGCCGCTAAGTCTCCCCCGTCGGCTGATAGAAGGCCCACACTCTGCCGCTTTACTGATGAGTGCCCCTCACTGGTCTTATTCCGCTGCTGCAGGTGCTGTGACTCAAGCAGCAACCATAAAAGGTTCCTAGCAGCTAGTTGAGCGGTAAGGGCTGGATCTGCGTAAATATTTGGTGGCTCTTCCTCAAATAATTGCTCATTCGCACCTGCCCCCTCCTGCTGCTGCCGCGGCTTCTGTTGACATCCTGTAGATTCGCGACTGCTGCAGGTCTCCTTCGTAAGGAGTCGCCAGAGCAGCTGGCAGACAGTATAGGGCGGAAAGACCTACAGGCACACAGTGCGCAGCAGTAGGTCCAAAGTGCAAAAGTCGGATCAACACTCAACTCAAAAGCAAAATTAAGGGACTCCTCCCCATAAAAACCTCGACCATGTTTTTGCGCCGTGCGCTCCACGTGGCTACTTATCAGACTCAGGGAGCAGAGAGAGAAGCAGAAGGGAGAGGGGTTAGGGAAGCGCTAAGTAGTGGGTTGTTGTCATGAAACCTAAGGGAGACATCAAGATGCCAGAACATCACGCACTTTCGATACTACCTCCAGCAGCAACTGATAGAGACAGCCGGCCTCCAAGCCGTGTGGTTCCTGGCTAAAAGCAGGGATTGCTGCTGCTGCAAGTAAGAGCTGCACGTTGTCAGTGCAAGCAACAGCACTCGGTAACAGCGATAGTAGCTCAGAAGCGGCAGCTGATGCAGCAGTCCCTGCGACTTCGCGCACGGTGACGTCTTCATCCTGCACAGCCATTAAGAACCACAGTACGAGATTGACATGATGGCTCGTAAAGCTAGGGTGTAACTATGCCGAGGCGTATCCATATACTTAGGTATCCACATGCGTATACACATCATGAGCTTGAAAACGAAATACAGAAAAGTATGGGTAGAAAACTGAAGGAATGATGCCACTCCGGCTCTACATGTAGAGCGAAAAGTTCTAGGGGGTAGTGTGCAAAGATCTGAACATCCAGGCGCCCAAGATATGGTGCCTATATCCAAGAGGTCAAGAGCAGAGGAGTAGAATTGTATACCTGCAAGAAGTATTCAATGTTTTACTGGAGGGACACCTAAATCTCTATGTTCACATTTATCTTTTCATAAACTAGTGTGTAAGCACATGGGAAGTCCACTGCTCTATTCAATCGGCTTTACGTACGGCGGCACAAATCTCCAGCACTCACCTGCAGTAGCAGCAGGACTGCTCGCCACACACGCAGCTTAGCCCTTGCACAGGAAACTCCCATGCACGAGGTAGCTTCAGAGGGAGCTGCTGCGCAGGGACTGGGAAGGCCTGAGATGCGAATGGCCTGCAGCAAGCAGTGCGAAGAATAGGGACCCTCTAAGAGAACCTTTTACTCACGCATATCCACTCAAACCTCGACAGTATACATTGGAGGGCCTTTGGATTCGTCCTAGCAAACTCCCACAAGGGCCCCCCCACACCTTCCGAAGACCTCCCACCTCTTCTTACCTCTGCTGCATGTGTACGGATTGAGAGCTCCTGTGTCGGCTGTGCGCAGTGCAGCAAAGTGGAGGACCAAGTGGCTGTCCACCTGTTGTGAGGGTCGCTAAAGCAAACAACCGTCTGCGCCGAGGAGCTGCATAGAGCAGAATTGGCTGCTTGTAACTTGCCGCTGACAATACCTCTTCTTGCTTCGGTTGCTGCTGTTCTAGCCGCTTGTGTTCCAGCACAGCGCAAGAGGGCTGCTCCCAATTTGCTCCAGGAAGCGCCGGCCCGTGCGTTGCGGCTATCTGTATAACGTAGCGCTGCAGCAGCAGAGGCGGCTCGCTGGGTTCGGGTTCCTCCAAGAGCACTACATAGACGCTCAAAAGGGGCAGCAATAACAGCCAAAGATGCTAATGCCTCACACGCCGCCACCTGCAGGGGGACCAGGTAACACGCTTGCCAGCTCAACCTCCTGCTGCCAGAGGAAGTGGCAAAGCCAGCAGCAGCACCTAGGGGGCACTCCAGTAGACCTAGGCAGATATCCCACAACGCTACGAACCCCCTCGTGCGATGTGGAACCGCCTCAGAGACCTCCGGCGTCACCGTATCCCTGAGTCTCTCGCTCCTGAAGACCACAGAGAGTCCTCCAGATCCACTGCCACGCACCGAAACCTCCATTGGCAGTTGCATGCGCTGTTCTTGCAGTCGGCGGCAAACAGACGCGGCCTCAGCCACAGCCAGCATGGCTCCCTCAATGACTTGAGGATGCACGCATAGCTCCAAGGACGCACGCAGCGCTGATGCAACGCTGTCTAGATCATCATCATTCAGGAGCACTGCTGCTCCTGACGCTTCTTCTGTAGCAGGCACGTATAGAGACCTAAGGTGCCACTCCACAACGATGCGCAAGGAGACGGCCTGCAGGGCTGTAAGACCCACATGGCGAACGAAGGAGGGCCCCCCAAAAATCCAATCTGCTGTTTTCCCCTCCGGAAAAAGCCGCATGACTTCCACGCTGGCGGCAGAGGCTATGGCCCACAGTACATGCTGGGGACCTTTGGGTGCAGCATGCGCCAGCGCCCGAAGCACTTGCAGTACAAGCACCCGTTCCATAGCGGGGACATGTGAGACAGCAGCACGCTGCAACAGTATAGCAGAGGGCCTAAGCTGCGAAAAAAGAAGGGGACCCTGGGGGCCCCTCAGCGCCTCTAGCAGACCCGGAGCCTCGGGACGCTGCAGCAGCTCTAATAATAACAAGAGCAAGCCACTACGGCTGTTCGCATCACGCCACTCCTTCCTTGCCGCTGTTCCTTCTGTCTTGGAGGCATCAGACAGCAGACCGGCGGCAGAGGTAGCAGCTGCGGGAGCAGAGAAGGCCTCAGCATAGCCAGCAGCTGGATTCGCCGGGCCCCACTGCGCCGCCTGATCCCACTCTGTTGAAGGATCAACGCTTTCACCAGTTACAGCTGAGGCCACTGTCTGAAAAGCGCTGACAAGGCTCTGAGGCCCATGGGTCTGTGCCCTCTGTAGGATGTACGAAGCCAGCGCCCGTGCTGCGAGGGCCCTTGAGGCGAAGGGAGCGGAGCCTAGGCAGCAGCAGAGAGCTCTGAGTAGGACTCGCAGCCAATATCCACTGTTCGCACCGCAGCTGGTGCTGCTGCCAGAGCAAGCGGCATTGAGCTCCGAAGGCCTCAACGCAGGGCTATAAGGGCACGGTCCAGGATACACTGCTGATGTTGTAGCACATATAGGCTGCTGCAATGCCAATGCAAAAGCCCTCTCCCCGTTGTTCTTGGAGTTGCTGCTGCCGGTGTCTTCCTCTGCAACAGCCTTTAGCTGGGCAATTACAGTCTCCACAGAGCTTTCTCTCAGGAGGGTCTCGAACGGAGGCTGCTGAGAGGACAGAGTAGTGAGATCTGCCCGCGCCAGCAGCAGCAGCACTGCCACTGCTGCCTCCCCCTGCATACTGACGTCCTCCCTTAAGACTAAAAGGTTGGGACTGCCCACTTCAGGTGAATTACTGACGATCTCTAATGTCCTGAGTGGGCCCCTCGCAGCCAGGCCTCGCAAAAGGAGCTCTGCTTCCTGCGGGACAACATAGTAATCCTTTTGTTGCTGCAGACTATCGTTTGCCGTAAACTTATTGCTCATGAGAGGAAGGAGGGCCCTGGCGATGAGCGGCCGTATTTGCGGGAGAGACAGACTGGCAGAATCTATGGACAAGAGACCACTTCCGGCCCCCGCGTTGCTACGAAGCGCAGCGCCGCTACAGAACGAGAACATTGCTGCAGTTGCTCGCTGGGCCTGAACACAAGCGACCGCAGAAACAGGAACGGTAGCACTCTCCACTACATACATGTGCCGGTTCTACGGAAATCATCTTCTCTGTAGTTGCATCTTAGAGCAGTTGGTGTCCCCTGAGTCTCCTCGAGGGGTTATCGAGGCTGCAACGTCACTAGAGCTGATATAGCATTAAAATAATACCTAAATAATACAAGTAAGTTACTCCAACAGTCCCATATCTGCACATACATCTGTCCAGTTCTACACCTCCCGCTAGCCAATTGACAGGAACCCGTCAGTTTCTTTGACATAGAAGAGCACAGGTAACTAATCTGGGCGCTACAGCGCCACTGGATCCAAATATTGTAAGAGTGCACATGATTGCAACGGCGTACAACAAAGGGTCTCGCGAGGAAAAACAGTCGTAATGTCTCCCTTCTTACCTCATCATCTGTACCTGCAAGCCTCTTGGTGGCAGCCACTTGCAACGAATTGGCAGCGCTGCGCACCGGAAATTCCCGCGATGCCATCGCCCCTATTGCCAAAGCGAGCGCTCCTACAGCCAAGGGCACCCCTCTTTCACGCTCTTCTTGCCGCGAGAACCCCTCTGTGTCAAATTCATCGCCGTGTGTGGTGGAATGCTCCGCACCAAATGCAACAGCCCGTCCTGTGGATTCCATATGCTCTTTCGAACCCACGTAGGTCCCTAAAAGAGACTTTGGAGATGGCAGCTGTGCCACCGAGAGAGCAGTCGCGGCTGCGGCTGCCACTGGTCGGATGTCGGCGGCAGCGGCTTCCGGGGAGGCTGATATAAGGCTTTTCAAGATGTTGAGGGCGTGTACTTGAGCCCGAAGAGCTGTACACAAACGAAACATGGAGAAACGCAGCAGACCATCAGCAGGGCTGCATTGCTGAACAAAGGTTTAGTTGCAATCCAGGTACTCGCGTTGCACGTAAAAGGCCCTCGCTACAGTAGTCAGACTACGCCGGAGACGAGGCCTAGTAAGTTGATGGGCTCCCTGCTACCCGGGAAAGCTCCTCGTTGCGGCAATGGCCCATCGAATCCAGTGACGGAACTCCCAGATAAACAACAGGAAGGTGCCAAAGTAACAGATGACTCTAGTTTGTCCGATATGTGCGCCTTTACCTTCACCAGGTATGAAGAAGAGGCCTTCGAAGCACCCCTCAGCCAGTGGTAGGAGACAAGTGAGAACGTGACATAGGAGAGCTCTTTCGTGAGAACCCCCAAAGGTCCCTTGCCCTACTGCACAAACATGCAGACAGCGCAAGAAGTGAAACGAGCGCTGAGAAGAGGCAAAGAAGGAAATAAAGCACAAAGGAAGGCAGCAACCGACTCGCGCATCTTCGTCCTGCCTCCATAATTGCTACAAAAGAATCCTCCGTATCCGTATTCTTTTGTTTCTCGCTCAGTACATATCTGCAGCTGATTCTGATCCCTTCCCTTGCCCCTTCTGCTCCCTTGGTTCCTCAGCATTCTCGTACAGCAATCTCAGTCTCTTTTGTCCCATGTGCTGTTCCTTACAGCCAATGAGAGCTATGAGGGCCAGTCCGATGCCTTTGCTTTTCCGCAGAGGCGGTGGGAGCCCCGGAGCACCGTTCCAGCGCCGAAGCGGCAAATTCAAGGACTTCAACAAAGCACAGATCTTCGACGACGAGACATCCGCGACACTGCAAGGGGCTTTTGGGTGTCTGACTTCTTGCTTGTGTCCACGTTGCTGGAGTGGCGCATGAAGCCGTTGCTCCTGCCAGCTACTGTCGTCCGGTGTTGGGAGCAGTAGTCCAAGGAGTGCATCTGTCCAGTGTCGGTTGAGACCCTGAAGGGTTTTGCTTGCCGCGCGGCGCGCCCTTAAGCACAGGGCCCCTAGGGCCTCATGTAAGAACTCCACTGCACCTGAAAGGCATGAAAACAAGCGAGAGCCACGATGCTGGGTCGTAGGATGGTACATAGGCATGCGCTACCCCATGCAGCAAGCTGATACGCCAACAGCTACGCAAAAACACCGAGTGGACTGCGGGACCGCAACTAGACAGAGTGACCCGGCGTCGCACACACGTGCAGAAGCGCAGATAGGCAGAACATGGGCAAACTCGGAAGCAAAGATGAGAACGAGCCAGACTCTAACAAAAGCGAGGCAACAGTAGGAACGGGACGAGAGGTCTAGTAAACTCCCTGCTACACTGTGGTATTGCTTTCCCTCCCCTAGCCCTGGCCTTTACCCGCCCCTAAACACAACACGGCCAACAAGGAGCTGACATGGGCCTTGTGGTGTAGCTCACCCATATGTCTGCAAGATAGAAGGAAAGAAATGAGATTCATCCCCAGAGATGTAGCTTCCTCTATGCTGAGGCGCAGCAGCGGCTGTTGCTGCCACTTCTGTAGCTGCCCCGGTTCATAATGACGCACGGCCTGCTTTCCATTGTCTAAATGCCCCGAAGGTGGCGTTGCGGCCTCTGTGGACTCCTCACCAAAGGCAGCAGCTCGGAAGAATGCAGTTAGACACTCGGTGGCTGCCTTGACGGCCCTCCAGGAGCAGAAGGCAAGCAGCTGCTGCTGTTGCTCTCGTTCACCCATGTCTTCTCCGCAAACCACCGGGTGGCCCCGACAGTCTACTTTAAGCTGTCCTAGTTGCATTCCGTTGCAGCTGTCACTGCTGCGCTCCAAAGCGCCAGAAGGGTCTAGATTTTCTCTGCCCTGCTTTATCACCTCATAAATCGCTCCCGGTTCTGCTGCATGTGCTGAACTTTCCTCTTTATTACAGCTGTCATGATCACGGTGCGTCAAGACTTCGTCTTCTTCTGCCTCTACTGCAGCAAAGGAAGTAAGAAAGCAGCAGGTGCTCTGCAACAAACGAAGCAGCCGCCGCTGCCATTCTTCCCAGGAGCGCGCTGCTTTGCTGCACACCCCGCCTGAACAGCTGCTGCTACACCAGCAAGGGAGTCGCAGGATCCAGGGCTCAATAGACGCCAAGCAAATCTCCAGTACCCCCAGAACATTATGAAAACCCAGTTTCGGCTCAGCGAGGGCCAAAGGGTTTTGCTGAATCACAGCGAGCCGCACTTCTGCTGCCTCTGTTACCACGAGCAGCGCAGCAAGCAGCGATACAGCAGGGTGACAGCTACAATCCTTGCTACTGTTACTGCTGCTTTCGTTGACTACTTCGTTCGGTGCTGCCGTAGAGGGCGGATGCCTGAACGCTGCTGGTAGGTGCTCCCGCAGAGACTCCTCAAGTGCGCTGCAGAATGCGGCCTGCGGCTGCAATGCAAAGTTCTCTAGTCTGGAGGAAGCCGCGGCAGCAACTGCTGCTGGGGCTGCTGAGTCAGGCTGCATGCATTGGTTTCCCGCACCAAGGGTCTCCAGCGGGGTCGCAAAGAGCTCCTGCAGAAGCAGCTGTAGGTGAACAGCCCCCGCAGCGCTTTCGTCCTGCCGCAAAGATAGCACCATTTGCACCGCTTCCCACACGGACCTCTTAAGGCGAGCTAAGTAATCCATGGGAGAACATGACAGCAACGTCTGGTGGTGCGACTGTTCTTTCGAGTGCAGATACTGCTTTGCCTGCTTGCACTGATGCTGCTCTAGGTAGTGCAGTTCCCCCTGGCTTTGCGGGGAAACGGGAGCAGCAGCAGCAGCGGAGAAGCTCTCAGGTGGAAACAGGTGCAGCAACCGCTGCAGAAGAGTACGCGGGGCTGGACCAGTGACAACAGGTAGCAAAGCTAGGAGCTGCCTTCGCACATCTGCATTCTGCCATCCCAAAGCAGCTGCTACAGTGCAGCCTGTATACTCAGCGCCCCTGTTAGTGCTACGCATTGCAGTACCACCTTTCGCTACAGTGGACAGTTTATTTCTTTGCCGAGAGACGTCATCGGGTCCCCACGTAGAATGCAGGGACAGCAGAAGAGACAGCGCCACCAGCACACGGTCGGGAGGAGCCCCCGGGTAACAGGAAACGAGGCAGCGGCTGTGAAGACGCTGTAAATATAGCAGCAAACAGGCGAGGTCGCCTCCATAAGCCTCTTGCTCTTTCTCCTGCGGCTCCTGCTGCTGATGGCGAACACAAGGTTGTGAACGGTGCTGTTCGTGTCGGCAAACGCAGCAGCCCTTGCGTGCCAGTGCATTGATATGGCTTTCGGTTGCTACAGCGAGCTGTTGCCGAAAGGCGGTACGCCCCCTCCGATTAACACGGTCAAATGCTGCGACCACCTGCGGTACCACGCAGACAGCATATGGAACGGGCAAGGGGAGACATGCGAGAGTGTGACAACCATGAGTGTGTAGAAGCAGGTGGGCAAAGAAAACACACACGGAGAAACGGCAGACGCACGCGAGGGAGACTCAGATACACAGAACCTAAATTGATATGCATAGGGCGGAGATGAGCCATACACTAGGGTTTTTCCAGACGGGAGAAGGCCAAATACAGAAAAAGCGACACACAAGAAGAAATATGCAGAAAATTAAGAAGACTAGAAGACAGGATGCCAGGAAAAGCTATGAAGTAAGCAGCAATTTTTAGCACGCGAGAAGCTCGTTTTACCAAGCAGTCCCTGCCTCCGAAGCCCCTTGCCATATCTGCACCTCTCCTTTAACACTCAGTCTCCGACCACAGCTATTTTCCCCCGCATTGCCATGCCTTTACATGTATATGTCCCAAGTGTCTGTAAAACTACAGCAGTGCATTTTATGCTTGCCTGTGACCGCTCTGCAGCCGAGCCGAGCTTCAGTTGCTGCGCCGCAGCAAACAGCAGCAGCTGCAGCTCTTCACAGCGGGGTGCTGCAGTTGCCTGCTGTTGCTGCGTTAAGGCCTCCAGCAGCCGAAGCCTCAAGTGCCGCTGACCACTGCTTAAACCAGATCGCAAACGATGCGTAGACACCCGGTAGCACAAGGGAGCCCCTCCACCGCTGCACCCACGAACCACAAGGCAAACAAATCCTGAAGACTTCGCCCTGCAGCCAACACAGTCCCTGCCGGTGCCCAAGCTGCTTGTCAAATGATCGCTAGGGTTCATTCTCTTGCTGCTGCAGCGGCAAGGCTCCTCTACATGCTCCCAGGTGGCGATGCCGGCAGCCCTTGCTGTAGCTAGCAGAGCAGCCTCCCCAGGACTCCAAGGCCTTGTCACGTCCAGAGAAATAAAGGCATTGACGGCATGATCACCCACTGGAGGCAATTGTACTGCCCCCCCGGGCGTTAGTGCTGGCGCTCCTTCCGGTTCGGTTGGTGTTCCTGCTTCCACCTCCTCAAGAGACAGCTGCATGCTGAGCGCCAGAAGCAACGGGGCGGCAGAAGATGGCTCAAGCCTCAACAGCAGTGGAAGTAATGTTTCGGCCAACGCCTCTGCAAGCGGCTCATCCCCTGCTGCCTGCAGATCTACTCGCACCAGCAACGGATACTCGCGAGGGCCCTTCCAGGGATGCACCTTCTCCTCCTGCTGCTGTTGTTGCTCGGTACGGAGGGACGACTTGTCGGGGAAGCTGTTCCCAGAGAGGGCGTGTAGTACGGGACCCATCAAAGATGCCCGGAGAGCGCTGGAGGCGAGGGAACAGGTTTGCCGCGAGCGAGGCTTTTGCTTGCTCTCTTTCTGCTTCTGACACTGCTTGTCTTGTTCACTGAGATCTTCGCAGAGTGCGCGGAGGGCCAGCATCGCAGCAGAACGCAAAGGGCGGTTTTGCAGTTGAGAAAGAAGGTGCTCCAGCAGCTGCGGCTGCAGCTGCAGTACACGGGGCGCTCCCAGTGCACGTATTATGGTAGCCAAAGCCTGGTAAAGGGACTTGCGACTCGCCGTAGGCAGACAGAAGAGGTGCTTACAAAGAGCCGCCAGCAAATCCACGCGTCCGCTCCCGTCGCTAGGGTCGTGGATGCTACTCCTGCTGCGGGCTGCCCCTGTAGACAAATCCTCGGAGCATCGCTGCTGCAGCAGCGCCCATACACCCCGAGCAGCAGTGTGAACAGCGCGGCGCGGGTGCTGCCACCAGCGCATGGCTTCGTTGGCTACGCGGTGAAGCAGCATCTGCTGATTCTGCCGCAGGGCCTGCAGCAGCGTTGCATGGGGAGCCCGTTGCAGCCACAGCTGCAACATTAACAAGGTGCTGTGGTCATCCTTCTCCGGGTTAGCCTCTTGCAGCGCAAAAATGCAACGGAAGAAGCGCTCCTGCAGCAGCAGCTGCCCCTCCGGGGAGCTGTATCTGCAGCAGGAAACTCCCTCCCACGACTTCTCCTGTTCCGGTTGCTGCTGCGCCTGACAGCGCTTTCGTCCCCTGTCGCTGCAGTCCGCAGCTCTTTCATGCTGCTGGAGAAGTAGAGCCCGCAGTAACGCAACCTTCGCGCCAGGGTCAAGGCTCGCAAACAAACTGCTCACCGTGACATTAGCTCCTGTATTTACTGTTGAACATATGCGCTGAAGCAGCAGCTCTGCTGTTTCTTGCTCGTGCATTGGTTCCGACAGCAGTTGCAGCAGCATTGTCAGCACTTGGGAGCGGCAAAAGTGCGTTTGGGTATGCTTGGACCCTTCCATAGGCGCTTCAAACTCAGAAGGCCCTTCGTGTAGGGTGAGCCTGTCTAGGAGGAGCTGTACAAAAAGGTTGCAGAAGGGAAACGCCCCACGAGGGAAGTGCTGCATCAGTTGCAGCAGATGCCACATAAGGCGGTCCTGTTTTTGCTGCTGTTGCTTACGCAAAATACCCTCAGAGAGCACCGGCTGCATGCAGGGCAGCCTCCAGAACAGGGTACCAAGGGAGGTAAGGCCCCAGCTGAGGCCCTCAGCTGCTGCTACAGCTGCAGCACCGTCAACTTCTGGGTGCAGCAAAGTGCGAATGCAATGATGCAGGGGCCCTTCTAAAAGCAGAAGATCTTCGTCCCTCCCTTTCTCTATGGAGTCCAGGAGAGCTTTGGAGGGCATCTCTGCGGCAGCAAAGACGACAAACTGCCTCAGGCGGTGTGTGCACCTGCTATCTACATTGCTGACTTCTGCTGCCACTCCTTTGACTGCAAGGGGTATCCCAGCGCTTTCAGAGGCTGCACTAACAGGAGAAACAAGGTGGTCCAAGGCGCGCAGAAGGCGGCGGGCAAAGCACAGCGCCACAGCAAAGCCTGGGCCTTCCAGCTGGTGTGCCTCCTGCCGCTGATCTTGCTGCCCTCGTTCTCCCTTCGAAGCGGCTTTCCAGCAGCTACAAAAGAGGGCTGAAGAGCAACTTGTGGCTCCTGTGTAGCTGCCATAGCTGCTGTCATTGCACTTACTCTGGCCACTCCGCACGATACGAACGAGGGGCTGAAGAAGAGCAAGCGCGCGTTGAAGCAGACGACAGAGCCTCTGCAGCCGCCCCTCGACTCCTTTTAGCTGCCGCTCGAGCAGCAGAAGCTGCTGTTGTTGATGCAGCAGTTGTTGCAGCAGCCAACTGCACAGCTGTCCGTATAAAACCGCTAGTGCTGCATGTGTGGCCACGGCCATTGATGCATCTGCTCCCGATCTGCGTGCCTCATGTATTGAGGCAGTTTGCGCTGCTGTCTCTCCTAGAGAAACATCATTTTCCACTCTTGGCGCCGGAGGTGCTGCCGGCGGCCTGGCTAGGCCCACTGCTGCCTGTAACAAAGAGGATCCAAGGGCCTGTAGAGCCGCTAGCTGCTCTATGCGGCAGCCTTGTGGCACTATTATTGAAGCGTCGGATGACAGGAAGGGAGTGCCCTGTTTCCCGGGGGTAAAAAATTGCAGAAGATGGTGCCTCCAAGTGTCCAGTACCCACTGCCGACTGAATCCATTACTTCTGTTGACTGTTACACTCTGTGTGGATGCGTGTTCTGAAGCGGCAGTAGCCGCTGCTGCTGCCTCATTCAATAAAGATTCAACAGCATCTGCCACCAGGCGCGAGGACACCCAAGAGTCATCTTTGCCTGCGGACCCCTCCGGGGCTTCCTCAGGCGCCGCCACAGGGGATCGTTCACGAATAAATACGCGGGCTTCCTGAGATGCGGAGCCGAGGAACACTAGGTGGAGCACGGCATCCGAGAGAACAGGGTCGCCCACAGGGAGGGGGCCACAGTTGAGGGAACCGCAGACGCAAGTGGACTCCATAAGGGGCGCTGCACAAGCAAAGCATAGGCTCTATATGGCACACGCAAAATTAAAAGCCATAAACAATGGCGTAACAAAGTAGGCGTGACGAAGGCGCCGCGATAACGGCGGAAGACGCTGGGGCCCGTCCGTACAAACAAAAAACACCCATTTACACTGGACCTTGCATGAAGAATTATAAACTCTGATATGTGCAACAAGGGGAGCCTCTCAAAAACAACATAGGTAGAGGGCGGGAGGTTTGAGTTGTCAATGAAGAAATCTCTAGGTCCTCACTTTCATGGGGAATCAGTGATGCCCTAGTGTCCCTTCCCCCGATTGGGGGGGCTCGCTCGATCAGTCAAGCAACAAACCCTCAAGCCCTCATCCTAAATTTTGCCCTCTAAGCAAAAAAACACAGAAATCTGTGTTCCAGCCATACCACTTTGCATCCTTTTATGGAACTTACGTTCCCTCGTCGCACGCTCTGGTTGCTTTTTTCATGGTTCAACTACGCTAACCTCTGGACGCTGCTCAGTGTGTACCAGCCCACATCCTACGCTCCGGCTCACCAAATACACGAAGTTAGAACTCCGGGAAACGATCATGCAGCTGAAAGAAGAAGCCACCAGCTGCAAAACCTATTGTCGCAATGCAAACATCGTCATCCTCCTGGTCACACCCATTTGGGCGGAGATCCATTTCGTTGCAGATTAACAAAATACTACCGTAGCGCCGTAGAAGCCGTAGATATATTCAGGCTATTTGATACTTGCAGGTTCTTGTCTATTAGGTGTGCTTGTGTAGTGTTTAATTTGAGAGCTAGAGTAATAGGCTTCGAATTGCTCGTCGATTGCACGCTGTATTTTGCGAAGTCACACACACAGTTACTTTTTCGGCTTTTGCACACGTGCTCTAAGCTCTAGCAGTTCAAGAAGTAGGGGCCAATGAACAGGGCGCTTAGCACAGAATTAGTGCAGCCTACTATATACTACAATCCCGGATTTAACTGCAAGCTGTCTAATTAGCTATGCTCTTTAAGCATCTTATACCTTTTGACTGCTGCAGAATGGATGGACCTGTGTGAATATCCCTGATAGTGGGCTCCAGCGCCATACTAAATGGAAGGAATTAGCTCTGTGCAAATAGAAAATAATATATTGCGCGCAATGCTCTGTTTGGTAAAGTTGGCTAAGGCATGCATTGTCCTTTTTTACAACAAGATATTACGTCCTAGATGTTTGTAGGATATACGACATTTAAAACTTTTCAGCATAGGCAAGCCACGGTGTCAGGTACCGCTACACATGATGCACATATGAATGCGGATACTTGAGGCTTAGTGGGGAAACACTCACCTCAGGCCCTACACGCTTGTAAAGCGTCACGCTGTCTGTGTGGCTTGGAGGTTGAAGGGCTTTTTTTGTTTCCACGTCTCGAAGCCTTTACACGGCAGGTTGTGAAGCAGTACTGTAGCAAGTAGCCTACACTTTAGCACTTTCTTTTTCACCGATTATGATTACCTAAGAAGTTATTCTGAATTTGCTAATTTACTTCTCTGTTGGCACATCATTTTGATTCTAGAATGCTGAAAGCTTGATACAAGAAGATGCAGTGTTGTAAGCGTATGTGTTGGCTAGATGCCACGTGCAGCCAGCTGTGACTACACCGATTGCATATAGGGTGCAGAAACGTGTTCCATAGCTGTCTCTTTCCCCTCATGCCAAATCCTCTGACAGAAAAAATAAGGGGAAAGCACAATTATCTAGGAAAGCACTCAACAAGTTTCTGTCAAGTTTGTAATGTGTCTGGAGAGAAGTGTCTCCCTACGTAAGATTATGGTGGGCGTCGTAGTTGTTAGTATCGCAATAATGGGATGCAGCTCTCCCCGGCTAATCCACTGGCTGCACTTTTCCGACAAAAGCTTTTTGGCTTCGATCATTCTATTTGGTGATTGAATAATCATACAGTTTGGGGAAGCAGTATCGGAAAATGCGCCCTCTATGAAAGCCGACAGTGGCACCACGCCTGTTGGGGCGGCAGAGGTTGGCCTGCAAGCTACTGTGAATGCAGTGGCTCTACAGCTCATAGAAAGGCATGGTTTGGAAGCCGATCTTCGCGTACGGTTGTGACGCTGATGTATTCTGGTCAGAGGAGTACGACGGCTTATATTGTGGGCGGGTACTCGAACAATTTACCGGGTCGGAGCTCGCCATCTCCTTCTACCAGCAGATAAAGATAAACGATTCTTCCTTGCAGCAGACTATTGATAGAAAAATCAGTTCGATTGTGACTATCAATGAGCACGGGTGTCTGCTTTGCAGGGACTACTATATACAATACCTGACTCTTCAGTTATTGCAGAAATCTTCCCGAAAGCAGGCTTTGGGGGAATTCAGAAAGCTGAGGCAGGTTATTCTATCACTGTATTGGCATATCTAGAAATACAAAGCTTTGGCTTGCAAGACCCGTAGCGTAGACGGATAGCTGGGCTGCCAGTGGTTTATCGCAGTCCTACCAGAAGTTTTACATCAGATGGTCACAAGGCAGAGAGCGACTCAGCTATAAACAACCGACTGACTGGGCTTCTTCGAAGGTGGAACTACCCAAGAATTTGAACGCGAATGGATGGTGCTTTTGGGGCGTTTGATTAAAAAGGAAGAATCAAGTCTGGATTTAAAACTTATGGATGTCGGATCTGTGCCAAGCGGCCGTAGCCTATAGTCGAAGGCGAAGAGGAGAGCCAGAGGGACCCTGCACTCTTTGGCAGCCCCAGAGAGCCCCCGCATCACTTGATTATACAATAGAAAACGAGATTTAATTTGAAACTGCACCACGAAAACCCAAAGATCTTGAGCAAGGGAACTAGTGGCAGCAAAAGCTGGCTGCGAGGCGAGAAAATAGGTGCGTCACGGAAACACAGAGCCACCCGCTCAGGCTGCGGCAAAATGAATGGGGTTACAGAGGGCAGAGTCGCAGTTGGAGACTCATAATGGGTCAGTTGTCCGCTGCAATAACAGCCAAGTATCAGCAGCAGTCTCGGCACTGGATCTGCTATCCGCAGAGATGGCGCAGCAGTGCAGTCTGCCTGTTTAGCCATGTGCAGTCCCTTAGATTCAAGTTTGCTAACGGCAGCAGAGCGCATGCATTGGCAAGGAAGGAAATCCCTATCGCAAATCAGTGTTGGGGCATATCAGCATGTTCTGTGGCCTTTACTCTGGACTCATGCACCATGACAGAATCGCCGGTATGCCATAGGTGAATCAACGAAGTGCGCGCCTCGTTCACAGGTGCACGCTGTGAAGGCTAGTGTGCCATGAAGAACTAGAACCAAGCATCCTGGTCTCCCTTGAAACGCTCATTTCATCTATAATGAGCGAGCTGACATCGAAAGTATAGCAGGATGAGGCAGAGTCTTCATGTGGGCATCTAGACAAAGCAGAAAGGGAAGGCGATTTTGAGCATGCACTTCCTTGTAACGGCTCTGCAAGCGGTTCTATATTGCCGAATCCTATTAAAGATTTTGCTGGGAAAAACATGGATGGGCAGGTATCAAGTAGGAGTGCGCGGATTTGCTACATATTGATGAGTTGAAAGCAGTCTGGCAACCGGTTGGTCGTCCAGAGCGACACATTGTGCCAAACCCCCTTTATTGCAGAGCTACGCTCTGCAGTATGGGAATCTCCTTCATTATGAAGATTTAATTGACAGGCAGGAGGATGATTTGTTGAAAAAACCATGCTGTAGGAGTAGGCTAGCAGATTTTGGCGTAACCCGGTGCTGGTGAGGAACAAAGAAAGGTGACGCATGCGCGTTAGTCTTACGCTCCTGCACAAGATTGCTATGAAGCAGGAACTCCTGATGCGTGTTATTGACGAAATACATGACAAAGTACGCGGACCACCAGCCTACTTGAAATTTGACTCCACAGACGGTTTCTTACAAATCCCCGTTTACCATAATACCAGGCGCAAAGCTATGCCAACACTCGCACTCGCAAATTCAAGAATATCTTTACGCTCTTCGAACTTATCATTGCCCCAGCTGAGCCTCAACGGTAACGTGCGCAGGATTTAATAAGGCCTCATTTGGAGGGATGCATGTTAGTGTACGGGGACGACGTCATAGTCTTTATTACAAACAGTAAAGACCTCCTACAGCACATATAGCGTGCGCTCCAGCAGATGCAGGACACAAGCAGACCTATGTGAAGTCACGCAAGTGAGGCTTGTATAAGAATAGGTGTGTTGGTCGGCTTTTGGCTTTAGAAATTGAGCAAGATGTAGCGAGAATTGAAACTGAAGCAAGCAAGGCGTGGCCCTTGCACTCTTACGCCCGTTACGACGATCCGAAGCATTATCAGCTTGCATCCTTTTACCTAAATTTTTTTGCGCAGTTTGCTTGGACTGTTGTTCCATTGACTTGTATCTCTGAGAAAACGCAGTCTATGACCTGGACCGAAGACTTTGAAACTGCAGGAAGGACGTTTCTGGGCAGCCTCACCGCTCTTCCAGTACTCGCACTGGCACGTAGGTGATGTTGCTGAAGTAGCGACGGGTGCTACTATCGCTAGTGGTGTTCCATTGCATCGAAATTTTGCTTGTTCTTATCGCTTCACCGCAACCATGTGGCGGTATGCAATGCGAAAAGAGGAACTTTGAGCTGTGTCTTGGGGCAAGAAAAAATGCTGGCACCACTTTTACGGGCATCATTTCAGAGTCCAGACCCACCATCAGTCCTTGCAGTACCTTCATAAAAGTTTTCATAACTCTGAACTTTCTAGTGATGTTCGCTGGATTCAACATGTCCTGCAGTAAAAAGCTACAGTGAAGCATGTTAAGAGCATCATCAACGTGGCCTCCAATGCATTCTCGCGACGTCTTAGCAGTTCGCTTCTATGCAGTGCACCCGCTGTTGTTGTGATGTTTCACGATTTATACAAAATTTGTGTGCACCCTGTTTTTTTGACCCCCATGCATGTGCTGCTGCCGACTAAATTTATAATGGCAAGTTGGGGACGATCGCTATGATGCTGGGAATGGCCTGTTGTGGTCCAAACAAAACGACACGTCCGTTGCTCGCATATGCTACCTTCAATGCGCAGTGCTGTCTTACGCAGATCACATCATCAAGCTCTTTTTAGCTCACGCTGAGGTTCACACTACAGTGGAAGCACTCGCACAGCCTTTCTGGTGACCTAGGATCCGCCTCAAGTCAGAGGCGCTTCCACGGTCCTGCCTCGACTCGCAACAGCTAGAGCGGTGCTATCTTAAGCCCCGCCCTTTACAAAGCCTTCCTCCACCCCAACAGACCAAGAGGTCAAGATCAGGATAGCATCCATGTCGCTATTATCCAGATTAGCACATGTATCCATTTTATCCCTTGATTCAGCTCTGTCAGCTCAGAAAGTCGCTCGTGCATTCTTAAATCATGTCTAAGAGCTCTATGGATTCCCCAGGAGTGTGACTGCGTCAAATGATCCCTAGGTCGTTAGTGCAAATTAGTGTGACTTTATGACCTACCTGCACATGGAATATAATATGAACACTTTGAACTACTCTCTAGCACATGGACAGAGAGAGCTCACAGACCCCACTCTTCCGCAGTGTTTGCGAGTCCATGTGAACAGAAATCCAAATGCTTGGCTGAAGCTTTTTCCTTGTGCTGAGTCAGGTTATGATGCACCGTACACTCGCGTACCCGTTGCAATCCTGCATCCCTTGTCTACACTGAGAAGCCTGTCTGAACCAAGCCTGGACCTAGTCCCTTCAGGTCAGCAGCCACCCTCAGCCACGGAGCAAAGAACAGCCGAATAGTGCGTGCAACTGTATGCGCAAAGCCCGAGATCTACAAATAGAGCATTTTGATGAGAGGCGGTCGGCTGTCGAGCAGAGAGCATTTTACCTGGTAGGTCAACTGGCTTTACGAGGTTCACCAGAAGGCGACCAAGTAGTTTGCTACCAGGGAGCTAGCGCACTTGCCACCCTTAAAGAAATAATGTCCTTCTTCACTTTATGACTTCCCACGAAAGTTGGAGGTGCGACAGATCAACGATCGCGCTCTAAGAAGTCTCAAAGCTTCCGGAATTTTTTCGCGGGTCGTACCTCGCATGCGAGTGACTCGTCTTGGGACAGACGATTTTCACCGAACTACAGAAGTGCTGAATTTTGGGATTGTAGAAAGCCAAGAGCTGACTAGATTGGAGTCACTAGCGAACTTCGATGAAAAATGCCAACCGCAGTGGTTGATGGAGGTGCAAGTTTGGGCTTCGTTGCCTGCGATAGAATTTGCGACTCTATTTTGATCAGCAACGCGACTTGCCATTACGGTACCCCTTAAGCGTTGCCCTTTTTGTTCCCCAGCTCATACTTACACTGAAATAGCTAACCTCATCTACAGGTATTGCTTGACAAGCTGCTGGTTTTTGCTGTTCCGGTGCTTCGTAGAGTCAGCTTACTGTCTTGCACTCTAGGTTTGGTTTCCCTAGATTCTCACTTATGCCTCATTTGGAGCTTTAAAATAAATTCCACTGCAGGCAGTGGCTGTAGCTGCTTGCAGACATTACTGTACGAGGTGTGAGGCACTACTTATCGAGGGTATGTTTTGATTCCCTATCAAATCGCTTGCCACCTTTTTTACCGTGGCACAAGGCTGACAAATTTCAGCGCTCGGGCGGCAATGAGTCACGTGCCAAGCGGTCCTTCTTGTGGAGTCTCGCTTTCCTTGCTGGCTGATGTTTGTGCTTTCCCTCCAGCGAGTTTCCATTGAGGTCAGTGCACACATTTGCTCCTCGCATTTGCACTGTTTTTGCCCTCCTGCCTGCATGGGGACTGGCGATAAAACGGAGACACTTGCTCTCTATTGCACGCTGTTGGTCTCAACGTACACGTACGGAAAGCGTGGGTATGTCATTGAAATGCGGGGAACTTCGCGGGCTAAATTAAAATCCAGCACTTTGCAACTAGTAAATACCTCACGACCTTTTCGTTCTGTAAAAGTCGTCTAGCACAGTGTCTGTACTTATAAGTTATGAACTCGAGGGTGCTGCTAGCTTGTTTCAAGAAGATGCAAGGTTGCGTGGGCACTCCCTGGATGCCACGTGCAAGTAGCAGTGAACGCTTTCTGAAGTGCTCAGAGGGCGACGTGACGTGCACCCCAGCCGTCCCTAGCCCCTCATGTCGGGAATTTTCGGACACATGCACAACGGAAGGAGAGACTTATTCTGGAAAATACTCGAGATTTTTTCCCCAAGCTTGTACTGAGCCTGGAGCTAAGTGTTCTTCTACGGAGCCCATGTTGGAACGCTACAGAAAGAGCACATTGCGATACTTATTCTACCGCAAGTAGTACGCGCGGTCAGCCAAGTCGATCGCCCAGCTCCTACACGCTTCTTAGCTAAGCACAAAGAGGGAAATAAAAGGCACTTTGTCCAAACATTTGGGCCCCAGGGGGGGCTACCTCCCTCGTGCATCTATTGCATGTGGGGTATTCTTGTCCTGCTATATCTTCCTGGAAACTTCCAGGTGTCTTTTCGTTGATATAGAGTTTTCTCTTATATAAGAGTGGTAACTTAGAGTGGCTTCTCACCGTTGCTTGTGGGTATGCATGATGGACCACGAATATAAATTGGGTTCCACGGATATCGAGTTCTCATTATATTTTAATTAAAGAGTATAACTTCTTAATTAATTAGTACTTTGGCAATGAGAGCTTTCTAGGGAATCGCGCTGCGAATAGCAGCAACTTATTCTTCGTACGGTTGCAAAGCCCCGCAACTCAATTGAAGGGCCAGGGGTGCCTGAAACCATTAATTGTTCTCGTTACGTTCAATTATTCCTCCCGAGTACACTTAGATTGTTTATTCGGGTTTGGAACCTCCCAGGGCATTCGTTCTCCCTCTTACTGTGCCTTTACGCCCCAAACTATGGCGTCTCTCGCTCGATATGTTGGCCGCCTGGCCGTCAGTGGTTGTTCTTCTGGAGGTGTAAGCAGCAGCAACTGGATTTACTCAGCAGCGGCTGCTGGCGCAGTATCTGTGCAGAAGAATGCTTCGACTGTACAGCCCCTAAGTCGGGTAGGCAACAGCTCCGAAAGGATGAACGCCACGAAGAAGCGGCTTTAATGCAAACATGGCGAATAGGGATACCTAAGAGAACTATATGACAGAAATAGAATTTGGGATGCGTGGCAGCAACTTGGAATGTATTAACTTCATATTCTAAGCCGGGGTTTTCGCTTGAAGCTAGAACAAGCTCCTACGTTTCCTAATAGAAGCACCTAGGATATGCATGTGAACGATGCAATGAGTAAACTAAAGTACATCACATAGCTCATTCGTGGATCTAAGTTTGGTTTCAGTGGGAAAATGGCAAGGCGTTTGACCAATTTTTGTCAGAAAGAGCTGGGGTAGCATCTAGGTGTTGAGTCCTTGCAAGTCGTCCACTAAATACTTGCATTCGCTTTGCTCCTCCTCGTTTCTTGGAGACTCAGTCGTATTATCAACAGAGGGCTGCCCTCTGTGGGGTTGGTTGACTTCGAAGCGTTCACATATTCAAGAGTGCTTGCTTTCCCTTTTTCCAGCGTATGAATTGCCCTCCCTTCCAGGAGAATGCGTGACAGTTTTTGAATTATAGGATTGGAATGCAAATAGAAACAGAGTTGTAGTGTGGACTCTCTAAGGGATTGCTGCTTACTGCTATTGTAGGTTCCCCCATGTGCTAATTTCTGATCATAATGTTTTTCTGTTTCCTTCAGGGTTTCTTCACCCTTTCCAGGCCGCGCCAAGGCATCGTCCGTTTTAATCTTGCTGACATTGGAGAAGGTAAAATGCCTTCATCTGGCTGAGAGCCTAGGGCATGGATCTAGAACACATTGTTAAGCTGCTCGGAATACTTCTATAGGGCCAGGTATCAAAACATAGGGTAGGGGGCTTGTGATTTGGAGACGGGGGCCTTTAGTTCCTAGAGTGTGTTTGCCTTAGGCATCCGTTACGTAATTGTTTGTTCTAGGTATTGCGCATGTTGAACTGACAAAGTGGTATAAAGCCGAGGGAGATGATGTCGAGGAGGTGAGGAAATAGAAAGCAGGTGGCCGTACACTTCTTTCCCCGATGAGTACACAAGTTAAACATTTCCTTTTCTTCTCGTTTGAAGTTTAGTGATTAGGTTCTTCATTTTTTGTATACTGTCTGTGTATGCTTTGATTCTGGGTTCACGTTCAAAGCAGTTTGGAGATGTTCTTTTGGCGATGGCACATGTGTGTTTTGTCTCCAACGCTTCTGCTGTATACCTCTCAGATGGATGAGGTATGCGAGGTGCAGTCGGACAAGGCCGCAGTCGAAATCACTAGCCGGTACACCGGCAAGATCGTCAAGCTTTACGCGAAGGTAATTGTTGCTATTTTGTTGCTTTTTAAAAATTTATTTGACTGTCTTCTGATAAATAAACTCCACTAGTCTGCCATTAATGCGTCCCGCTGAAAATGCGCGACAGGTTTCGGTTTTTGCAAAAATCGGTCTCTTCTCGTTGCATATATATGCTCTGTCCACCTCTTTAAGAATACGTGTGCTTTCTGGTTCATCTTCGTTTTTATCCTGCATTCCACATAATCTTTCGTGACTTCTTCAGTCGCACTGCTTTTTATCCGGTCTCTTTTGTCGCTTCGTTGCTCTTTTTTTCGTGTAGGAAGGAGACACGGTAAAGATTGGGGGGCCACTGATGGATATAGATTCGCCGGATGTGGAATCAGACTCATCGTCGTCTTCTCCTGAGGAACCTGTATCAGAAGAAGTGCAGTCAGAAAAGGTGCAACCAAGGGTGGAAACGCGTTCTTCATCCGAGGTGGGCAGTGATGGCTGTATTATATTGCATGCAGCTGCGCGCCGCCAAAGCCACGCGCAAGCCTTCTTGCTTGGAACAGTATCTGTATGTATATATATATATATATATATATATATATGTACGACCCCAAAGCCCTGCTAAACTATGTGGCATCGAGCCACTGCGCTACAGCAATTTTGTACCCATCGTCCCACTCGTCTGTCAAGCTGCTCGTGTTGCGAGTTTTGATTAATGAATGTCATTTTGCTTTTGTTTTCTCCCAGGGAGCGCAGGCCCTTGTTTCTCCAGCTGTGCGCCGCCTTGCGAAGGAGAACCGAATCGATTTAGAAAATATCAAGGGTAGCGGACCGCGAGGAACAATAACTAAGGACGACGTCTTGAAGTATATCAGTTCGTCATCTACGTCGTTTACTCCAAGTTCTCCAACTCGTTCCTCGGTATGCACTTTCGTAAGACCTTTATAGTTGGGCTAGGGAAATTTCATGGGATGGGCAGCGTTCTCGCTCACTATGGCCTGCTTAGTGGTGGTGCAACATCGTCAACTGCAGCTCAATTTACACCCAAACAGACCTTAGGTTCTTAAGGTAGCGTGAAAAGGATCGCGTGATTTAACACTCATGCCACTAATCTTTTAGTTAATTAGCCGCCTAAGGAGCCTCTTGTCTCTTCTCTCTGCAGTCTTCAACCTCCTCCGGAGGAAGCACACAAGGCAGCCGAGAAGTTGAACTGCAAGGCTTTTCCAAGGCCATGGTTAAGGTGAGGCCTATGTCGATGAAATGCTTTATTTCAGATCTTTTAGTCAGAATTTTAAAATCTGCGCAAAACCAAAGGGGTAATTTTGAGGATCTGAAATGTGGCTTGGAGGAGCGGGGTTTTTGTATTCCTGGTTTTGTATAATAAAGGGGATTGTGCTTGCCCTTCATATAAATGTCCTTTCTTGGAGGCTTCCATTTTCTTCTTGTTTCATGGTCCTTTCAGTGCATACATGACGGCAGGCTTGCAGGCCATATTACTACGAGCTCGTGGGGTTTGTGAGTTTACGTATTTGTGATTTAGTCGATGAATGAGAGCTTGAAGGTCCCCCACATGAACATTGGTGACGAATACGATGTCACACGTCTGACTGCCGTTCGCGAAGTCCTGAACAAAAAGCTTGCAGCAGAGCAGAATGTAAAGGTCTCTCTGACTGCTTTCCTAATCAAGGCAATGAGTATCGCTATTCATGAGTATCCTATTGTTAACTCTAAGTTCAACACCACCACGCAAAGCTCGGTAAGTTACTGAAATCATTCCAAACTTAACTATCCATTCATATTCCTCCTATCTTGCCCTCTCAATCATGCGTTCACTTATTTGTGCACTGCTAATAACCGATGAGCGAATGCTTGGAGCCTGTGCTTCGTATTTCAAGGCAAAGATGGAGATGGCAGGGATTACGATCGGCAGTACTCTTGTAGATTTTTTTAATATTTAGAAGAGCCGCTGCCAAGCGTTATGTATTCTTTTTCATCACTTTTTCTTGGGGCACCAACGTAGCAAAGGTATCCCATGTTGTGCCGTGTTTTGCATTTTTTTGTCCCCCTCTCACTTCATTTTTCTGTCCTGGTAGCCTTTGCCCTCCGAACGACACCGCTCGCTTGTGCTCCCTCAATTGCCTCGTTCCTGTGTTGACCACCCTTTGTGTAACCTCAGTACACAGAATTTGAGTCCCACAACGTCAGCGTGGCCATTGACTCGCCCAGTGGCTTGGTGGTGCCCTGCGTCAAGAACGTTCAAGACCTTACTCTCGTAGAAATTCAAGAGGAGTTGATCAGGCTGCAGGGGCTAGTAAGGCCGAGGGTTCAAAGTTTGCGAACATTTTGGTTAGAGGGATTGAATTTTAGGTCTTAGTATAGCTTTAGTAAGAGCGTGGAGGAGTTAAGGGGTTGATATGAGGCCTTTAATTGTCCGTAGCATCCAAATATTCAAGCCCTTCCGGAGGCCTTATAGGGTTCATTGAGAATGAGGTTTTTGCACTGTGTATGTGTGTGTTTCTTAATCTCTATGTTTTACTCAGGCAAAGGCTAACCGCCTCTCTCCTGCCGATTTGACTGGCGGGACGATCAGTCTGTCGAATGTCGGTGTGATCTCAGGTCAGCCACGGCAGCGATTTCTTGATGGCGCACTACCTTTGCCTCGCTGCTCTGGGTGCCATTTTTTGTTTGGTTGCCTCTCGCATTTCTGTGTGTTGACGCTTGTGTCATTTGGTACTTGGATCTAGCCTCCTCACCGATCCTCCCCTCTCCGATGCCTTCAGGCACCTACATTCATCCCCTGCTATTTGACGGCCAGGCAGTTATTGTTGGCGTCGGCAGAGTGCAGCGCTTGCCTCGTTTGGTGGAGAGAGAGAGCTCTGAAGGCTTTGAGACGTCTCTCGAAGGCAGAGACATCATAAACTGCAGCTTTTCTGCAGACCATAGACACTGCGATGGGGCCACGATCACAAAATTCAGCAAGAGGTAACGGAATACCACGCATCGTAGACCATGAGCCACCGTGCATCAGTCACTGTTCTTCTTCCACATCGCTGTATTTATCTCGAAATGTTTGCTCTTAGTTGGATGATTAGTAGGCACTGGGCTGAAGCGTGCATCTGAATCGAACGAATTGTGGGGATACTCACGCCTAGACCTGCAAGAGAGGCAAGACCAGGGCAAGCACCATGGCAGGGCGGCCTGGCGAGAGCAGAGGGATAATGGCCAAATCATATTGTGTGCTTGTCATGTTCATCCTTGCGCAGCATTAAGAATTTGCTGGAGAACCCCGAACTGATGCTGGCCTACCTCAAGTAGACGGCTTTCCGCGAGGCAACGCATTCTTTTTGGTCTCCTGCTCCTCGTTTCCTCCCCCATAATCTACTTGTTGATATGTTTATAGAAAACACCCCTTCATCTCTGTGGATAGATATGTCGAAAGCTAATCGCACCTTGTATTTAGACGCGACATTCATTCAGTCGGATACAAGCACATGAGTGTTTAAGTGCTGGCAGGCGATATCTGCCGACCAAAAGATAGACGCAGATGCGTTACTTTTGAATATTCTCTAGAAGACCAACTGCATATCGAATAAAAACTTCATCCTATTGCCCTTCTGTTCGTTTAATTGTTTACCTTTCCCCAATAGTCTTTTCTCACGCAAGAAAAGAAGACAGTCGCTAGCGCGCTTGTCGAGCGTCAGTAGAAGCCGATTTCCTGGCCAGTACCTGCTCGACCTCTAGACCTTCTTTCTGCACATGCGTTTAGAAGGCTAACCTCTAGACGACGCGAGGCACTGAGTATGTTACCGTAGGTGTTAAGTAGGATTGGAATACTGATTATTGCGGATCTGGGTAGCAGGGACCAGCTTTGGGTTTGAGCTTTACTGGTTACTAATAGACCAAAAAGTGGCATGTTTCTGGTTTAGTGCCTCGAGAGATGAAGAGCAAAGGTACTTATCTCGTTCGCGTACGCCGCCATCAACTGTCCCATGGGGGGCTTATGCGCGCGGCTTACGTCCTCTCTGATAGGCCCTATTTTCTCGCGTAGCTCATCTGATTACCTATTAGTATGGACGCTGATGCTGCATATACTTTTATCGACGCATGAAATAGCCTATATCTGTACTTTGGAATGTTGAAAGCTCGACTGCGCAGGAAGTACTCCGTGTCTGCTCGCCATTCTTTCCGTGTACCCCGCCTTCTAACGAGAAACAGGTGCTTAATGAGTGTATGAGAAGTACAGGCATGAAGATTCGCTTTGAGATTCCTCTTGGTTAAAGCACCTTTCAGAAGGAGGAACACGGTGGACTTGGCTAGTCAGATCTCCCTACCCGCCTTCCCGCCTAAACACGTCAACAAATGGAGCCCTAAACTAAAAGCGTATTATTTTATCTGTTGTAGTGGTGGCTTCTGCATTTCGGCGCATTCATGCCCCCGCAAATGTCACCTCTGCTCTATGGGCTGTGGGGTATCACACCCAGCTGAGCTGCTGGCGCACAACAATTTTCCGCTGATTTCCCCCTTGGGTGTCGATCCCCCTTCGTTTGAAGCAAATGGGAGAGCAGAAAAACCAATTTATGATTTTACAGCTCAGAAAGACTCTAAGAAAGCTCGAGCTATTCAGCCCATACACCCGAGCAACGCGCCACTGGTTCACGAACCGGTTTTGTCTTCACGACCGCCTCCCTTCATCTGCTGCAAACGTGGAAGCTTTAAAACCCAACAACCGATCTTCTGCGTAATGGCGTACCACAAGCAGGCGGGTGCTGTGGGAAGCCCTCAGAGGCCTGATTTTCTATCTAGCGCCGACGGATCTGCACTGGCTAGACCAGCTGGACTCTACGCATCTAGTGGAGGAGGAGGGCCCACAGGGGGCTACTTTGCCCCAAGGGGATCCCCAACAGGACCTATTGCAGCGTCGCTCAGGACAACTGAGATCCCTTCAGAGCGTCCTCGGGGTGGCGCTGCAGTGCAACCGACAGTAGCAACAGGGCCCCCAAGGGTTTCCTCTTGCATTCCTAGTGGCAGTGCAGTTAACGGATTACCACGGACGGGCACCAACCATCGGGAGCTTACGCGGCCACTGCGCGGTGGTGATCGGTTTCTTCCAGAGTTCCCCTTTACCGACAAACCGTCGTTCCTTCGCCGCCTTCTTGTCTTTTTGATTATCGCCTGTGTTTCGCCATCACTCCTTCAGGAGGATCCTTTCCCCCCTCTCGTGCAAATCCTGGACAAGCAGGCAGCAGCTGAAAAGTCACGCTAAATTTTTTCAAACAGCGCCATCGGGAGGCCCATACAACCCTGGAGGCTTGCGCAAGGGCCATTGAGGGGTCGCAAGGTAATGCGGCATGCACTTTGATCGAGTGGTCCTGTAGTTCTCTCCGGAAGCCTCTAAAAAGAATCAGCAATCTATGCATGTCCACGCAGAGGGCCCGACAGTGGCCATCTAGTGAAATCTGAGGGCTTCTATTTGTATGGGGACCCGCTCAAACCGCAAGCCGTGGGTCTACCCGTTCCTTTTTCTGCTATGTATGCTTTTTAATTTCCACTTCGGAGCCACGGCGGCTTCCTTGGGGCAACCGCGTGTGCCCAATGATCTTCCTCTTCCATATGGATGCCTCGTGAGTGGCGCCATTAAGAAAGAGGCCTTTTGCGGGCTTCAGCTTGGGGCTCCCCAAAATGTTAGTTGTATGAAGGCTGAGCGTGAAACCCGCTTTAAAACAGCTATTGGTCAGGAGGCCGTGTCTGCTGAAGGATTCTGCGGGGCGCTGCGGGTCAAGTAGGATATATACCTAGCTACACTAAAAAGTGCTGGGCACTGTGTAGCCCTCAACCGTCCAACTGGCCTAAAGTGGGCTCCAGAAGGGCCCTGCAGGAAATTCAGCAGATGATCCAGTAGTGGTTTCTGCAAGGTAGATGAAGGCAAGGGTCGGTCGCGGGACGGAACTTGCCTCCGCTACCGTGATATAGCTGCGTGTCCTGCCAGTGCTGCTGCTTAATCTGCTTCTCCCTACAGTGGCCGTGTGTCTGAATGCATTAGTTGCAGCTTTACGTATATATTTTTGATCCTTGGAGCATCGCGACAACAGTGCAGTCCCACCAAGAAATGTACAGAGTGTAAATGATGAGGGACGAGACACCCTGCGGACCCTGCAGCACTGCTGCACCAGCGGATACTGTTGTGGAGTGGAACAGAGAAATTGTACCCTGCAGTATCAGCCGTATAAAAACACCCAGGGCTATGCCCACAGCAATACGGGGAAGGCTCACTGCGTTATGGGGAGGGGCGAGTTCGCTGTAGCCCTAGCGGACGACACAGGCCCAACGTCTTCTTAAAGGATTGCGTTGCAGGCCTCAAGGCTTCCGCGTCTGATCGCACTGCCGGTCGTGTTGACGCTGCGGTAGCAGGCCGCGAGTTGCTTCCGCCGAGTTTCGCGGCAGATCTAAACTCAGCGAAAAGGGAGTGGTGGGGCTTCTTGTTACTGCTGCTGGTCTCCTGTTGCTCTTCCCTCCGTTCCAGTTCCCTCATAACAGCAGAAAGGCCCTTTTTCCGAATGTCTTCGGGAATTTTCTGCCTCTCCGATGATGCAGTGTTCTTATAAACCACTCGCCCTCCACGCTGCAGCCGGCCCGCGAAAAAAGATCCCCCCCTGTCGCTTCGGGAGGGGCTGCCATCAGGCACATCTTGCGTCTCTATCTCTAGGGCTGCGGGTCGAGCTTCGAAGGCTTTTTGCCAGCTTTGTTTCCTTCTTTCCGAGGCCGCAGTCACCTCCCTGCTCCTCAAAGCATTCGCCCTGCTCTTCGCGGCTGCCGGGTCGCTGCAGTTGTCGCAGCAACGACCAGAAGGAATACCAGCGACGGTGGCAGCGGCAGGGGCGTAGACTTCTCCAAACTGCTCTAAAAGGTAGCGGCGCCTGCACCCAACCAAACGGCAGAAGGCCACGCATGCTTTGAGTTTTTCCATCTGGCGCTCGTGCTGCTCTGCTGCCTCTTTCCTTATTTGTTGGAGGCGGCCCTGCAGCTGCTTCCCGTCTGCTCCTGCAGCGGCGGTCGCGCTTGCCGTAGCAGCAGCCACCTGCTGCTCGTGCTGCTGTTGCAGCACAAACCCCAACAAGTTGAAGTCATGCATTGAAAAGTACAGAATGCTTCGCGCAGGCAACCCGTCGCGTCCGGCACGCCCCGACTCCTGGTAAAAGGCTGTACAGACACTCCAACATACAAAGTCCACGCACTTCTCCAGTCCAGCCCATAAGCAAAGTTACAAAGATCTGCACACTTTTAAGGGAGGGCAACAGAGAAAGCGAGAAAGAGAAGGCTAGAAAGAAAGAAAGAGATAGATAGATAGATAGATAGATAGAGAGAGAGAGAGAGAGAGAGAGAGAGAGAGAGAGAGAGAGACGGACAGACAGACAGAGAGAGAGTCAGACAGACAGACAGACAGAGAGAGAGTCAGACAGACAGACAGACAGACCCCAAACGCGCCCAGCTCTTTACGCTCGATACGTTAGACCGCAGACTTCCACACTTACCTTCGATGGTTTTCGTCATTGAGAAGTGGACCACGAATCGAACACACGAGTTATCAACTCCCAAGCCAAATGCAACAGTGGCAACAAAAACCCTAAACTCTATACCCTCCATCCACCTCTGCTGAAGAGACTGTCTTCGCTTCTCTGGCAGACCGGCATGGTAGGCGGCAGCAGGTATTCCAACGCTGCTCAGGTAAGCAGCTAGCTGAGCAGGGGGCAAGCACAAAAGAAGCCAGAGACGAGGACCTCAAGTGCGTTTTGGCTGGAGGACTTGCTGGCTTGCTTCTTTGCAGAAAGGCGGCAGGCAGGCATGCAGGCAAAGCCGAGAACCGTACAGCGGCAGAGGGGAAAAAAGAAAGGAGCGTTCCGGGTGGGCGCCTCTCACGGTTTCGCAGTCCTTCTTCTTAAGGCAGTAAACGATTCCCAAGTCGTTAGGATGATGCTCTTTAATCTCGCGAGCAAGGTCTGCCGCAGCAAATTCAGTCTCACCTTCCCGGTCAAGGCATTCTGATTCGTCCGTGTACTCAGAGGAGGGCAGGAGGGACTTGAGCCGAACTTCATAATATATGTTGGGCCTTTGACACACCAGGAAAAGCTGTACAGGGGAGCACAGACGTTTGGCTCTACGCACGAGAGAGCCATTTTCAAACGCTGAAGGTGAAGGTTCAGATCAAGAAGTACAGGGCGAGAGGGAGGGAGAAAAGCGCAACGCAGTCACACGAACTGCAGTGGAGTTGGTACGCTCAAAGGGAAAGGGCGAGGCGGTCCAAGAATAGACGCTAGAAGGAAAGACCGACGCGGAGCTCAGGGGGGAGGACAGGCAGAAAGGAAGACAGAAGAAGGGGGCTACAGGGTGCACCAGAAAGAGGAAGTGGCGTTCGACGACAGATCAGCAGGAAGACGGGTAAGAGCACACTGGCTGCGCCGCGAAGCAGCAGTCGAATGCAACCAGATCTGTGTATCTCGGAGTTGTGCTGACCGATTGAAGGAGAGGCGGACGATTACGGGGTCCTTAAGCAGCAGGCTGCTGCAGATATCGCGCTGGACGGCAGCAGTTGCTGTCGCTGTGCAAGCCAAGATGGGGGTCTCCGGCAGCAAACTCCGCAGTACGCCTAGACGCCTGCGCAAAAAAATGCAGCCACAAAGCAGCAGCACTCCTGCTGGCTTCCAGAAACCCCCAAGAAGAGCAGCAGCCATGCAAGAGCAGCCCACCGCAGTAGGGCGGAACACACAAACTCACACACACACATGTATACACATACACACATGTATACACACACACACATACATAGACAGATACATGCATAGACACATCAAAGAAGGAGTTGTGCAGCACCTGTAACTGGCCCTAAAGTCGTGACCCCATGAAGATATGCAGTGCGCCTCGTCGACAGCAATAAGTGCCACGCCTCGTCCGCCCCCTTTTAGAAGCTGTGGTCCTCTCTGTGCTTGGCCATTTGGCTGCTTTTGCTGCTGCAGTTGCCGCAAGACACCTTGGAAGGCGGACGTTACTATTTGTTCTGGAGTTACAAACAAAAACTTTATGGCCTTCTGCTGCGGCCCTTCGACGGGGAGTCTGAGGAGCTGCGCTATGATCTCTTGCCGTTGTCTTGCTGTAAGGGTGGAATTGAAAGAGCAGGCGGAAAGACCGCGTGTCTTCATGCGACGCAACTGAGAGCCAACAAAAAAGGCGAGAAGCTCGAGAGATGGAAGAACTGCTTACGGATATCCTTGCTGGAGGCCGTTCTTCCTCTTTTCGTTCTCTGTTCGTATCTCCCTGAGTCTCCTTATGCCTCAGCCCTAGACCGTATCCCCTATGCCCTAGCGCCTTACTTGGTCTTCGATAAGAGCGATGAGCGGCGAGATAATCAGCACGACGCCTTCCAATAAGAGCCCAGGCAACATGTACGTTAACGATTTACCTCCACCTAAAAACACTCATTCACGGCTTAAAAGTTGGGCTTCACAGCGTAGCAGCTAGGCACAACTGTTTGCACATTGCGGGCATGCATGTATGCCGTCTAGGAGTGGTGCAGAAGAGGGCCACAGATCTAGATTTAATATGTACGGAGAATAGATGAGAACTTGAGACTCGCCCCCCTGAATCCCACGCCCTAAGTAGACCGAGGCATACCCGTCGGCATGATAACTAGAGCGTCATTCCCCTTCAGAACTGCCTGTATGGCTTCTTCCTGCCCCTCTCTGAAGCCGTCGAACCCCCAAAACTTCTTTAGGACTGCACGTAGGGGAGAGAGAGGCGCTTGATCCTCATCCTCATCGAAATCTACCACTTCTGCTGCTGCCGCTGCTGGTGCACTGGCTAGAGCGGTAGTGGTTGCTGCGTTTTCCTCCTTGGCACCTGATTTTGCAGCCGGAGGAGCAGAAGTGTTAGACGTAGGCGACTGAGACCTTGCAGGGCCTCCAGGCTCCCCGGGGGGGTCTGCCGCTGGTGTACAGTTTCGAGCATCCAGCGTAGAAGCAGGGGCGAAAGAGCTATGTGTCTTATGACAGCTGCTGATATCAGCGTTGCTAGTTTTGCTGCTGCATCTGCTGTCGTTGCTGCTGCCAAGAGCAGGGCGAGATGCTTGATCGTGCAGAGGAGCCTCTCCTGCTTCCCCAGCCTTCTTTCGCCTCTTACATAGGGGGATGCCAGATGAGGCGTGTAGCGCCTCAGGGCTGGTGGGCATTTGCTCTGTCGATGTGGCCTGTCTGCGGTCCCCGCTGCCGTCGCTCGCCTGCAGTTTTCTTCGTTTTCCACCCCCCGACTGCTTTAGTTGCCGCAGCCAGGGGAGCAGCAGTCTGTGCTACGGTGCCCCTCGAAGTCTCAAGGATGCTTTCGGCAACACATGCCGCAGGCCCCCCGAGGGTTCCCTGGTGGTTGTGAAGAAACACACAGACCGGCGGCGACTCGGGGAGGCTAACGGGGATCCGCGAGCACAAATTTGGGTTTAGTGTGGCTTAAATAAAGGCCTCTGGGCAGCCTCCTCTCGGCTTACGACTCTAAGCAGAAGGGGAAGGGAAGCTCAGTGCCGGGCAAGCGGCTGGGAGCCCTCGCCGAGGTAGTGAGAGGCATCCCCACCATTGCGGTCCGTGTCTTCTAGGAACTAGTGAATTATTCATTTTGTAATTCCTGCTGCTGTCTCGAGGGCATGTTTCTTCCGGGCAACCGCCAGTCTTCCAGAGATCAAAGTAAATATCTTACCGCACCGAAGTGACCTGACTGACCGCGCTGGGGTATTGGGTATCCCTGGCCACTTCTTGCAGCTATTGCGGATCTTCCTAGACCTTTATAAATGTCTTAACCCGAAATCCGGACGAAGGGTACGCATGCCGGCCCTCAGAACACTCTCCGCTGGAAACGCCTTTGTGGGCTCCGTGCAGAGACTGCTTCCTTGGTGTGCTGCCTCTCTTGTCCTGCTGAACTACTAACGGCTACTGAATTCAAACCCTACAAACCCGAATCTGGAGGTCTGTTTTAACTGAGGGTGGGTGCGAAAGGCGGATGGTGCTGAAAATGGGCCTCCATCGAAGCATCACTTCGTGTTCAAATACCAGGCTTGCACGCATGAATCTAGGAGAAGTTGCCAGATTACTAAGTATTTTATTTCGTCACCTTTCTTTTGCTGAGTGCAACTAGCAGCCCTCTTGCCCTACATTTTACGATCCATTTTCCCTCTGCTAACTCAATGTGTGTGCTGCTTTTGCTCGGAATGTCCCTTTCACTTCAATCTGGCACTCTCTGCATGGCTCTGCGCCAAGTTTTCTCTGGTTTACGCTCCGAACACCCTCTCCTATTCGTTTGATCTACCTCATACCCCGCTTTCTGCCCCCTCAGACGCTGTCTTTTGATTAATGTCGCTCGATGCTGCATTCACATTCCTAGAGGTTAAATAGTGTTTTCCATGCACAAAAGATAAATATCAGGAGAAAACTCCAAGCACCTTCTTGCTGACACCGCAAGATGTTAGGGGCCCGAAAGGGACTTCATATAAAGCAAACCTAGGGCCAACCCTTCATGAATGGCTCGGTGAGGCGCATCATAAGATGCATTTCAGAAACGGAAACAACAGATCATTGTGTGAAGGTCGGATGGGTTCTCCTGCTTATGATGAAGCCGGAGCCGCTAAAAGTAATCCCGGAAAGATAAAACTCGGTGAAATACAAAAGGCCTGAGCGCCCCACACGCGCACGTGAAGAAGCCGGTCACCCTTACAATATACAACCTCGGGTCTGGACTTCAGACTTTTTACGCCGTATCTGGGTAGGAAGGGTAAAGTGTTCGTTCAGTACCTGAAGTTCTCATTTTCAACATCAATGAAGGACTCATCAGGCCCGTTGTTCGTGTTTGACGTGACGGAGAGACCTGCACACAAATAAGCCTTGGGAAGCACTAGGCAATCCAGCTCCGCAGGGAGTCCGCCGGCATCTACAGCTGCACGCTTGGCATGTTCAGCGGCTGCGTTCCCTGCTACTGCGTAGAGTCCAACATTTAGGGTTTACTGCTACTTACTGATCCATTTGAGCCTGTAGTTCCACCTGCCGCCTTTAATGTGTGTCAGCCGCAGTACTGCAGTGTGCCGCGGCGTCGGAGAGCTGTCAAAGGGTTCTACAGACGCGTCAACAGATCCGTGTTGATGCCCTGCCCTCACGCCTCGCCTCATGCCTGATTCCTCTCCTCGTGTACTGCTGCTGCGGCCATTGCTAGGCGTGCCAGCTGCCCCGCGAGCCCTTGGTGGGGTCGAGGCCATCCCCGAAGAAACTGGCCGCCCTGCTACAACAGCTGCTTTCCCTGTGTACTCAAGAGTTACAATTCTGTCGAGAGGGTTAAAGGCATAGGACCCTAGTACCACCTGATCTGGCAGGGGGGATCCCTGGAGAACGGGCACTCTACCAGGTTGCATTGCGGCCTTGTAAGCGTCACTCTGAGATACACACGAAAAAAGCTGAACTCCGCAAACCTGGACTCTAGTCCTCAAAGGTGACGCATGGTGGCATCGCTAGAACGCAATCCATAAACTGCAAACTTCGAATCCTTACGGGCTTGCCCTCCAGGTGTGCCTGAACGCATTTGAGTGCTCCCACGGCCACATGTTTTTCTGCTTCAGATCTGTAGTACACGCAGACCAACCTCCACAGAAAGGTTCTCAACGCCAAGACCCTTAGCCCAAAGCGGCGCTTAACGCTTTCTTACAATTCCCTAAAGCGTGCAGTGCCGCAGCACCGTGCATGCATCAGGCATGCACCCCTAGCCAGCCAGGACACCGACCCAAAAGGCAAGTACACTATCAGCAACACAACTATAAGCACGCGAACAGGGTTGCTTAAGAGGCAGCAGCGACAATGGGTATCACAGCAGCACACCTAAGTACGAGGACCTTGTTGCCGGGTAGGAAGCGAATATATCGGTAATACGTAACGGCGATAACTGGGGAGTTCGCTGCAAGGTTGTTGATCAGCTCCTGGCTAATAGGGGCGCCAGTCGGCTGCTGCAGTTGCTGCTGCAACTGCTGCTGCAGCTGCTGAAGCGTCCGCCGGCGACGGTCATCCAAATGGATATTACCAACATCTCGTACCCGTCGCAAGTACACACACTTGCTGATGTAGATCCCGTCCAAACGCAGGCGAGGGGCCTCGAAGAAGGCGCTGCGGAAAGCAAAGCACGAAGTCGAAGAGCGGCGCTAAGGAGTCGGTGTAAAGGGGACATGACAGTACACACCAAAGAATCAGGCAGGGCAAGGCAGCATGCAGCGGGGAGCAGAAGCAGCGGACGACCACAGAAGGGCAAGAGTCAGAGTAGGTGGCGATACACAGAAGAAAGACGGGAGTCAGAGAAAATCCCCACACGAGGGCACCCCGAAAAGTCGTAAAACGCCCGGCATAGCCAACCGGGAAGCAGAGATGGAAACGAGCAAGAAGAGGTATTCATGCCCGATTTGAGAGAGGATATCAGGAAAGAGTTCGATTTCAAAAAGTTATACAGACCAAGATGCCAAAAGGAAAAAACGCACTGCGCAGATAGGCATAACTGCGCATCAATGCAAACGTAGACATGCAACAGACCACAAGCCCTAAGCCGTTGAACCCCACGTAATGCACACAGCCTTTATTGAATAACACACGAACTCCACCCCCCCTATTCAATGAGGGCTCACCGCCTCCAGCTTCCGCCGTAGAGGCTCAGTTCCGGAGGGTCTTTGAAGGCCGCCTTTGTCTTTTCCGACCACACATAATCTGAGGACCAGAGGTTGCGGTACAAGCTTTTGCAGCTCATGCAGAAACTGCAGCACAAAACAGCCCCGAAGAACCGAGAAGAGGCAACTGCGCATGAGCAGAGGGCCTGCTGTGTCGAGGCAGCACTGCAACAGGTGCTGAACAACAGAGCAGAGCAAAAGGCAGAGAGGGAGGACGTGAACGCACAACTCTCGTAATTACAAGCCCTCACCCGTGCCTGTACTGGAAAATGCATATAACGAGGAAGGGGGATGACCTTAAATGTGAGAGATTTGCAAAAAAAGGGAAGAGCAGCTGCAAACTCGCCTGCGATAGTCAAGCACCCTAAGCAGCATGCACCACGAAAAGACTAGGGATGAAGCTACGCCTGTGCCACAGCAGCTGTGTATGCCATTGATCTTTACTTGGCGATGGCGTAAGTATCGAGAAAGAGAAGAACCCTAGCAAGCACGTGCTCAGGAACCGTCAGCAAGGGGCAGGTCTCTTCACTAGCTGCGTCTTCTGCCCCTCCTCCTGGCTCGTCCTGGCGCTTAATAGAGGCCCTCCTCCGGCTCAGGCTTGTGCCGCTGTGTGCAGCTGCAGCGGCAACTTGCCTTGCCGCATCCCATGCCCTTCTTCCATGAAGCATCTGCCTATCGACATGCACATCCCCTTCCAAGTACCCGGCATTTCTCTCTGCCGTCAAGTCGGTCTCTCTTTCCTCCTCCCTGTCTATCTCCTTTGCAGGATCCTCTGAGTCTAGACATACCAAACCCTTTTCTAATCCGGGATGAAGCTTAATGGCTTGCCGGTAAAGGCCGATGGCTCCAGCGAGGCGCCCCTGATTCTCAAACCGGAGTCCTGTAGGGGCAAACCACAAAGCAGGAATCCCTTCTGCCAGTGAGCTTGTTTGAGTACAATCGCGACAGCCAAGTCACCGCATCTCTCCGAGGATCTAGGCCAAATGAATCGCGAGTTTGGGGTATTGCGGTGCATGCGGCTACCTTGGATGGACGTCGCAGGCTCTGCTGCGCCCGACTGGTAGTGCACTACTGCTCAGGCACACGTGACATACGTGAGCCTGCGTCTTGGGAGCTGACCTGCTTTATAAAGCGCAAGGGCTACAGAGGAAAGAGAGCTATCGGGGGAGTAACAGGAACTCGTTGGCGACTCAATACTGGAGCTTGTGGAGGGGGCATCTCCTTGCAGCGGGGGAGGGCGTGCCTCTCCTTCAGGATCTTCCTCTTCAGGACCCTCCAGTTCGACGAACATCGCCTCCGAAGGTTCGGTGTGTGGTGGGGCACTGTGGATAACTAGGGAAGAATTTGAAGCCTGTAAAGGTCTGCCGGTGTCCCACAAGCCCCCACGGGATGGCTCGCCAGAAGCGCCACTCATGGCAGGGAGAAAGGTACACCCGAACTCGGAGTTAGATCCAAAGGAGGAGAAGCAAAATAGGAGAAGACGACGAAGGGACGGGGAAGAGGAGAAGAGAGGCTGAAACGACGAGCAGGCACCAACGGTAGAAGCAAGAGGTCAAATACCACACTCATGAAAGTGGTATTGACATGCTACTCTGATTCGGTATGAAGGCAATAAGGGGAATAAAAGGTAAGAAGTAATGTGCACGCATTTCATTGTTCGTCTTTGGATTCTTGGTGAGGGGGGCCCCTGCCTGTCCTCGTGGCTCTTTCGCTGCAAGCGATTCAGTATTGTTTCCCAGTCCTATAGGAATCACGGCTAATTTAACGCTCACTAAGTAACAAGCGAGAACTCTGGAACTTAGAAATGGGCGTAATTCAATAATTCACATCCCTTTCTTCCTTATTCCTAGCGCACATGCGCGCCACCTACACATATGAAACATATATAGGCAGCAACGCAAAGCTCCACATGTACAGCATAAAGTGGCAAGTAGGCAAACCCCTCGTAATTTATGTTGAATAGCCACCTAGCTATCTTGATAACACACAAAGTATGCCCTGACGACTCGATGCGCAAAGCAAACGCTCCTTCTTTGTCAGGGTTCATAACACTACACTAGATGCGGCAAAGCATGCTTCTTCCTGAGCATACAATTGTGAATTCGCCATTTGCGGGTCACTGCTGGAAGCCGATTCCCCAGACCATGTCGCGTAAACTTCAAAATATTTTTCGAGGGGTTGGGTCCTGCTGTCGACGAACACAATGAACTTGTACGACCCGACGGACGGTTTGGCTTAAGTTATTGCACTCAAAAGAAGCTAGCACGATCGCTCTCTGGAATAATCGTAATGCCTCCCACTCATGGACGCGCCTGAACCCACATTCTAGTTAGCATGCCACTTTCCCGCTTGCCCAATGCTTGAACACCCACTGTGCCGAAAACCATTAGTGTTTCAAGCGAGCGAAAAAAAGCAAAAGGTCTGTCTTCAGGTGATGCTGTGTCGCTGGGATGGGCGGCTAAACACCGCCGAAAGAGACAAAGGATGCCCTCGCACTCTGTCCGCAAGTTCCCAGCAATCAACAAGCGCTCAACTTTGGGGGCGCCTCCAGCAGCAGTTCATCCACACACCACAATACTATGCCCTAGGTTTGTCGCTAAATATTTGCTTCAGCATGGCGACTTACGAAACACAGCATTTTGAGCTTTTGAAGTGGGATGTCTCTCTTACCCATTCCCTAACTTTCCCTGGTTCGAGGAACTTCTTTGTGCTCCGTTTTGGGGAATACTGCGAGCTAATCTACAGTACGCGAAAGTTTCTGGCATCCCCTTTCATCCAACCATTAGACGTTAGGGTTCGTTTCTGGTAAACCTTGCTGATTTAGTGCGCCCGTCTCTACCCTCCGCAGCTCTTAGCTCCTCAACGTCGATGCCTCCCCTTTTATCCCCCAAATATCTCTTCTTGAAATCGATAGCCCCAGCGTAGTGCGGCTGTTCCTGGGAGGTCCAGTAAGCGCCCAGTACCTCCCCCATGGCTTTCCATTGAACCAACTTGCACTCCAGTGTGCTGTACACTATCTCGAGAGAGGCCATGGGCGCAGCACATAGGGAAGAGAGAACCTAGGAATAAAGGCAAAAGTACCAAAAAACAGAAAGAAGCGATGACGCAAATTTCACACGCAAGCTCAAAAGATGTGTTATTCCTAGCTGGGGTACATATGATGCAGGAGAAAAACAGTATAACAGAGAGGAGGCTCCGCAAAAATACACGCAGAAATTCAGACACAAATAAATCATAGATTAAATAAACGATCAGCGATAACGAAACAAGCGAGGGTAGTTACCTGCTCGGTGTTACTCCCGAATATGCGTCTCAGGCAGGCGATGTGAATTTGCCTAAAGAAGGAGGGCCTGACTGTGCAAAACTTCCTTTCTTCTTCAGGTGTTTTCATTATCGCCTCCCCAATAGCCTCCAGCTTTTTCAAAACCGACTCTAGACGCGATATTCGAAGGTCCCAGTCATAGCGGGAGTCCGCCAAGCTCAGGAGCGCCTCCTCATGACGATTCATGTAGCGCGCCTGACTCTCAGAACTGTCTGGGAACAAGGCCCACCTGAACCAAAGAGAAACAGAATATGCAAGAAAAAAAGTTTAATATACAACAGACACAATGAAGACTGGACCGGAATAGGAGACCCTAAAGACAAGTAGTCCCTAGTAAACCGAGGAGTGCGAGGCAACACAAGACGAGCTGTTGGACACCTTCCCGACCATCACAAGACGATATCGAGGCTGTACTTTTTGAAAGAAAAACTTAGCTTGCGAGAACTTTCATCTGCGCGCTATTCACGCGAATAAAGGAACTCGCAGTAAGAAAACAACTAGTGCCTTATTAACTTAGTCCATATTTTTCACATAGGCACTGCTCGCTCACCTGTCATTGAGAACTTGCCAAGACAGGGCGTCTCTACCGCTGCACTCAGAAGCCGGCCATTCGTCTGGCAATTTCCGGTAAGACCCGTTTCTCGGCAAAGCATCGTACTGTTGCCGAGTCAAAACCGAACGGCCCTGGCCTCCACATCGCTGGGATTCCAGCAAAAATACTAAGCGACGAAGAGACTCGACGGCGGCGGGAGATGAAGATACGGAAGCACGGAGGCTTGAAATGACCTGATAAGGATCCCGAAAAGCACAAATACAAATAAAAATTACATAGCAGCATCGCTAGCAGTGTACAAATATGGACCACATCTACAGAAGAAGAGCCACGAGGCTGCAGCAAGTTACAAGACATGTGGCAAGATACAGAGAGAAAACCTATGTCTAGCCCCAAATAGATGCGCGCTCCCCAAGTGTCTTTATGACAATCACAATTGACTAGCTATTCAATCAAATCGTGTCGTTCAAAATTGTACATCGTCTTTTGAAAGTCGCCCCGCATTCCATTCATCCAAGATACTATAGATCGTCTGAACCCAGGAGCAGCCCATGAGCTGAATCATCAAATCTTGGCTCCTAAAGCGGCATGGCGCTATGTGGCGCAATAACAAGTCTGCCGTAGTTTGCACGAGAGATTCTGCCTCTGCAGAGCAGACAATTGGCCCAATCGAAGAATTCTTGCCAGAACTGCTAGCAGTAGCAGATGACGAAGAATCTGCAGCGGTTGGAAGTGAAACCGACTGACCAACGTGGTCGTCCGCCTGTAATAGATCAAACCACAAAAGCATGAAAGCCCTTAGAACCCGCATCCTAAGCCATCAGCGTACGGCGACCGCCTTTTCTTGAATAAGGAACATAATGCACTGTGCACCAGCCCGAGTTGCTACTTCATATGGCGCCCTTACGGTAGGCAGACCCCCATGCGGCTCTTTATGCGCAAGCAAGTAGAGACTACCTTGCTTCATCAAATAAACCAGTTCGTTGCCCTTAACGTATTTGTAACCCACACTATCGCTGTTCAACTGCATTTATAACGAGAGTTCGTTACACTGGGAGGAACTTCGAACAGACCGGAAAAGCAGCAATGAGGATCCACGTACACCCACTAAGGCTCGACGAAAATAAATGAACAGTACATTCTGCGAAAGGTTGTCAGCCTGCTTACCTGTTCGGATCCTGTGGCGACGTCTGGCGACTCAGGGGCTGTTGGGCTTGCCAGGTGTCTGCCATCTTGGGAGCCTGCCTCATTATTGACACTTCGCTCTACCAGTTGAGGCGGCTCACTGTGTCCGGCTAAGTTTTGCCAGTTTTGCTTTTCCAAGTCCCTAAACAGTCGAGCCAGGATCCCTAGTTTCTCGCAGCAATCAGGAAAGCGAGAAACGAGGAACGCAATACGATGCATGGCCAGAGAGGCAGAGATCGCGCCGCTGCGTGCTCGTGAAATGAGATGATCAATTTCGATCCTCAAAGCGACAGACTGATTGAAAACCCCATGTAGAAACAAGTCGCACAAGTAACGAAGGCACACGGCCCGGTCTTGACAGGCCGCCGCTGAAAGCAAAAGGTAACACGCACGTGGTGCAGCAGCATTCTCACCAATAAACAGAGGTACGTAAACAGGCATAAGCTTTCTAAAGTTTCCGTTGGTCGCTGCTCTTAAGGCACTGGCTTGGGGGAAAGGAGACTGAGCCAAAAGGTCTTTGGCTCATGATAACACACACCGACGTAGAGATTCCTGTATCAACTTACCGTTTCTTCCTGCGATAAGTTTGACGGCCGTCTCGAGCTCCTTTGCCATTCGGATATCGTCCTCTCCGACTGTAAGAATCAGACGTTTTATGTCGCCTGCGACGTGAAACCATGATGGGAAGGAAGAAAAGGCACGGTCCAGTTCAGAGCTGAAGGAAGAAAAGGCCAGCCGTTTCTTCATAAGCATCCGCACCAAATGTAATACACTCGATGCAAGTACCCTGGCGCGCTCTACACAGCCTCCAGAACGACCGACTTGGTAAGCCAGACGAAACACGGAGTGAACCTGGGAACGCATCAAAAATAGTAGGAAAGCTTATGTGTCAACAGCTGTGCAAAATGGCACAGGGGTAGCAGTGCAATTTTTACAATGTTCTTGGAGTCTAACAGGGATGACGACGGTGCGGTAAACACCTGGAAAGGCTCATCGTCAAAGGGCTTCGCCAATTCCACTGCTTGATCCTTGCGAATAACTCCACCGTTCTTCTCGATGCAAAACTGCTGCACCAGTAGTTTCCTGATGGCTCGTATAAGCAGCGGATGACCTCTGAATAGGAGCTGCATACGATGCAGCAGAATGTCCCGACTTCCGCGCTGAGTCTTCTGTGCCATACAGCTCTTGAGGATGCTGTTGAAAATAGCATACTTATCAGGAGCCATGTTCTGAATTAGGACGCACATGGCGGCTGCTGAGCTACCAGCATGAATCAGCGTTCTGTCCGGGAGAAAGAGCGACATACAAAGTGACACGTCTGGGGCGTCTGGAAACGAATTTCCGATCAGAAAAGCTAGCTCCTCCACACGCAGTCTCTGGCGTTTGACGTGATCCAGCACTCGACACAGAGAAACCAGGTTTCGTGGAGACCCTGAAAAACGTTTCGTCAAGTAAGCCTCTAGCTCACTCCACATCAAGTGAAAATCATCACACGTCGCTTGATCTGCTGGGGCGGGAGGCGGGGCACCCTGCGCCGCCTCCGCCTTCACAGGTGTAGAGTCGCTGCCTCCAGGCGGTGACTCCGATGGCCCAACTGGTTCCTCAGAAGGCCGAGATCCTGAGTGCGACACCTCAGGTACTTCAGGCTTCATTCCTTCTGCTGTTACGGGATCCATCTTTATTGAACCAGGTCCGTGTGTCCCCGGATGAATCAAACGTGTCCAAGCACTCAATTATCAAAAATTGTACCTAAAGACCCGACGTAGCATCAGCTTCCGTTGTTTGCGTATTCCAGACGGCTGAAGACAACGGGGTGCCATGTGCAAGCCGGTGTAGCTAGGGCATGAAGCACTCAGATAGCGGAGGCCGCCTCGTTAGCTGGGCCTCCTCGACCCGCCCATATGACTATAAAGACATTTTGCGGCGTGGAAATAAGTCAAATTCGAAGCTCATTGATATGTGGAAACAGCTGGTAGTCTCCTAAGTCCTCGAGCATGCGCGCGAAGACGCAACACAACGACGAAAGGAGAAAAGTGTCTTCCCTCTGTGATAAGCCGGAAAAGAAGGAATAATAAATGTAGAAATGCTGAGCTAGACACAGACCCTGAAAGAATCCTTTGAACTTGAATGTGTCAACTCACTGCTGAGCCCCATCCAGAGCTGTGGGGGTGGTAAAGTGTTTTGCCAACTACACCTCCAGCCATTGCACGCGCAAATAGTGGTAACATTTCTAGCTTTATGCCTGTTTACTTTAACACGCACGCCAAAGCAGACAGTCAGCATAAGCATGAAAATTTTAACACCGAGCTGCATCATGCGAGCGCCTCCGTGTGAAGTAATTTCCTCGAAACTATCTGCCCGCTCCATTCTGCACTCAAAGCTTCTGGGGAGACATAATGCGTTCCAGGCACACAGAGGTCTGTCTAGGCAGCGAGTCCACTACTCTCTTTGATTTGGAACTCTCAATCTGAAGCTCCTGCATCACGTTGGGTGCTGTGCAATGCAATAGAAGATAGACCAGTACACACGCTCATTCGCAAGCTTTTGTTACCACTCGGCGGGAATAGCGCCAGGTGCAAAAACTAATGTCCAACTTTGTTTACTGTAGCCGTTCAATTGCACTTGGACCTCGGCAATGCACAGTCATCCAGTATGCAATAGAGTCGCGCCACCTCCACAATACGTCGTGACAGGTAAGCAGATACCGAAATTTGTTAATAAACAAAATCTTGTCGATACTCACACAGATATTAGGAAGAAGTGGCTTTCGAAACCATCCGTTTCATGGCGAGCAGTCATTGAGGGATCAAATTGGTCTATTTGGAGTGCTAACGGTAGAAGTCACCATTCGCCAACTATTTCACAATTAAAGCATTCCACCTTTGCTACCTGCATTCATCATGCTCCAGCGTTGGCAAATTTTGAAAACTAAGGAGTACGAAAAGGCCTCCTTTTCAATTATGAAAGTGGTACTGGCAATACACCTGCAGGTGGAAGGAGTGCACTGAAGTGTACATACGCACCAGGCGCATCATAACGAAATGAGTTGCATTCCTGCTGTGCGAATCCTCGTTCTTAAGGAAACATCATAGCGAATTGCCTCGTATTCTGACGAATCCCGAAAACAGATGAGGCACTTTATACCAGTTGTCTGTTTTTCCCTGATAGGAGTCCATGCTGAGCCTCTGCTAACCAACAGCCCAGTTTGCGACGTTGCCGTCGAGACTGCGTTGTGTCTGCACAATGCAGAGAAAATATTAATGCCGGATGCAAGGCCCTATGGTAAACTAGTAACCGTTGCACCTTGATTTCCTAATGTTCAAAACACTCTGATCGAAGGCATGGAGGTCCACCTGACCTTTGATGAATCCCGTCCCCTAGACACAAGTGGAAAGAAAAACCACGGCTCTGGAGAAGTGATGGCAGCATCTGGCGTTGGCGGTGCAGGCAGTTCAGCCTTATTCCGTAACAACTATGTCTATATACCGAGTTCAGACAGCTTCAAGTCTGCCGACTTCTCGTACACATTCTTTCTGTACCTACTCGAGGATTCAAAATCAAGGTTAGTGCTATTGGTGTGCTTTTACAGAAGAAGCAGATGGATTAGCGCTCCCTGGAACAGATCTACCAATGATATGCATGACCAGTACTGCCCTATCATCCATAAGGGCATCATGCGTGAAGATGTGCAAGAAGCTTCCCCCGCCGTCCTTGTAAATCCTCGTGTAAGTAATACTGCATAAAATATACTTGTGGCCAGCTCCAATACGTATCTTTACAATAGGATGGACGTATCAAAGTCGTCCTTGGTACAACTGGCACTGCAGCACGTACGGCTCAAATAAAGAAATACTTCTTTAGTAATAGAAGCACATTGTCACTATACAGCTGGCCAAGAGATGCAAAGCAACTCAAGACTTCGTCCTCATCAGTGGTACCACCTTGCCAGTAAGTGTCCTGATGGGGAAAGTATTCAGAATCAGCAGTTAGTTGATATCGTCTTACAGTGGTCCGGCATCAGAATCGCATGAGACTCTACGTTGATGGAATTCTCGACTCCTCTCTTGTTACTGAAGGATCGACCAAGACAAATGATCTTCCTCTATTCATTGGCGGCGCCCCCTACTCAGAAAATGTTTGCGATATGCCAATGCTCTTGGATGAATTCCGCATGTATTCATACGTGAGCCACAGTCCAACAGATTCCATAACCTTCGAATATAGCAAGTAATCCCCTCGAAGGCTGTCGGCCGTGATTATATTCAAGCTGAGGCATCTATCGCCCTGGGTGGGATTGAGCCTTCATACCTTCATATCGGTTGCACCAACTGCAAGTGAGTCGAGCTAAGTCGTCTTCTTTTGACATTCTGTCCACACACATGATTTAGCAAGGACGAAGCAGCCGAATCATGTGCTGATGGATACCACCTATGCAGTGAGTAATTTCCAAATATGCGCCTCAGTGGGGGAAGAGCTATTTTGCGTCATCAGACAAATTGGAGCTGTACAATGGTGGCTACCACGTAGCGCGCAAATTATCTCTTGGCGCAGCGCTTGTTGCTGCAGGATCCGCGACTCCAGTGAGGGGCACTGGTCTGTGCTGTACCGATGCATAAGACGAAAGTGCTAGCTTTTGACTGGTGTGACATCAATGACTCCTTTTTATAACATACCGCGAAAACCTCACCTTGTATCGACTACACACAGCCTGTCACAAGTCGCTGAGTTTTTGCGCTTCTGCGGAAGATAGCAATCGTACTGATGCTTTGATAGGAATATCATACTATGGCAAGCACTGAAATACTAGGCATAGATATGCAGTGATTCTTGTGTGGAACGAAGACCAACCCCCGTCTACAGGGTCACTAGCCGGTAGAGGAAAAACCCCGCTAAGCTTGATCCCCAAACAGGATAAGCCTTCAACGAAGAAGCGAAATGCTTGCAATGTATGCACAGTTTCGGCTGCATCACTATAGTTCCGAGTAACATTTATGGCATGCCGTGCGGTTCAACCATACGGGTCGCCAGAATACATTCGCAGCAGAAGCTAAAGATCGAGCTAGAAAGGAGCGAAATCATTAGGCAGATATTTATTCTATCGCAATTAGCGCTCTATATCTATGTTCTACGAATTTTTTACTATTAGATCTCCGTCCGCGTGTGTGCGTCTTCCGGGGCTTCTTTCCTGTGCCATTTGACTGCAGGACTCTTCGGTGAAACTGAAGGGCGTAAAAATTGAAATATACATTGCGATGGGAATATCACAATGCTTTAAGCCACTACTTCACAAGGTATGGTAGGTGAAAAGAGGCGATTCTTTCCTAGTCACCCTTGCGAACCATGACCCTCACTCAAGCTGTATCTGCGGCAACATGTGGGGTTTCAACAGCAGGCATGCCACAAAGCTTGGATCACCAGAAACCAAAGCATTTTCACGACAAGGCCTCTTCAATAGAGCCCTCGGGAGACCGAATGCGTGACTTTCTCTCATTCCTGGATCGGAGCACATCAGGTTCTGTAATGTGCGATAGTACAGCGCACACACCATTTCATCCCCCGGCAAACACCGCAAGCAATGCGAATTTATTGTCCAGAATATCTGCCCTTGAAGTTGAGCTAGAAGACAAGGAGCATAACCTGAAAGCCTTACGAGAGCTACGAGAGAGAGAAAAGCTTAAAGAGGAACACATTAGGAAGCAGCTACAACTGCAATTGCGAGATGACTTAACAAAAACTACTGTACGCAGCTAAATTTCAAGCAAATAAACACAACTTGCGCTCGCCATTCAAGCGAAACAACACGTGGACTACTGTAAATAATATGGTTGTCAACGTGGAAATGCTGCCGTCAGGGTTTCCTACTTAGTATCCATGAACAACACTTTTTACAAAAATTGAGAAGCTTTGATTCTTCCTTAACGCGTGTAAAACGTGAAATCTACAGAAACCGCTAGCAAAGGGTGCAAACTCGGGTTCGTGACTCTCGCAGGAAAAGTACGAGCAACACTCCAGGAGTCAGCAGCAACTCCTAGTTCAGCTACAAGATGAGAAGAAAGACATGGCATCTCGATATCAAAGACTTGCAGATGAAATGCGGGAACTAGAAAGAAAGTTTGGGGCCAAGACTGCTGAACTGCACAAGCAGTACGGGCGGGAGTTGGAGAGGCAGAGAAAGGCGTTCCTTTGTGGAGAAAAGGTACAAAAACTTGCGTTCGACTAATAGCTGAAGTACTCATGTATGAGCCTATATATGCCATCGAGGCAAGCGTCTACCCTACGAGAGTGCCGACCACAGCTCCTTGCTCGAAACGAAATCCCTCTTTATATTCACAAAGAAGCAGCCTCTTGCGTTCAGGCACGACGAGAGGCTTGGGAGCGCGATCGAGCCCAGGAAATCAAGGAAATCACTATAAGAGGGCTAGAACCTGAAATACAGAGGCTGATCGAAAAGCATCGTAATGAAAAGCGTTGCTTAGAAGAGAAACTAAAAGGAATAGCGAATGAGGTTCGCCCTATTGCACCGGTTTGTAAAACGTCCATGTGTCAGTCGTTCTTTGCCCTCGTACAAAAAGCTCTGCTCTGCGTGGTATGGCATATACAGCCTGACCATGTCTAATGGAATAGTCTATGAGTGTGTGGAGGAATGCTACTAGATGAAGAAACAACTAGAGCGAGAGGTTTCATCACAGAAAGCAATTGTGACGCGACAGATGGAGGAAGCTCTACAAGTCGAACGGGACCAGCATAAGCAAGAGATACGCCTGTTGCAGGAAAACTTTGGGGCTCAGGTAATTTGCGTCATTACTGTGGGTCAGAGAAACAATGCTTATGCGTGGAGGGAAAACTAGCAAATGCGGTAGTACTGACCTACGAAGCAGTTCCTTTTTCCTACCGGTTCGCGCTTCGTCGCTAAGGGCACGTTCAAATCATTTTGTGCTTCAGCTGGAGAATGAGAAGCACATACTGCAAGCAAAACATCAAGAAGAGGCGGCTAGGTGGGAATCCCAGATGAGAGATGAGAAGATGTCGGCGGAGGCTGCTACCACGTGAGGGGTGTTCATCTACTTTGCATATCTACGAAAGCATCACTGGAAAGGCTGCTCAGTTACCTGTTTGGCAGCCATATTTACACCACAGACCCCGATTCATATCTTGTAGTCAGCTCTAATGCGTTCCCTCTGATTCGTGATAAATGCAGGAAAGCCCGTGAGGAGGAGCAAATGCGCTGCAAAGAGGCAACCAGCGAGCTAATAACGGAAATTGAGCGTATGCGACAGGCCCACGAAGCCGAACTTCGTCAGGCTACCGCAGCAGCAAAAGCAAATCAAAATGAGACCATCATTGCCATGGAGGCAGCGAAGGCAGCAGCGATACAGGAAGCCGTAGCAGCAACAAAAAAGGAGGTTGAGGAAGAGTGCCACAGGTTTGTACGCTAAAACCCAGCTGGTCCTGGATGAAACAAATAAGTGACAAAGGATGCAGTGGCGCATAGACGGACATAGTGCAAAATGTCCTCATTTGCCGTGCTAGCTGTTTTTGTCATGCAAGAGCTTTACAAAGCCGTTTGTAGAGCATATACTTGTAGAGCTGGAGTGGATTGGCTACTGGTTTAAACAGAGTTTATCTCAAAAGCATCTCACCATTTCAGAGTTCATTGGTCTACGAGCTATCTGCCGGTGTATTTAATAAAGGAAATTGGATCATCTATTAAAGCGTTTAAGTCAAGAGCAGCTGGAGGCCCAGACGCGATTCGAGCGGCAATGTAACGAAGCAGTGGCCGCGTCTCAAGACAGTGCCGATCGGCTGAGGCAGGAATTTACTAAGGAACGCAACAAGCTGGAATCAGAGCTTAAGGTATTTTCTTTTATTCCCTGATGCTCAAGTGTAGGATCAAGGTTTCAGCCTGCTAACTGCCTACATATCTCTTCAGAGTCAAGCTCCTCATGACACAGAAGGGAACGTAGGTGCGAGTGAAACGCGATTCAGGTCGCTCACGAAAAACGGCTGGATCTGGAGAGGCTAGTGTCGCGGTTGGAAACAGAGGCAGAGCTTAGAGAGAAGGTGAGGGCCGAGCTTCAAATGGCCCTCGATGAAGTGAGCGGCAGGACAAAGGTGCGAAGCTTCTCAATAGACCAGCTGTGCATACAATAGAAGGCGGAAGCAGTAGGCACTGCGCTATTCACGCGCGATACAGAGGCACTGCGCAAAAGACAATACACCCAATTGCTTGCGCGCAAGTACTTGTTTGCCATTTTGATCCCTGGTTACAACAGGCGTTGATATCTCAGAGAGACCAAAGAGATCAGGCCCTTAAGTCTCAGTGGGAACGAGAAAAACTGCAATGCGAAGTACCGATGTCTTTCATTACCCAACTCTTTGACATTTTTCCTATGTCACTGCCTTTCCCAACCATATGCTGCTGTGTACCTGTGTGGAACCCATTTATACTGAATTTATCCCTCTCTGTGTTTCTGCCTGTATCCATAGCAACACCGGCACGACTTAGCTGCCCAAAAGGAGTTGATTGAGTCTATGAGCGCCCAGCTGAGCGAAGCAAAAACAAAAATGGAGGAAATAAGGCAAAAAGAGGGATTGATGCTCGAGACCATCGAAGCGAAAGTTAAAGAGGCTCTCTTTGCAAAGGATCAATCCATACAACGACTTCAAGATGAGCTCTCAGCCAGTAACACAAGAGTACGCAAAAAATAGAGGCTTTTACTGCATAACACGTGCACGACAGACTGGAGGGGAGCTGCGAGGGAACGTATCTAGGAACGGACTGACGTTAAAGTACTATTTTGGTGCTTTTTTGCTCTAACGATGTCGTACATCGTTATTTACAGCTCCACATCGAGTTAGACTGTTTGAAACGGTCAAGCGTTTTTGGCGCATTGTGTTCAAGTCAAAGCAGCCATGCAATCTGAGTCTGAACAGTGACCCAGAACGTTTTAGGTGTTCTTGGTGAATACACAAAATACTACAGTGCCTGTGTTCTGCTTAGGTGAAGCATCTAAAGGATCTCATGAATAGACAGCGATCAGAGTTGACTACGGGGGCTTCTCGGTGCGATTCCTTTTCATTAGACTCGACGGTTTCCACCTCAGCTTCTCTTCTGCCTTCATTGGAAAAAGTGGATACGGAAATTGGTGCAAAATCGCTTGTTTTATCTAAGCAGCAAGGTGTACAGCTTAGATCACGATGCATTAGAGGTCAATCTGGAGCAAAGATCATTCAAGAGCAGAAAAAAGTTAAAAAGAATGTCTCTCACTAATTGAGGGGCTTGTGCACAATTCACCAAGCAAGCCCACCCTAACCAAGAATTCCTCTCATTTTCCTGCATATATTTACAAAACCAATATATTCGGCAGTTTCCACCTCAGCTTCTCTGCTTCCTAAGTGGGGAAAAGATGCAACGAACATTGGAACAAAACCGCTTGTTTTATCGAAGCAGCAAGGTGACTTATCTACGATAGACTAAAAGCTGGAAATTATGCAGCTGTGTGTGTGTTGTTGCATGTCACAAAAACTTAGGTGGATACTCACACTTCGGAAGAAAATTTTCGATGCTCAAATAATCGACATAGAAAGTACATTGACGGGACATGCTAGGGTTGGGCGAAAATAGTGGAATACGGAATGATAAAATCAAAATGATCACACAAGCAACACCTACATCGGGCACTGCAGACCCCCGCCAAACCACCATACGAAACACAGTAATGGTTGATTAGTTGCAATACACTGCAGCTGCAAGAGTCAGATTGCTGGCGCTCAAGTGCATTTGAGCGGCTATGGACAGCGTCTAAAGTCACCCTTTAGGAAGGAAGGCAAAAGCTGTCTATTATCAGAAAAATGCGTGACCAGAGCTATGCATGCTAAATAATAGATAACCTAGCAAGAATTGAATGATCAGAAGCAAGCGCCATTATTGTTTTGGTCACCTAGGTCCCTCATGTTTCTTTTGCAAGCATTTTCCGGCCTGCAGCACAAAACCACCAAACTTCAGCTAATATAGTGCTTTCTTATCGTATCAGCACTTATACATGCAAGTGAATACTTTCAGCGGACAGGTTGGTAAAACGGGTGGAATAGAGCTTGACGCGGTCACGGAGAGAAAACAAAAGACACTTAAGCTCCACAAAAAACAGACGAGAGAGAGAAAAGCACACGCGCACAACAAGGACCACGTCAGTAAATCGCAGTGTGGGAGTAAGCCACTGGCCTAGAAATCGAGTCGAACTTGACAACTTTTCGTCATCTAGTATCCACTTTTGTTGGCTATTTGCTGTTATATGTACAATGGGGATCCTTTAGGCGGTTGCAAACATCAGGAGATATATGTTCTCAAGGCTGCCCGCACTTAAATTAGATGGAGTGAAGTCCAGAAGGGCAAATGCAGTGTTGTCGTGAAACCTGTAGCCCAGAATTTCTGAACATGCCTCCTCTCAACAGAGCCCCGCCTTCTATTTTGTTTGCATAAATCAAGTCAAGTACCGTCTGGTGTCTAGCGATTTCCGTAACAGTCCTGTTGAAATGAAAGATCGACTGAATCCCCAGTACGCCAGCTAGTAATGCGAGCTTCGTCTGGTGTTCTCTCATTGAGTCAAGCAATTAAGAAGCCGGTTCCGTATATGTGATCTTCCTGCCAAAACAATAACCAACAGATAGACGAAAAAAACGAAACAAAAATGTACACGAACAAATAAAGCATACCATACACAACACGAGCAGACCTGTTCACGGTAAATGGCTTATTCCACACGTGGAACGAATAAAGGGTCAAGCATTCTTTTGCATAGCGGAAATAAGTAGGGGCCACGCAGCATGCCACTCATACATCCAAGCGAATTTTCTGTTTAAAACCGTTCCAAGATGGATGCAGTCATGTGTAAGAATCAAATGATTCATCGCGGTGAAAGAGGAAAAGTGAGAAACGCGGTACACCCTTTGAGAACATCGCCTTTGCACGCTATGAGAAACGCAAAGTACGAGCCTTAACGTGGATTGAGAAACAACATCGTTATCAGAAAAAAAGAGAACAGACAATGCTCGCACGGAGCATCCAGCTGTGCGAATCCAGTTTTAGCGCGCGTGGCGCCTCTACGAAACTACCGGTGTACTGGGTGAGACAAAAAGCCACAAAGGCCAGAGTGCAGCGATAGTCTAAATTGTCACGCACGTATAAGTATAAACGTCCACATTCTACTGCTGCCACATGGAATAATATCAATCCGGCCTGGCCCTCTTACGCTTAACCGTTGGGTGCGTGAATGAATAAACTTCCCTCCCGCATGCCTCACTCGGTCACTCACCATGATACTTCTACATTTACTTCTCCTTCTGACCAAGGACTTATATAGGTCCCCTGAAGTGCTCTGACAGATTACAGCTTAACTTTCGGGGCATAGGTAAGGTGAATCGAGTCGTGTGCTACTTTCGTCTTCGTGGGGAGTCGCAAGGCACTAATGTCTGTAAAGGAAAGGTTTTTAAATGTGCTTACGTTTTTCGTCCTACCATCAGCCATCAGCGGTCAGAGCCACTAAACAGATGCAAAGACATGAGCATGCTGAATTCGAAAAAAGACGGATAAGAGTATAGCAGAGCAGAAGAAGAAAGCCTACACAGAGGGGACCGGAACGCTTCGAAACATGGAAAGGGTGGGGTATATGAGATGTTTCTTCCGCCTTCTATGCAGCATGACTACGGTTTGGCAGTTTCAAGGTTCTCACTTTTAGTAGAAACTGCTCCTACAACAGGGAATTTCCTGAGTCCAGCGAATACATCAGCAGACACGCATGTACTCACTGGCGCAACCACTTGCAAGTTCAATTTTAGCCACTTGAATCAGCCGAATTTCCATCCGAATCTGTCAAGATTAATCTGAGCAGTCGCGAGTGCTGCGTTTTTTGCTGTTGTCCTCCCCTCGAAATGCATAACCAGATCTCCTAGTTAGCAAAATATGTAGGCCTCACACTCATCTTTAGCTATTTGTGCATTTACATCCGTTCAAGAAAGTAAATATTATGCGTTGCATCCAGAGTCATCCCCCCTAGCAGAAGCTTGCGCAGAATTTGGAAGAATGGACCGCACGGGCACGAATGAAGCATAAGAATTTGTTGCTGAGGATAAGTTGGCGCATCAAAAGAAAGCCTATTGACAATTACGGAATAATTGCAAATATAAGCAAGTATGCCTTTGAAAATTAAAAGATGAGGCCAACAGCATTTACTACTGGAACGAGCTGCTTGCACGTCTGTCTCGATGTTGCTCAGCGCAGTATTCCTTCGACAACTGGGCCTGCAGGTTTGCATGAATCTTCGACACATCAGTTGATATAAAAGGAGCTCACTATCTGGCTGGAGCACGGCCCGGCAAACTTGGTGCTTCTTTCTTTTGTCCTCGGTCGTGTCCGTCCACGCCTTCGGGGGATTTCGAGTAAAACGTGGCATCAACTTTAACGGTGAGCTAAAACCTGGGAGAAGCGTTGCTGCTACATTCTTCCAAAGACGTGCCTCCGTCGGCATTGGACCATGTCCGAAGACTGCAGAGTCCAATGCTTACGAAGGTTTACCATGCTGCAGAGCAGAATGTTCTAGGATAAGCGTCAAGTCTACGTTTGGAGCGCCCTTTAATGAGTATAAAGTGTGAACAGTCACGCCTAGCATGAAACTATGCTGCATCTTAAACACGGCCAAGCAACTGTATTAACGTGCACCTAAAGGGCAAACACAACGCTTGTTTCGGTACGATCTACTCGTTTGCTCTTCTTTTTACACTGCCCCCCTAATATCCTTTCCTTTATTATACTGCCAAGTAGCGGCGATTTCCGGATTTGTTTCTGCTCGCTTCGCTTCGCTCTTGATAACCCTACCGACCTTCAGGGATGCCTGCAGGTGTGAGCCTTTCCTTAGTTTCTTGGTACTCGCCATATACCCTCCTTTCTGTGTGGATTGGTTGGGTCGGGTAGCGAGTCCTGTATATCCCAGATATCGAAGCAGCTGAACTCAACAAAACGTGGGGAAAAACACGAACTTTTTGGCAATTTGTGCTGAAAAATTCGCCCTGCTACGTCCAGTTGCGCCTGCAGCTTCCTCAGAACAGAAAAAAGCGATTGCCCAAGTGAAACCCTATCGAACCAATATAGGGTCCTCAACACTAAGAAGCGCTTAGAACTCCCTACATCTTATGTGGACCAAAGAGGCACAAAAGCGGCCCTAACAGTCCTCCATTTCTAGGTTTCAGTACCTCCATAAGTGTGAGCCTTTGTGGTTTAGGATACCGTGCAATTCCTTAGGGCATTCACACTAACCCCACGGGGAGCATTTTGCCCAGTTACAGCCTCTGCGACGAGCTTTGCAAGTTAAGCAATTCAGATGAGCACACTGTGACAGCTCTTCCCTCTGTTGAGAGGGGCTCTTAGGCCTGTAAGCACGAGGATCAAAGTCTTGCCAGAGTGATTGGGGATTAGTGGCGCGTTTCAACGAGATCGCCCCAGGAAGCTCCTTTCCTAATAACCACCACGAGCGGCACGGCGAGCGTTGCTGCGCCTTGCATTTCCTCTTTCATCAATGAGATCAGTGCTTCCGTGTCTTCCCTGCAGCACTCTACGAGCAGTTCGTCGTGCAGCGATAGCAGCAAGCGAGGGGGCAAGCTCCCTTTGAACTTCCTGCAAGGCCAGCACACTCCAAAGGTTCTTCACTGTCTCAGCAACCCCTAAGTCTACAAACCTCGAATCGAGAGCCAAAATCATGGGGGTTTTACCTCGTCTGCAGCGCTCGTTGAACTGCAAGCATTGCTTGCTTGATGATATCGCTTGCACTGCCTTGGATCCGCGAATTTACCGCCTGCCGAGAAAGGGCGGCGCTGTCCATATTTTCCAATTTCAAAGGTCGACGTCTTCCTGAAGGCCACCCACCCACAGTACGGTCTCCTCATGTTACGAACCTCTACCCAGCAGTGCTAAAAGAATGCTGCACCGTAAAGTGCACATGCGACGCTGCGAAATCGAGCTCGCCCTCGCAAATATGGCCTAGTCGCTAGCCCCCCAGATCTTAGAATCCTAGCTCATTACTGAACGACTGACCTGCCAGTGTAGTAACGTATCCATGCTGTTGCGCAAAGGCAGTTGAATCCTTCGCGAACTGAGCGACTTCCGGAAAAGCCTCCAAGAATTGCTGACGGCACTTTACCGCGGCCTCAAGACCCATACCCAACTGCTGCGCCACCGTCTGCAAACCTCCGCCGTACAACAGAGAGAGGCATGCCACCTTCGCCTATGTGCGCAATTGACACGCAAGACATGGAAAGCTCGAACCCTGGAGGCTGCACACACTTGCGCGAGAGAGAGTGCAAGCGGGCAAGAAGAGACAGCAGAAGCGTGCTTTGTGCATCTGCACACCTCAACCGAATCCAAGGCTTTTGCTCTACGAGGAAAAGCACTACCGGTCCAAATTTTCCTCTATCCCACCCAAGTCCTTACGTGTGCCCTCAATTCGTCGGAAACAGCATCCAGAGAAACCCCAGCAACAGCCGCAGCCATTTCTTTGTAAGGATCAGCACCGCTCCGGCACAGCAAAGTGCTGAGACGCCCACCAGCACAAAAGTGCGCCTGAGCCTCGAATCAGACAAAGTGGATCTAGCTGCCGAATGTTAAGATGCAGCACAGCCTCCACAGCGACTAGCTCGAAGGCACTCTCTACCGACACAATGCCCACCCCGCTCCTCTCCCCTCTCCCAAGCGCTGCCCCCCACGCCTGTCTAGAGACTCGAAATTTACCAAAACGCGCATTTCGATTTGGGAAAAATCGGCGGAGACAAGCTCTTGTCGCGCCGGGTCAGTTGGCACAAAGGCCTCCCGGCATTTCAACTTCACTTCAACAGAGGGCGCCCCCAGGAGGCTTCCCGCTGCAGAGGGGGCCCCCGTCGGGCCTCTCTGTGGCAGCATTAGCACGGCTTCTCTTGGGATAGTCTGCATGTTGTAATAAGAAGCAGAAAGGCGGCCAGTGACAGTGTGCGTCTGGTTCCACCGGCAGAATACCCTGCACAGCAGCACCCCAGACTCCGAAATCGCAGATCAGCACGAGAAGCTCTGAGCTGAATCAGCCTTATACAGCGCTCCCAGGCAAAGGCCTGCGCGGCGGGGGGTTCGCACAATTTGCGCAGAGGCCGCCTCCCAACAGCCAATGCCACCCTCTCGACCGCAGCCTTCTAGATGCAGTCCTGCTGCTGCTGCATGCGGAAGGCGCAGCAGCCCTTGCGTCCAACAGCTCTCCCAGTTGAACTGATGGAGGCAGGCAGGTGGGGGCTCTGGAAGCGACTGACCTTGGAAGCTCCGCTGGCTGCTTCGGATTGCGACCAGCAGCCCACGGGGTTGAAAAGCCTTTGGCCTTCTTCTTGTGGAGCGACAGGGGGCCCTCCTGAGGCACGTGGAAGCCTACGGGGCCCTCCGTTTTGGGGGTTGCAACAGCATCAGGGCATCCTTCGGCTCTTGGAGAGAGCTGCAGCAGCGCCAGCAGCAGCCCACCCAATCCCAGGCCGTACAGCTCAGGATGGCTGTCCTCCCTCCACGCCCGTGCGGCGTAGAGGCGCATCTTGAGCCGCCTCGCGTAAGTGCAGCTTACGGGTGTCAGTGGGGCGAGGTAGGTGGAATAGAGTTTGGCGATTTGGCGATAACTCTGCAGCAGGGGAACCACGGGGTGCGCGTCCCTTAGGCCCTGCAGCCAACACGTCGCATGCAAACACAACGTAGACTTCAGCGCTTAGGGGTCCTTATGCAGCCCTTGCTCCAACTAGACCACAGCTGCGGCTGCGAGCTAGGGATTACCTGAAGGACGTTGTCATCCGTGCAGAACTGTTTCGTCCTTTCTCCTCCTCCTACGACTTTGGTGCCCTGAGGGCCTCCCTGGAAGCTCCCAGGAGACTCCGCGGGAGGCACTCCAAGTTTCAGATGGGTGTACAGGACGTAGGCGACCTGCTTCACGGAGGACGGCGTAAACGAGAAGCCTGCTGCTTCCGAGCAAGCAGCCGTCAGTCGCGCCATTACTTCCTGACAAGGAAGGCGTGCACAGGCAAGGCATGCGGATTCTCAAAGCTGCAAGCAGAAAAGCCCTACGGGCCGCAGGAGCTGTATGCCTGTGCAATCAGACTGCTACGGCTGTCCAGTCGAACCTGCAGTTGGGATTTCAGGGGCTCAATGAGCGAAAGATCGCATGCGATGCCCGTAGTCTCAATGACAGCGAGCAGCAAGGCAATAGGCCCCTCCTGCGCCTCCAGAATCCTGCATGCACAGCCGTGACGATAGGCTTTATCGTCCTTGATACAAGGGGCTACAGACGGGAGGCTCTGCGGATAATGACTCCCCGCATGCGGCTGCGTGCATGCAAGGAGTAATCTGCCTTTGATGCCGCTCGCTGCAGCCTTTGCGGATGCGCAGCGCAGCTCCAGTACCTGCAAAGGCCTTGCGAGAGGATCGACTGCCCCAAGATGCTCGCAATCGCAGCCGTTGCCGCGGCACCCTCCATAGAGGAGGTCCACAGCACGCTTGCCTCCTCAGACACCCCCAAGTCTGTGCTCGACAAATTCCCCTGCATGCGCATGCACATGCCTTCATCCCCACGAGGCGGCCTTTGATCGCGAAACTCCTCGGAAAAACACGAGGGCGTCGCCCCGAGCTGCGAGGTGGCGAATAAACGCGTGGTTGCGGATCAACGCAAGCCTTTGCGCTTATAGCCATTAAGAATGGCCGCCTCGCAAAGACAAGCTTCAAGCCTCCCTCCCCTTCTTTCCCCTCCTAAATCGTGCCACAACATGCAGCAGCTTCATGCAGCAGCCTAGCCTACCAAGGAATACGGCAACTTGAGTCGCGCTGCCGCTGCACTGAGGGCCCCTGCACTCTGGGAGTCGTCGGGGGCTGCCAGCCACACCATCAGAGACACATCCAGGAAGCACACCTTCCCGAGCGCTGCAAAAACACACACAAGTCCGACAGTTCAAAGCACGAGGAGGTCGAGACACGCCTCGGAAAACACAAGCTCCTTTTCAGCGGGGCCTCTCGAACGCGCTCGTGTGCAAGGCTAGACAACTAAGGCATGAATGCGGCTCGCTTCTTGCGCCTTGCCCGAGGCTTCCCTTTCGAAGCTACACAGTTAGAGCTTAAGGTTAGGGTTGGATTGCCGACGAATCGCAAGTTCTTCTGCTAAGAGAGGCCTGAGCGCCTCCTGGCAACTCCACATCAGCAAGAGACCCCCTGAATGGCAACTCCTCTTCCTCGAAATAAACACGTCCCGCACAAAGCCCCACACCCCCTCTGGAGATACTTGCTGCTGTTGTTGCTCTTGCTGCTGTAGTTGTTGCTCTTGCTGCTGTAGTTGTTGCTCTTGCTGTTGTTGTTGCTCTTGCTGTTGTTGTTGCTCTTGCTGCTTTCGTTGTTGCTCTTGCTGTTGTTGTTGCTCTTGCTGTTGCTGCTGCGTTAGTACATTCAACGCAAACTCAGCCACGGGCATGACAAAGTGTTGCCAGTCCTTTGGAGTTCCTTGTGTGAGTCTTTGGAGGGCCTCTTCGGTGGAAGCCTCGGAGCTCCTCGACGCGAGATAAGGGCCTTCCAGGCAGGCAACCATAGAACCCCTGGAAAGCACAATCGCAACAGGACGAGGGAAGCGGGCACGCAAGGTCTTTTGCTTGAATCGCGCTGCATCGAGTTTCTTGCTGCACATTGACGAAGAGGAGCCGTCCTCGAACAACACCGAAAATACCCAGCAAGGGGGGCCTCCCGAGGCGCTGTGCTGCGAAGGAGTCGCTGAGGAAGTCGAGGATTCCACTGATGCGCCCTCTACAGGAAAGTTCTCGCCAACAAATGTTTCAAAGGCGCTGAGCGAGGTTATGAATGTCACGTCCTGCGAGCACATACACACCCTCGGAAAAAAAGATGGCCCTTACGCTTTCAGTCCGAAGTCGCAAAGGCGGCATCTGCGCTTTTTCGGGAGTCATGCAGGCTCACTCTGCGAGCTTGCCAGCCCCCACAGACGGCCTCCCATGCGAGAAGAGGGTTAAACATGACTTGACCCCTACTAGGGCCTCTTTTGGGGGTGTTCGCCTTGGCTTTTGCGGGGGTGGCTTTTTTTTTCCGCGTGCGACTCCCGTTGTCAGGTTTGCTCGGCAGTGCCGCCGCGCAAGAGTTCCTTGTTTTTTCGTCTCCGTGAGAGCTGCCTCGCGCTGTAGAGCGACGCAGCACAGAGGGGGGAGGCCTCTGAGGGGCGGGCAGCTCTCCAAGAGGAGGCGGCGTCTCTCGGGGGGCCCCCGAGGGGGCCCCCCCCCAGCTCGCGCTAAGGCCGCCTCTGCGATCTTTGTTGAAGGCCTCTTGCGGGCTGTTGTCGGAGGCTGACGGGGAACAAGGCGCCTCTCGAAAATCCCCCGCTGAGTCTCCTCCAGGCGTAGAAGGCGCAGTGATCGAAGAAACACTAAGGCCATGCAGCGACGGGGCAGCAGCTGCTACGAAACACTGTGGATTTCCTGCTCCCGGAGAAGGCAGCAGCTGTAGCGTCGCTGCAGCGTTGGAGGGCCCCCCCTCAGGATGCTCGTCTTCCGATGCACAGCGGCACACCACGTGCGCCGCCGCCTCCGGAGGCCCCTCAGGGGGCCCCCCTGGGGGCCCCCTAGGGGCCTCTGCGTGCACAGCAGCGCCAGGAAAACCTCCGTTTCCCTCCGCAGGAAGGCAATCCGGCCAGTCTGAGTCTGCGTCTGCTTCCGCCTCCTGCTGCAAAGGCTGCTGCTGCTGCTGCTGCAGGGGGCCCCTCCAAGTGGGGCCCATATAGGCACGGATATCTGCCTGGTGGCCGCTAGAAGGCACTCCATGCTGCGGAAGAGGAGCCATAAGGCCCTTCGCTTTCGCCAAGCGCCGCAGACGCTCGAGCTGCTTTTCCAGTGAAAGACTTCCAGGGTCGACTCCTTCCCCTTGCGCTTGTTGTTGGTTCTGTTTCCGGAGTAGCAGAGTGTGGGGAACTTGTGCAGGGGAAGGGGCTGCGGGCAGCACAGACGAGGCACCAGACTGCGGCAGCAGCAGCGACCTTGCCGCTGCTGCTGCCGCAGTCTGCGCGGGGGGCTCTATAGACGCAGTCTCGCAACAGTTGCGGTCGACTGCTGAGGCTGGAGCTGATGCTGTAGGCGCCCATTCATCCCCTGCCGCACACGATTCAAGGCCGTTCTCGAGCTCCTCATCCGCGGCGAGACTCAGCAAAAACGCCTTTAAGCCATCTCTGCATGCAGCGTGCGCATATACATATATTCACACCCTCCTTCTGAACCTGAACCGTAAGGTCAAAGCCGTAGAGCGGAGACACGTCTTCATAGCCCTAAGGGTGCTTACGTTTCGCTAAGAGGAGGCGAGGGTGGGGGAGGCGGCAGTGTTGCAAATTCAAAAGCCACAAAGCGCCGTGCGGCCCGCCGTCCACTGGACCAGGTCGGAGATCTGCTCCTTGGGGGCCCCCCCCACTGAGGGGGAACGGGGGGCCCCTCCATGCAATGAGGAGGGAGCTACCACCTTTCGGAGGCTTTCTGCAGGCGGCGTTCTCTCTCCTTCCCTGACTGAAACCTCCTCGACAAAGTCTTGAAGAGAGTCGCGAAGTCGTGAGGACGTGGCTTGCTGGATCTTCGGAATGATGCGTGTGTGTTTCAGGAGCGAAGGCAGGCAGACTGAGTTCGCCTACACACGAACGACTCCAACAAAGACAACAGCGCCACATCGCAGCGCAGGCCTTTGAAAGACAAATGCCATTCGGAGTGAAGCGACAGGAGCCGAAGCTGCCAACCCCACACGGGGGGCCCCCAGCCACGCGATCTCAGGGGCCCTCGGAAAAGGGGGGGGCCCCCGGCTGCAGCAGCAGCGGGGGGCCCTCAGCCGCAGCCCGACGGCGGCTGCATATATAGGCTGCTCTGGAAGCGCATACCGTTTACAAGGCCTCTTTGTGGTCTCTGATTGCTGCATTGTGGACGCAAAAACTGTTGTGAGTGGCGTATTTGGGGAAAAAAGCGCGAAGTTTCCCTCGCTCGCTGCGCCTTGGCCGCCTCAGCTTCTCTTGAAGCGCCACGCCGTGGCAAGGAAGATCCGTGCGGAAAGCCTCCAAAGGCCTGCTTGTGCCTTCCTCCGACATCCGAGGACGTCGAGTGGCTCTTGAAGAACCTCTAGGAGGCCTCTCCCTTCAACTGTATGGGGAGCTCAGGGGCTGCTATGACACGGCATCCAGGAAAGCCAGGCTTACGGGATGGCTGTGTGCTGCATGCACTTTTCTAGAGCCGGGGATGCCGCCTTTCGACTGGCAACAGCAAAGGGCCTCCCGTGAGGGGCCCTGTCAAGAGGCTTCGCAGAGACAAAGTGTTGAGGGGGCAGCCTCTACGGGATCTTTCGGGAATAGTCGCCAAGAGGCCTCTAGCCCCCTTCGTCAAAGGCATTGCACACCCCTAGCCTTGGCTCCCTATGCTTCCACCTCAGGAGGGGGGTGTGGCGGTGTCGTCCAGCAACCCTTTGGGCAGGAGGGGAGCTGTACGGGCTCTCAGCAACAGCATCATCATCAGCAGCAGCAGCATCAGTATCAGCAGCAGAATCCTCATCAGCAGTATCATCATCAGCAGCAGCAGCATCAGTATCAGCAGCAGAATCCTCATCAGCAGCTGCTGCTGGCGCAGGAGCCAATGCCCCAGCAGCAGCTACTGCGCAAAGGCTCGGAGATAGAGGAGCTGCAGCAGCAGTGCAAGGAGTCTCTGCGAGCTTCTCTTCGAATCGTGGATGAGACGAACCAGACTTCCCAGGCGACTGCGGAGCAACTCGCGGCGCAATCTGGTTAGTCTAAACTGTTTTTGAATCCTTCTCCTCGTCACGACGCCCTAGAGAAGCGGCGGTTGTCTGCAGTCCGTCGCTTTGGTCGTTTTACGGCGAAAGCACGGCTCGTGTATCGGAGGAAGGCGCAGCAGAGAAGGCCGCTGCGCGTGAACGCTAGCTGCCTTCTCTGCCGAGCCTCGAGGCTTCCGCGACTGTCCTCTCGACTGTCGCCGTCTGAGGCTTGGCTAGCTGTTGCTCGCCGGGCAGGTGAGGCAGAGGCGGCTGCTGGCTCGAAGGTCTAGGGATTACTGCCAAGCTGCAGGAAGTTCGATTTCTGCATGCGGCTGTTTGCTGCAGAGCAACTGACTCGCATCGCCGAAACTACAGAAGAAATCAGTGGCAACCTAGAGGCTTCAGCCTATCTCCTGAAGGGACTTAAAAGCTGGTGGGGGGGGTTTGCGCAGATATTCTCAGCTCCCAGGGCGTCCTTTAACTCCGCAAGCCGCCAACAGCAGCAGCAGCAACAGCAGCAACAGCAGCAACAGCAGCAACAGCAACAGCAGCAACAGCAACGCACACCTCTGCAGTCGCTTGCGCAGCAGCAGCAGCAACACCAGCGACAACAACAGCAACGGGAGTTGTTGCTGCTGTCTGGCACTGGAAGCCTCGGGGTAGGGGTCAGCGACGACTTTGACAGCGAGCTGCAAAAGGATCTTGGCCACCTTTCAAGCATGGTATGCTTCCCCTGCACAGACACACGCGCGGTGCTGCTGTACGTCTAATCCAGGTGCTGCTGTCTGCCCTGCTGGCAGTGCTCTTGCTGTAGCTGCCAGGGGAGGCGTTGGTGGGTCGCGCAGTGTGTCGAGTTGCCTGTGACGCTACTGACGGGGGTGTGGCTGCCGTTGAGAGCGTTAAGGGGGAAAGAAGGGGAAGAAGGAGGGGCACAAGGAGGGAAGGGGGAAGAAGGAGGATATTGGGCACGCTGTAGTGTGATACTACACCTTCTTTGGAAGCGGTTATATATGCGACAAAAGCGCACTCTCTGCTGCCACTGCCGCCTTATGGGTGCCCTCCCGTGGTGCTGTCATGACAAGGCCAGAGGAGGCAAGCAGGACGCGCGCAGCTGCGTTTTGCAATACCAGAGCAGCTTCGGAAGAATCAAGGGGGAAGCAGGCGGAGGCGGGAGGCCTTGCCGGCAGAGCTGGCATGTGTGTGTGTGTGTGTGTGTCTATGTGTGTGTCTATGTGTGTGTGTGGCTGTGTCTGTGTGTGTATATGTGTGTGTGTGTCTGTGTCTGTGTGTGTTTGTGTTTGTGTGTGTCTGTGTCTTTCGTTTCGGTTGTGTGCTTTCCTCTCTTTCTTTATCAGAGTAGGCCAGTTCACGCGTCTGACGTCGTGTTTCTGTGTATGTCTGTCTGTTGCTGCGTCGTGTCACAACTGATAGTGTTCGTGTTGAGTGGTTGTTAATTTTTGTTGTTGTTGTGTCTTGGTCGGGTAGTGAGTCGTGGAGATGTGGAGTGAGT